AAGGTTTAAAAGGAAGATAAATATGAAAATGCTCGGAATTAAATAACAAATAACAATTTTGTTTTTCCTTTGATGTGTTCCCCGTCGGTCTTTTATTTATCGATTGAGGCACCACGAAGTCTGCCGGGTCAGCTAGTACACGTAATAAAAAAAAAATGAAAGTATGCAATGTATTTCTAAAAGTTTTTTTTAAACGGTTTTGTCGGTAAATACTAACAAAGTCACCGATTTCCGGTCAGGATTAATCAACTAAACGTGATTAACATAATTTAAATCAATCTCAAAGAACAAAAAACAGAAACACTTTATTCGTGAAATGTGAAACCCCAATGATTAGAGGTGACGCTTTAGACAAATAATAACCTGTATATCAGACCCAGTATAACCGACCACGAATGATATTATCATAAACACATACCGCAATACGATACCATTGTTTTACGACAACAGTCCGTATGCGAACGGATGAGCGAGCAAGCTTAATAATAATTATTCGAATATATTTACTTTCGTTATAAAATACAGGTCTAATTACTCGATTCGCTTGAACGTTTATCGTGTATCTACGGTAACACAATATTAACATATTATTACACGATGCCATTCCTTCGCCGAGGAAGTCATTCGTGAGCATACTTTAAGTACATAATCCTAAAAAAGAAACAGAAAGGAAAATTATTACTGAGCAATTGGGATACAAATTTAAAAAGTGCAAGAACGCCCGGGTGGTCTTAATACTAAAACCCGATAACGCTATATTCTAATGTACCTATGTATAATTAACGGCTGTCTGGTGTAGTGGTAAGTGACATGGTCACTACACAAGGGGGTCGCGGGTTCGAATCCCGCCAAGGGAAGATATTTGTATGATAAATATAAATGTCACTTCCAGGGTTATGGATGTATATTAAATATATGTATGTGTATAATAAAAATCTTACATTTATTTCCGTTATCTGGTACCTGTAACACAAGTTCTTTACGAACTTATCACGGGACAAGTTAACGTGGCGTGATTGTTTATAAAAAAAATATATATATATATATATATATATAATATATATATATATATATATATATACCTAGTCAGGTCATAAGTATTGTCACACAGTAAAAACTTTTATTTTAGAATGCTGGCCACAAAAAAGTTTATTGAATTCGAATTTCGAATTGTTCATGAAAATAAAAATGTATACTTTTAGAATTTTTACTCATTTTTAAATATGGAGTGGACGCTTAAAGAAGACCGTGTTGCAGTTATTGCGTTGCATCGTTGCGGTTACGCGCCAATTCAAATTTTTAACCTACTGAAAAATTTGAATATAACCAAAAGATTCGTTTATCGTACCATCAAACGATATAATGAAGACTCTAGTATAGATGACAGGTCAAGAAGTGGTCGCCCTCGGTCTGTTAGGACTCCAGCGGTGATAAAAGCTGTGAAGGCGCGAATTCAAAGAAATCCCAAACGTAAGCAGAAACTGTTGGCCCTTCAGATGGGGTTAAGCAGAACCACGGTGAAAAGGGTTGTTAAATGAAGACTTAGGGCTTCGGGCATATCGAAGAAAAACAGGACATCGTTTGAATGCTCGTCTAATGGACCTGAGACTGAAGAGATGCCGCGCTTTGTTGAAGCGGTACGCGGGAAAAAAATATCGGGAAATTCTTTTTTCGGATGAAAAAATTTTTACCGTAGAAGAGAGCTACAACAAACAAAATGATAAGGTGTACGCACACAGTAGTGAAGAAGCGAGCAACCGTATTCCGCGTGTCCAACGAGGTCATTTTCCATCCTCGCTCATGGTATGGTTGGGAGTTTCTTATTGGGGCTTAACAGAGGTACATTTTTGTGAGAAAGGTGTAAAAACGAATGCAGTTGTGTATCAAAATACAGTCCTGACGAACCTTGTGGAACCTGTTTCTCATACCATGTTCAATAACAGGCACTGGGTATTCCAACAAGATTCGGCGCCAGCTCATAGAGCGAAGAGCACACAAGACTGGCTGGCGGCGCGTGAAATCGACTTCATCCGGCACGAAGACTGGCCCTCCTCCAGTCCAGATTTGAATCCGTTAGATTACAAGATATGGCAACACTTGGAGGAAAAGGCGTGCTCAAAGCCTCATCCCAATTTGGAGTCACTCAAGACATCCTTGATTAAGGCAGCCGCCGATATTGACATGGACCTCGTTCGTGCTGTGATAGACGACTGGCCGCGCAGATTGAAGGCCTGTATTCAAAATCACGGAGGTCATTTTGAATAAACTTTAGTGTCATAAGAATCTATATTTTGTTAAGTTCGTTTTGGTATATGAATAGTTACATAATGAATAAACTTGTTTCAATTATTTTACATTAAACATGTGACAGAATTTATGACCTGACTAGGTATATATTGTTAAAAACAATAAATGCAAAGTAAAATCCAACAAACATTTGTTTACATTTTTAAAGTCATAGCATGTAAAGGTGGGTGGCGCCTTTACGTTGTGGGTGTCTATGGGCTCCAGTAACCACTTAACACCAGGTGGGCTGTGAGCTCGTCCACCCATCTAGGCAATAAAAACAAAATAAAAAAAAGAATCCTTTTTTCAGACTGTACCTAAGCGGAAGTGTGACGTAATCGATGCGAGGTCCAAACTTAGCTTGGTCGAGTTGTACGTATTTAATTGGAAAAATTGTAACTGCCTGCGGGATTCGAACACAGTTGCATCGTTCGAAACGAATTCACCGGACGTCTTATCCTTTAGGCCACGACGACTTATAAAACTTTAGTTAGTTGTAGATAAAACCACATCCAAAAGTCTCCTATCTCAATTAACTGCTGCTAGTAGCAGTGATACGCTCCAAATTTATAAAGAAAGTAATATCCAACTTACGTCCCAAGGTCAGATTTTATATCTCGAGGAACGACATTATCATAAACTAGTTTGGTCTGTCTACGCTAACAAATTATCGACCAAACAATATTTGTTCGGTACAAACGTTCAATGTTATGTCATCCTTTTGATTTAAATTTAACTTCAATAAGTTACTCATCCGCGAACAATAATGTACCCGTAGTCTATTATAACAATGCCTATGATTTTTGATAGAGCACATTTAAATTTTACTCTCTAATTTCTAATTAATTTCTTTATCATAAATTGAAATTAAGTTCTTATCTATACAATAATATTAATACGTGAAGCAAAAACTTTGTACCCCTTTTTACGAAACTTGCGCGGACGGAGGAGTATGAAATTTCTCACACTTATAGCGAATATAAAGAAGGAGTGCATAATGCTAATATATTTTTTAAATAATGCATAAAAGATACATTAAATCAATAAAGAAAACATTACACACACTACCATGTATTTGACACACACACGCATGCATACTATTTGCTTATTGTCAAACTTTTCTTATTGCATAAAGTCTATGGTCAAATTGAGAATAGATTAAGTATTGTTTGTCTTTGTTAATATTTGTCTAAAGTGTAGTCTTGGCGAAATCTGTGATTATAGAAGTATAATAAATAATCTTTGACAATAGAACCATAATAATGTTCAAGCTTAGAATTTTGATTAATTATAGTCGAATTTCGACTACTGCGGGACCACTAGTTTTTATTAAATATGTATATTATTATGTAGAATATATTCTGAATATACCATGGAACTTTTGGATCTCTACGACAAAAGGAAGATCTTCCACCGAGCTGGTAATATTGGTCGGTAGACCGACGGTTGACAAATGTTATTCGGAACTTGTATATAAGCAAGCTTATCTTGAAAATGTGGTAAGCGAAATTCAAGTATCTGTTCCATATTTTGTGTTGTATGATGGCTAGCCGCCACACTCTTTGAAGAATAAGGCTTGCTTCGTAAACAGTGATATTGAAAAATTTTTACCTAAACGACTCTACTTACTCATTAGACAATCCTAAAAATACTGTCTATAGAAATTGTGAATAATTTCAGGAATATCGGATCGGATTTATCGGAGTTTGCAATAGTTTATCCATATATAATAAATAATAATAAATATTTACTAACAATCAAGCCACGTTAACTGGTCCCGTGATAAGTTCGTTCGTTGTGTTACAGGTACCAGATTACGGATATAAATGTAAGATTTTTATTATACACATACATATATTTAATATACATCCATAACGCTAGAAAAGACATTTATATTTATCATACAAATATCTTCCCTTGGCGGGATTGGAACCCGCGACCCCCTTGTGTAGTGACCATGTCACTTACCACTACAGACGGCCGTTGAATATATAGTCTCTAAAGACTCTTAAAGCATAAGGCGGAATAACTACCCACTGTTCTGACCCAAAACACTAATAGGAAATAAAAATATGGTGATAAAAATGTATATTTAAATAACACTGCTATATACATACATTCATTTTGCAAGTGACATTAGTGGTCACTTAAATCTAATCTATCATTCGGTGTTGAGACCCTTAGTCCGTGGGGTAGTAGCGCTATAAGCCTTTTTAAGGAAATAGCAAAAAGGTTAGTCGACATCACAGGAGACAGAAGAGCTGGTAGCTACCTCGAACAAAGAATTAGTCTAGCTATTCAAAGGGGGAACGCTGCCATTATATTCGGAACCTTGCCTAAGGGGACTCCTTTTAATAATATATTTTATGTAGTTATTATATTATTATTTTTAAGATTTTTACTTTTAGGTTCATTGTTCTAGTATATATTTTTTAATTTCTGTAATTAAATATACATTTAAACATATAAGTCTTGCATAGAGATAAATAAAACTAATCTAATCTTAACCTTAACCTTAAATCTAATGTAGCATGGTCGGAAACAAGTACTAATAAGGCCTGCCGTTCCCGGTAGACTTACAAAAAGATAAAAAAATTGAGTGTGTGAACCCTTACACCTCGAAATTGTTAAGCCATGTTATAATTTGTTTTACTTAATGAATCATGACGTATTTTATTAAACCTTTCCAATTACTGTAACAAAAACATACTCACTTATTGTTCGATAGTGGGTACTTCTCGAAGCTGTCAAGAACAGTAAATCTAGTGAGTGTCTAATATTTTTTTTCTTTTTATCCTCATTACATTTTATGTAACAACGCCTACGTCTCGATGTGCGATCGAAATAATTTGAATAGATGAATACATAATGTGGTTGGCAGACTTGTTTATTACACTAAAAAGACTTTTCGTAAAAATAGCACAGATATACTTTTAACATTTAGTCTCCATAATATTAAAAACACGAAAAAAAAAATAACAGGTATTATTTACATATGTAGCTTAAAATTGTCATTTTTTGTGTTTTTAAATTCGTCAAAGGAGTTAAATAGACAAAAGTTTTAAAAGAAACCGGAAAGTATGTGTTACGGCCAGAGTGATAAATTAGTTTTTTTTTTTATTAGCCTGGGTAGTAAGTAGCCTAGTATGTCGCAGCTCAACGGACATGGGCCGTATGTCGGGGTTTTTCATAGCGTGCATACCGTCATCCACATGAGACCATAGATGAAAGTTTCATATGCATTGGGAGCACAACTATCCATCGTTCAGAATGAAAAGCGTGACTACTTGGCGGAAAAATTAGTACAACAACAGTACCAACCGATGCGTAATAACGCGCCCTACCACTGCCAAGCTACAATACTAATACAGTAAAAGCTGTTTATTCGCGGGTATATCTAATATATAAAATTCTCGTGTCACAATGTTAGTTACCATACTCCTCTGAAACGGTTTGACCGATTTTTATGAAATTTTGTATGCATGTTCAGTAGGTCTGAGAAACGGCAACTATTTACTTTTCATACCCCTAAGTGGTAAGGGTTGTCCACCCCTAAGTGGTAAGGGTTGTCCACCCCTAAGTATTATTTTTTTATTTTTTGGACAATTTTTTTTTTGTTATAAAGATGCATTATGTGGTTGAATGAGGTTTTGTTATTTTTATATTCCTACATCGTTCACAGCGCTACATGCCTCACTCATTTCACTCATTCACCATATCCTTACACGCTTACAATAAGTTAGTTTTTTTTTCTTACACTAGATTTTCCCTGGAAATCTTATATATGGCAAAACAACGTTTGCCGGGTCAGCTAGTGTTCCATAAATGTGTCGCAAATACAGAAATCGTGAATGTGGAAAACGCGTTTACAAAGTATATTCGGTTGGATATGTACATATTGGAATCCTTTTTATCAATGTGCATGTACCGATGTACCGATAAGGTCTGCGAATAAAGAAATCTTTAGCCGCGAATCTAGGAATTGGGTCGCATTTTTTTCATCCGCGAATAGTGAAAACGTGAATGAAGGAAGCACAAATAATTAACTTTTACTGTACTAATTATTTATTACAGATTAGTTTAAACCAAAAACCTATTTATATTTTATAGTAAGAATTAAGTATTTCTTACTAAATGATATTTATTTTTTAACACCTTATTTTTCAAGTGAAAATAAATCACTTTAACCAGTTATTAAATAATCAACGGATAAATAGAGATGTGTGTTTTAAATCGATTAATCAGAGCCGAATAATTTATATTAGAAACTCCCGCCTTAGCTTCGTTAATTTATGTTCGGAAGAAACCTTCAATATCACCTGGGATCAAAGAAGGACGATCAAAATTCATATACAATATGTATATGAAAAATGTTGAACAAATATAGTTTAGTTCTTTACCCGAAAGTTCACAGATTACTGTGTGGAAACAAACAAGAATGGTTGTCCATTTGTAAAATTTATCATATAATAGAGTATTTAACAATTAGCAACAATTAGCAACAGTTAGCAAATAATTGTTAATTATAATTTTTGATTTATCACATTAACCGTAACATATACATTAAAACTTGAGTTTTTCTTTTAACTCGCAAAATACGGAAAGAAAAATGAAAAAAACAAAAAAAAAATAAACGTAAGTAATTTTTTAAAGTTCTTTATACTCACGTCCAGTCCGCTGGCCGGGCATGACGATGGCGCTCCTCTGGTCATGTCTTAGGAGGCTCTCGGCCTCCGCCCCACCTTGATGGCTCATCTCCATGTTTCCGACGTTGGCCTATATCATAAATGTGATACGGACATCTGTGCAAGGCACCGGCTTCGGAGTTCTGGCAACAAAAGTTAGACTTATAACAGTGGTCATTTGAATTTTATTTTTGGAAATAGGTCTTCGGGGCAGACGACGATATGTTATGTCGATTTATTTCGAAACATTTCAGTGATTAGCATTCAATTATACTTAGATTTAGAATTTTTGTTTTTAGAATTATTTTTGTGCATTTTATTTGACATCACTCTACGTCTGATTCTCCGTTTACTTCTTCTAATTCACGCCACCGATTTTGATACGGTTGTCGGTCATACGAGCGATAAATGAGGAAGATTAGTGTTTAAACTTAAATAATCTATGATCACAACGATAATTGTGTCCGAAAACTGCTTTCGTAGTCTTACATTGCTTTTTTTCCTACCTCTGCTGATAGCCTTGAGAGGCCCTAACATGTAGGTGAGCTCACGGGGCTCAAGCCGGAGTGTTGCTAACAACAGCCCTAGCAAGAGCAGTGCTTCGCAGAATCTACCACCGGATCGGAAACGCGACCCACTGAGAAGATTCGGCGAGAAACTCAGTGGGCTGTGTCTATGGGTTAATTCGCTCAGCGAGCCCTTCGCCGCAAGCGACGGGTTCGACGAGGACGGTGACCGGTGCTTGTGGTACCTAAAAGCACCGTTAATGGATCGGGAGGATCCGTAATCACGTGTTTTGGGCGACGTCGACTATTTACTATTCGGGGTTACATAGCTAGTGCTGGCCCAATCTTAAGAAAAAGCGTAGTCCACGCAGAGCGGTGGTCAGATAGCTAGTTTATTACAATAACACATGATATATGATTGATATAAAAATAAAGTTCACGTGTGAGCAATGCCTCGGATTGTTTTGTTAAGAATTAGCACTGATACATAGTTACGACGCAGAAGCATCACCCTAAAAGAGCGAAGAAATTTCAAATTTAGATTGTATAAAAAAACCTGTCTATATTGTTTTACATAACATTACAAGCTTATAAATTACACAATATATCTATGCACATAATCCGCCATCCCTTTATCTTGTACTACTGTTTATCGTTGGTAACAAGATAGCATTGTTATGTAGGTAAGTAACTAAATTATATTTTACCAGTTTGATTTCCACTTTATCTCATTGTTGTTTATATTTCAAGATAATAGCACGGAATATGGAGCGATGTTACGCTCGGATCTTGTGGAATGCACTGCTCAGTCGCATATTTGTAACATTCAACATAAATACTATATTTTGCCCTATAGTTGAACCACCAAAATTCAGAATCATATATTATAAAGCTGAAGAGTTTGTTTGAACGCGCTAATCCCAGGAACTACTGGTCCGATTTGAAAAAAAAATTTTAGTATTAGATAGCCCATTTATTGAGGAAGGCTATATAACATCACGCTATGACCAATACAAGCAGAGCACTAATAAGGAATGTTTCAAAATCGGGGTTTTTTTTCCCTTTTGAGAACTTTCCTAAAGTTTCGCTAAAATAATGTATGACAAAATTGTTCCCCTTTAAAAGATTTATAAAAAATCCGCGACAGCATGTCTATATGTTAAGGTTGGCTCACTATAACGTTTTTTATTCTAACCGAATTTGTTCAAATAAAGCATTATTTGTGTGAACTATTCCATGCGGAAGTCGCGGCCAAAAGCTAGTATAATATATTTCCATGATTAGACAGAAGGCATCAGGTGAGCCACTCAACCCACCAAAGTTCGATGCCCTCGTAAAGCCAAAAATGGCGGGACGTATTTAGGTGAAAAAAATATTAGAATACAAAAATCTTGTTTTACGTATTTCCTAGCGAGTTGATTCTGTGGAGGCGATAGGCAGCGACCAAATCAAAGATCGACCGATAAGGCGGGTCGAATTTAAGGAGTAAAATGACATTTTACAGAATTTGATGTTCAGTCTACAGCATGAAGCATGAATACCACCGCATAACTCGAGACGTAAGGTCGAATTTTAAATTCAATTGCATATCGACTGTCACCCCTACAAGGCGGCACAAATTATCAGGACGATGATACCAACCAATGCGAATTTACATCACGCCCTAATTCCGCAAATTTATTTTGCCACCCCGCCCCAAATTCAAGTATGCCGATATACATTCACAATGGAATATGAATGAATTGGAATTTATATCCGCGGAAGCGCTTACGTATCGCTTTTTTGAATCGTAAACAGTTCAAACCAAAGAAGCTCTGTATTTGTGGACTCTCACTTTAATAGGACTATTGGCCAAACTATATTGGCCTCTTGCATTCTATGACTTTCCTATTTTATTCCAGGTGAGGAGCCATCACCTTGGTATGAGTCTGAGGGAAAAACTGACTAACAATTTCTCTTATATACTGAATCGGTCTGAATTCATATTTTCACAACCTGAGCCGTAAGCTAAATGCAAATTTGATTCCGGAAAAATGGGAGTACTCAACAAAGCAAAGCAGAACACTGTCCTGATGTGAATCGAAACAGAGATTCATGCTTTACAATGTTGTGGTCTAGCCTTATATGAGAAATTACTGCTATTGGGTATACTTTCAGATACTATCATTTGACTTGACCCATACCACCAAGGCAATGCACTCCTCTCATTAGTGTTTCCAAAGCACTGTGACAATTCCTTATTCAAATGAATTCAATGAATTCCAGTCACATCTTGAATTTTTTTATATTAATTATCTTTTATCATCACACATCAAAAATAATTAAATACTATATTTAGTAAATATGGATCATGGCTTGTTAGTTTTTGGCAAGCCGTACTAGTCTTTAGTCTCTAGACCGAACTAGAGACAGGATGATCCAACTATACAATTCAGAGACATGTATGTATAAGGTTTCTGTGTGATACGTCTTTTTGTCAGATATCTTGATCTCTACTTTAATTTTAAAAGTTAATTACAACATGAACATTTTTTAATTTTTTTTTATTGCTTAGATGGGTGGACGAGCTCACAGCCTACCTGGTGTTAAGTGGTTACTGGAGCCCATAGACATCTACAACGTAAATGCCACCACCCACCTTGAGATATTAGTTCTAAATGTCAGTTTATAGTAATTGTTAAATAATCAAAATATTTAGGCAAGAATTATTTTTTTACCTTTGTTTAAATATTGGATTGATTCCATTTTGTATGGAAAAATATTGAAATGATATTTCCATTCCTGGACTTCATACATTCATACTTTATTAAATAGTTTTAATAAAAACCATTTTAACTGCAAATATTAGGTAGGTACCTATTTGTAATGTTAAAAATTGGTTTTTGCACACTATACATTATAACTATGTAAGTAATATGATTATTGTCCAAAAGAGCTAAGAGTAAGCTTTTTAAGAATCGTATGTTAAGCTTTTATTACAAAGGATTATGAATTGAAAACTAACTATATATATTTTCGGAAACGTGCTTCGTTCAACGCGTGGTTACCATTTACTTATCACTTACCGTCCTAATTTTACTGTGTCCTAAATAAACTTTTCAAGAAATCTATTAAGTTTTCACTATACACAAACTTTTTACTATTAATAACTACACTTTTATTTTTAAAGGGTTAAGCACGTCCAACACGCGCGCGTCTCAATGTTTCCTTAACACTTGTGATTTATATCATTCATTTCATTGTAGTAAGTTTATTATCTATGTTCATTGTGTGATTGTGTGAATGTATTTTTTAGTTTCACAGACTATATAAGGATTACAGAGTATACAGAAATATAATAGTCTAATAACCGTGTTATTTATTAGTACTCATTGGTTTATCTTAATATATTAATTTGACTCTAATAAATATGTTAACTAAAAATAATAACCGATATTCTGATAGGGATGCCGATTTACATTAAGATCGAGATCGAAAACATTTCTTAGAAATCTATCTTTTTGAAGTGAGTTAAGTTTTGATTTACGTGATAAATACGAGTTAATAATTTACGTCACACAACACTTGATTAATCAGGATTTAATCGATACAAATTTCAAAAACATCAATACCAGTATAGATGTCGTCGTAGCTTAAAGGATGAGACGTCCGGTATATTTGTATCAAGCGAGGCAACGCAACGGTGTTCGAATCCCCAGGCGGTACCAATTTTTCTAATGAAAGACGTAGGTAGTTAATAAACGTTCACAACTGACTTCCACGTAAAGGAATAACATCGTATAATGAAAATTAAGCCCGCAAAAATATAATTTGCGTAGTTACTGGTGGTAGGACCTTTTGTGAGTCCGCGCAGTACCACCACCCTGCTTATTTCTGTCGTGAACTATAATGCGTTTCGGTTTGAGGAGTGGGACAGCCGTTGTACTGTTACAACAAGGACCTTTACTTTATCTGTCGTGATAGGTTAAATATAATATCGAGGTTGTAATTTATTTATTTCTTATTTTAATTATATAATATGTATTTATGTAATAATTTTTGTGTTTGATTGAATTCAATTCACCTAATTTTTTGGATGTGAAACATCTATAGCCGCACGTAAAACCGATTTCTGGCGTGGCGACGCATGCCGTGGCGACGCGTCACCACGCTATATGATGGTATATATATACAGTCTATATGCAGTAGTGTGTACGGTGTGGCGACGCGTCGCCATGTGCAATCGACTGTGCGATTCTCTCCCACTCGATCCGGCGTTATGCCATCTTTCTCGCTACACTGAGCTCGGATACCTATAGTGTATACTCCGTAGTGTATAGTGTTGTTTACTACAGTACACATAACCTGTGTTTTACTTCAAAACAAATTATTTTTTCGTAATATTTTCTTTTATCATTATGACATATTTAGTTCCTATCACAATCGTATCTTTTCTGCATATTACTTTTACAAAATAATGTCGATGTTTCACATCTGCCAGGCGTCCCGTGACTGCTCACTTTTTTTTTACAATTCATTTGTCGATATTAATTGTTTATAAATTTATAATAATGCGTTCTAGACGAAAAAAAACCAGATCTAATCATAAATGTTTACTGTCTAAAATCGATTTCCAGACTACCTGAAATCGATTTCAGTTAAATTAAGTAGGTATTTGAAAAATCAATCTCAAATTACCATTCAATAATATGATTATTAAGGGTATAATCTATGCTTTGTTTGTTGAAGTTGAAATTTGAGGACTTTTTGGCGGGAGCGCGAGGAGTGGAGTTGTGTGATTTGTTTTAATTTGTCTAGTTAGTGTTTCTTCAGATTTAAATGTATAATAACGGTGGTTTATTAACTGTTGAGTATCTGTGAAAGTGCACAAATCTGGGAAAATGAAGCAAAGCCACTAAACGTAACTTCTCGGCATCTTCCAAAAAGTCCACTGAAAAAGTCTCAGTAAATGACCACCATTTTACTGAGAATATACTTCATCCCATATCATCTCATCTCATGACATTTCATTTCGTTTTCATTTCACTTCATGCCATGTTTCATACTATTCAACTTCATTTCATTTCATAATATCAAAAGTTACATATCATTAAAATTAAAATAGGACTTAACCTAAAGGTCATAGTTACTAGGTCATAAAATCACTTAAAAAAAAAGTTGAAATTTGGGACTTTTTGGCGGGAACGCGAGGAGATAAGTTGTGCGATTTGTTTTATTCTGTCTATTTAGTGTTTCTTCAAGTTTAAACGTGTAATAGCGGTGGTTTATTAACTGTTTAATATCTGTGAAAGTGCACAAATCTGAGAAAATGAAACAAAGCCGCTGGACGTAACTTTTCGGGATCCTCCAAAAAGACCACTGAAAAAATCTCAGTAAATGACCACCATTTTACTGAGACTATATTTCATCCCATATCATCTTATCTCATTACATTTAATTTCATCCCAGTTGATTAATGTCCCAAATTCTTCATTTCATTTCACTGCATATTACCATTTTTCACAAAAATATCCCATATCACATCATCTTATCTCATTTCAATTCATTTCATTTCATGCCGTGCCATGTTTCATATTAAATTGTCATATTTCATAAAAATATACATATAAAAGATTAGGCTGTATGCTATGATACCTTTGCCTTTCCATTTGGCAAAATAAAACTACTACTACTCTTTACAGATTCTGAAATGTATGTTTAATATTCGCAATTATCATCAAAGAATCGAAATAAGTAAATAATAAGTAACAAATAATAAAATAAGTAATAAAGTAGGTTCGTCATTTTAAAGTGAAATTTGCATTGTACTGTAATTTCAGTTTTTAAAAATGTTGGCATTATTTTATCAAATGAAAATGGCTCATCGTCAATCCAACCGAATGGATGTAGATTTTATCGATTACTATCGTAAAATCCAACGGAACTTTAGTACAACAAAAGACAATCTCGCTTCGAAATGCAGAATTTGCTTAAATTCGGGCTGTGTACTAATCACAGACAACGATAACACTAAACAACTGTTGGAGACCCTACAAGTTTTAGGCGATATAAATATAGATGAAGAAAAGGCATGGCCCAAATATTTGTGCGAAATGTGCTATAAATTTTTAATGATAGTAATCGAATTTAGAAACGTCGCAAAACAGTCATTAGAAATATTAAAACTACCAGTCAAAGAAGAGATATTTGAAACACAAGAATTAAATATTTTTAATGATGCTAATGACAATCACAATAATGATGCTGAACAATGGTCCCACGAACAAGCCCCCGCTTGTGAAGAAAACCCCCCAAAGAAAACAGGAATGAAGTTTTCACAAAAAATAACATGCAAAGTATGTAGTAAAGTAGTCACGAAATCATATTACAGAGACCACATGACTATGCATGATCCTGATCATAAAAAGTATGTTTGTGATAAATGTGGAAAATCATTCCGATTACGATGTGCATATCACAATCACAATCGTAGACACACAAATGACTTCTCATATAAATGTCAATTTTGTCCTTATAGGGGTCGATATCCAGAATTACTCAAAACACATTTAAGAACACATACTGGAGAATACCAATTTATGTGTACTGAATGTCCTGCTCGTTTTTTGTTTAAAAGTAACTTAAATACTCACATGTTTAAGCATAAAATACCACAATTTAAATGTGACGGGTGCAAGAGAGCTTTCCACTCAAAATTATTGTTACAGAGACATTATCAAGCTGATCATGTGGGTATAAAAAATCATGTATGCAACATTTGTGGGAAGGCTTTTGGTTACCGAAACGCTATGATGAAACACCAAAGACGTGTTCATAAAAGAGAGAAAATGCTTCACGGACGAATGCCATCTTATTTGATGGCTGTGCATGACAATGCTGAACAGAATTTTGATTGAAATTTTTTTCAATGTAATATCATATATTAAACTTCCTGATACCAATAATTTCTGTCTGTTTTTAAAGAAATTATTAAATTAATTTAAACTCACTGAATGCTGTTTCAGGGTGGTAATTGCCATTGGGTTTCTTTGTATTTAACATTACATATCTCATAGGTTCCCCTAAACAGAATTCTTTAAAATGACAGGGACACGGTCAAGCTGTTGAGAATTAATAAAAACTATTTGAATCTTGTTTGAGGAAGGACATCAGTGCTCAGAAAAAAACACCATGGTGCGTGTTCATTACAAAGTTGAACATTGTGTAAAGATTTCTGGGAAAGCACTATTAATAAATTTTGCTCCGATAGGAGTCTGTGAAACTTAAAAGATAATAAAGGGATTATCTTTATTAATTGCTCAAAGCACTCCCTGTCCTCATTTTAAGTGTATTTGTTATTTATGGATGGCATTTTCTGTGATAATATCTTATTCATCCTGTTTTTTGTTTTTGTTTTATTGCTTAGATGGGCGGGTGAGCTCACAGCCCACCTGACGTTGACGTTAACGGAGCCCGTTGACATGAACTCTGACATGTAAGCAATCTCACAGGGGTTCAAACTGAGAGAACTTGCCAACACTAGCCCTAGCAAGATCTGTCTTTTGCTTAACCTACCACCGAATCGGAATCGCGATCACTGAGAAAATCCGGTAAGCAACTCAGTGGGTTGTGTCTATGAGATAGGTTGCAAGTCGAACCTTTTTTTTTTTCGGGCCGGCGGCCTAACCTACGAGGTCCCCGCGCCTAGGGGGCGCGCGGGGTATGTGGGACTCGACGATTTGCAAGGTGTTGGAAGCAGACCGCGGGCCCAAGGAATTTTAGGGCCCACCCACTAAACGACTCCCCTGCACTCTTACACCCGACATCCGATCTCCGTTCGGGGTCAAAACCCGGTCAGAGTAGGGGAGTTCCCGCAGTCAACACTACAACCAGACACGCGGCGCCACCCCGAGGACGCCCGACCGACGGGTCGTTGAGGCGATAGTCTACGACCAACGACGTTGTTCTTCGCGGTACGGCGGCCCTACCAGGCCGGCCGGGCGATGCCGCTGGGCCAGAACCAGCCTGCCGGATCGGAACGCGATACACCGCCGACCGGGTTGCTCTTCCACAGTATGTTCGGCGTCGACAGCGACGACGAAAATGCGGACCGCCGACGCGTCGTCCCGTCCTCCTGGTGCCAGCGCGCTAGAGTAACGGTAGCGTGCGGCGCAGTCTTAACCCCCTTAGGTCGCCCCGTGACCATCACCGGGAGGAGACTGCCTGAAAGTCAAATCAAACTCAACTCGATAAGACGGTAACGGTGCTTGGAGAGCCTAAAAGCACCGATAGTGGATCGGGAGGGTCCGATAGGACACGTTTTGGAAGTTGACAGCGGCTTTGCGTCGCCCCGTCGCATGGGTGGAATATATGTAGATGCGACCACGATAAGAGGGTCATCTTGTTGTGCAATTTTTTCCAAGAACCCGTCTGACGCTGTCCTCATATCGTATCGATTCCAATTGGAGGACGTCGTGATAATCTACATTCCTCACATAGAACTGAGCTGGGACGGCTGGTCTGCAGAAACGGGATTGGAAGACCTGGAAAGGGCTTATGCTGGCCGCGTGATCGAACGGGTGATAGTCATGGATCGTTTGGAACCTATGTCTGCGGAGGGACTTCGCTTCTCTCTGTATTTTGTACCGTAAGTTCCATGGGGAATACTCCGATGAATTGTTTGAGACGATCCCATCATATCGTTTTTACCATCGCACCGCTCGCTCCATGACATGCCCTTCAAACGAGGCTTGTGGAGAGTACTTAACCGTGGGCAACGGCTTGGCTCTGCCGCTGGCGTTGCTGAAGTCCATGGGCGACGGTAACCACTCACCGTTAGGTGGGTCTTAAGTTCGTCTGTCTACAAGGGCAATAAAAAAAACAACGCTTGCATAAAGTCATGACTGAACGTATGTAAGTTTTGTAGTGTCACCTTATTAATAGGTGTCAATTTACTTCGTAAAAATGATCCAATTACTAAATACAGTCAAACCTGGGTAAGTGAGAACTGGATAAGTAAGAAAACTCTATAAGTGAGAGTAATAGCAAGGACCCGTCATTTTAAGCTCCCAAAACCTCTATTAGCGAGAAACAGAAACCTCTGTAAGAGAGAGTCGTTTTTTCCTCATGGACCTCCGTAAGTGAGACTGCTACCTATCTATACCTCTATAAGCGACAGCCGAGCTTTATTTATTTATTTATATTATTTAGGAGGAACAAGTGACAAAACAAATTACAAATTTAACATTGCTATTTTATGACTCATTTTTAACTTTCGTGGAACTTCCTATCATTGTTTTTGTATTGTTTTCTCGTGAATATTGAATCTATTTTATTTCGTGGAACTAAATAACGTTGTTATTTTATCGTATTCTTTTATCGCATTATTTTCGAATGGACACGTGTGCCTTTTTTTTATGATTGAAGGATTACTGGTGGCCCGGAGGCCTTTCCAGTTTCACCAGGACAGGTGGGCAAGCAAAGGCTCAGCCAGGAGGGGTGGGATTTGCTAACAGCTACCCGAGCGCCTCCGAAGGAGACCTAACAGCTCAAGAGCAGCTGCTTCGCGAATGAATCTACTATCGGATCGGAATCGAATACGTATAACGATGAAAAAACGCTAGATACAACAACAAAAACAAAGATAAAATAACTAGGTACGGTACCTATTCACACGTTGTGATTACTACTTGCTCTGCCTGTTCACTTAACTTGACAAGTTGACACCTCGCGTTCCCGCCAAAAAGTCATAATTACAGAGACAATCGGTACCTGTACCCACTACCTACATTGATCCATTGATTGTTATGCCGGCCACTGACATGCGCGCAAATATTCGTACATTGTACGAATGTTTGCGCGCATGTGAAAGGCCGTCAAACATTAATTCGCAAACCTAGCGGCTGTGCAAATGGGTTCGCATACTCAATTTGCGAACCCGTTTGCGCTTCCTCCTACACTTGTTTACGAATGTCTCACGAATTTCTCCTTCTTTTTAATTCGTCAATAGAACATTGAAAAGAAAAAGATTTTTGAATTCTTTCCCAGACATCACTAACAGCCATGCTGTTTTTATGGGATTTCTTTTGATGAAGATACGCTACACAGTAGACGTCACGAACTATGAAAATGGCGATACGTCCGTTACCTTCGCAATCGTCGGCGCAACCAAATATATTAAGTGTATAATCTATGGGCGCAACTGGGCAAGCGAATGTGTGGGAGACTACGCGAAAGTTCGAGGTTCGCGCGCTTTGATGTCTGTTAAAAAACCGACACAGCTTGGAAAACCACGAATGCAGCGAAAATTTTGCATAATCATTCGCAAATGTCGTCTTACACGTCTTGCGGGTTTGCGTATTCGTGCGCATGTGAGTGACCGGTGTTACACGCTCAGAGATGTGGAACGTTTCCAAAACGAAGTAGATAACTAACTACTAAGTAAATAGTTTAAAAAGAAAACAGTGAGGTACCTATTATAGAAAGTACACCTAATGTCTTCATATATATTCTTAAAATTACTAAGGAAGAAACGTAATGTCAAATTATCCCAAAAAGAAAGGCAGAATTCGCAATCACCTTCGAACTCTGTACATGGCGACAATATCTGCAGAATTTGCCTTAAGGAGGGATATCAATATATTTTTTCTAGTAAAAATACCTTTAATATACAAGACGCGATAAAAACAATAACAGGTATCGAAATATGCGAAACTGATTCCTATCCCAAATGTGTTTGTAGCAACTGCTTTGCCCTTCTCCAAGGAGCTGTTAAATTCCGAAACACTGCTATTGACTCTGATAAACTTCTTCATCAAGCAGTAACAGCAGACTTCCAAATCGATAATGCAAACGATGAGGATAGTAACCAATCAGAAGAAATGCCGCTTGTTGCATATAAGGAGAAAAAAAAACTAAGAATCCAATGTAATCTCTGTAAAGCGATAATCAGATCTGACTCATACCAAAAACATTTGAAGCGGCATCAGTCAGCAACTCACTTGGTATGTGAAGTGTGTGGCAAACTATATCGGAAAGACAACCTGATCAGACATTTACAGTTACACAGTGATTATTTACCACATGTGTGCCAAATATGTCCATACCGAGGCAGATTCTATGAGTCATTAAAAATACATTTACGTACCCACAGTGGTGACAAGCCTTTTTCCTGTGACAAGTGTAGTCTAAGATTTTTGACACGAAGCAACCTCAACAGGCATCTTCTGACTCATAAAAAAGAAAAACCCTTTAAATGCTTGGAATGTAGTCGAAGTTTCTATTTGAAGAGAGACATGGAAGCACATTTTAAAGCAGATCATACAGGTGTAAAGGATTTTGTATGTGATGCCTGCGGCAACAAGTATGGAACAAAGAAGGCATTGATGAGACATGAACTTAGAGTACACAAAAGAGACAAAATGACAAAGGGGCGAACACCTCTGTACTTATTAAATAACAGAAAATGCAATGGAGTCCAATAGTAATTAATGTAGTACATCTTTTAACATTTCACTGTGCTTGATCATTCCATTTATTTTCATTATACCTGAATTATTTAAGAATGTTGTTAACTAAAATGTACATACTTAATCTATTAATGAAATTATTCAGTTGATTACCAAAAATTTAAATAAAAAACATTTTTTTAATACCATTTATTGCGAATAAACAAATTAAGCAAAAAATAGTACAAATTAATGTTTAACTAGCCCTGATAATGTTGGCAAGGTTTTAGTAGAAAGAAGAAAATTTATTACCATTTTATTCAGAAATTAAACCTTACCCTATAAGCCATATTGATTCTATTAAAAGCTTAAAATTCTAATGCGTCATGTTTATACAAGTATAACTGACCCTCATTAGTAAGTTTACATTTTGCTAAAATAGGTCCATTGTACGAAAAGACAAAGTGCCAGTATTATTCCGCATATAATATATTTATCTTTGGTAAATTGAGTATGTTTATAAGTGACTAGAACCATATGATTACAAATGTACAAATCATCATATTTGGGTAAATAAATTAAATAGCAGTAAAAGTAATAAATCAAAGAAATTGCATAAATACTCTTAAGAGTTTGCTTGCATACATGTACTATGTTGATTATAATTTCATTGTTCTAATAATACATATTCTTGTAAGTATATTTGATATTCCAATTTATTGAATTGTAACATCCCTCTTTTCCTTTTTTGGTTTCAAATTGTCATTTAAATATAAATTACAAATCTTATTTATAGACATCTACTTGACAATGGAAGATTCTTTTATAAATATATAATTTACATTTTGTATAACAACATCTAAATAAAGGCCACATTATCACTTATGGTTACACAACACTGAACAATTTATTGAACATCATTAATTTTAATTAAGATTCATATTTTATTTAGGTATATTCATATTTTTGTATACACAAATGAAGGAAATTAATAACTGTTAGAATTTCATACAAAAATTTAAAATTATTTTTTTAAGATTTCAATTAAATTAATAGTTTAACTCTGGTTAACAACAATAAATATGATTATAATATTGGCAGTTAATATAGAGTATATATTTAAGTATAATATTTAAAGACAAAAGACATTAAACACTTCACTTAGCAGAGATAAAACATCAGTAAAAAAAATGACTAGAAATATATCTTTAAAACATATAAGTTAGTATTTTATTTTATAGTTTTTTGCTCAGTTTTGTGCAAAATTTACCTAAAAATATTTTTTTGCATGATTTAATCATATGATGGTCCTCTACACATTGTAACTATGAACATAGAAGCAAATATAAATTCCAAAACCTGTAAACACAGCATTAGAGTGCACCAGATACACTCTATACGGAGCACCACCACTTGGAAGGCCAGGAGATACAATACCCCCATGATCGATGGAATTGTCAGTAGTACTGAGAACAATACTGGTATATCTGTGAAAGTTGAACAAGTTTAATTTTTCTTTGAACTTTTTTAAAATATTAATTTTGTATCAAGGGAAATTAATAGACTCTATTGGTATTATTTTTAGTGCATTAATAGTTGTGTAGAAGCAGCTTTTAGGTATTTTGTCTTTAAGATAATATACAGAATTTGTTAATAAATAAAATTGAAACTTACCTTTTTCGCTAAGACTGCCTTTGCGCCCCAACAATAGCCTCAGAGCTTCAACCACAAATAATCCAAATAGAACGCCATAATCTCGACCAAGTTTAGTCGGATCTTGTCCAACGTTGTACTTTTCAATAATAAGTACTGATTTGAGAATGAGAGTTCCGAGCTCACAGGTTGCGAAGAGACCAAAATAAAACGAATTTATATATAAAAGGATTTCGTAAGCCAAACTAGAATTCACCATTTTTTTAAATTATAACTATTTATTGTACCATTCAATCAGTGGAAATATATTTTATGAGTTTTTAATAAAAGCCGAACAATTCTCGTTCAATTGGAATTTGGAATACTTTTACGAAATAAAAATCACTTCTTGCGATAGCCATAGATAATCTATTGCGGCAACAAGTGTTTTTTTAAGGGATTTTATGACCTGGTAACTAAAATCTTTAGGTCAAGTCTTAATTTTAATGAAAACTTTTTAATGTAAATGTAATTGTGAAATGAAGTTGATTAATATGAAACATGGCATGGCATGAAATGAAATGAGATGAGATGGTATGGGATGAAATATAATCTCAGTAAAATGATGGTTAGTTACGGAAACTTTTTCAGTGGACTTTTTGGAGGATCACGGGAAGTTACGACTTTTTTTAAAAAAAAATATTGCTTAGATGGGTGGACGAGCTCACAGCCCACCTGGCGTTAAGTGGTTACTGGAGCCCATAGACATCCACTACGTAAATGCGCCACCCACCTTGAGATTTAAGTTCTAAGGTCTCAAGTATAATTACAACGGCTGCCCCACCCTTCAAACTGAAACGCATTACTGCTTCACGACAGAAATAGGCAGGGTGGTGGTAACTTGTTTTATTTTGTCTATTTGGTATTTCTTCAGGTTTAAATGTGTAATAGCGGTGGTTTATTAACTGTTTGGTATCTGAAAGTGCACAAATGTGGAGAAATTAAACAAAGCCGCTGGCCGTTGCTTCTCAGGATCCTCCAAAAAGACCACAGAAAAGTCTCAGGAAATGTCCACCATTGTACTGAGATTTGTTGGAAGGTCGTGATGCTGTCCACGTATAATTGTCTATGATGCACTATATTTGATGTGCAGTGTCATTCTGAATTATATTTTCTCTTATACAAGTCAACACAATGTTTTCAAGTATTTAATTTACGTTTTAATTAATTGCTATAGCCGCTAGTCCACCCTATCAGTGGTAGCAGAGCGTGGTTACATAAATATCTAGTGGAAAATGGAAGAAGCATATTAAAATTTAAAATAGTAAGTAAATGAGAAAATAAAAAATTTTTTAAAATGAGCTCGAGTATCAGAAACATAGAACCGCTGACAAAATCAAACTATGATACCTGGTGCTTACAAGCACAGGCGGTTCTCGTAAGATACGATTTATGGGAATACGCTAGTGGTGCAAAAGCGTTAGCGGCAACTACAACTGCCGAAGAAAAGAGTGCGTTCATAAAGGAAGACTTAAAGGCAAGGTCAGAGCTAATTTTACTTATATCTCCACCAGAACTGAAACAAGTTAAAGGGTGTAATACATCCAAGGAGGTATGGGACAAACTTAAGTCTATTCACCAAAGTTCAGGGCCGGCAAGAAAGGCTACGTTGTTAAAGCAGCTAGTAAAGAAAATGACTCCACAAGAAGATGTGAGAGACCATCTCAGTAATTTTATGGATGTAGTAGGTAAATTAGAAGACATGGATGTCAAAATTCATCCAGAGTTATTAAGTATAATGATGTTGTACAGTTTACCTACAAATTTCGATAGCTTCCGAACGGCAATTGAGTCGAGAGATGTTCTACCAAGTCCTGACAGTTTAAAAATAAAAATCGTAGAAGAATACGAAGCAAGAAGGCAAACCGAAGATAGTGAACCTCAGGCTTCAGAAGCTTTCTACACAAAGACGAAGAAAAAGGTACAATTTTGTAAGGATTGCAATAAGAAAGGGCATTCCACAGAAGCTTGTTGGTCAAAGAAGAAACCCAATAACCCCAATAAAACTAAAGGTCAAGAAAAGACATTTAACATCTGTTTAACAACAGGAACATCGAAATGTAAAGGCAATTTATGGTGTCTTGACAGTGGCTGTACGTCACATATGACGGGTGATAAAAGTATACTCCATAATTTAATCCCCGCGACTGACACTCTAAAGCTAGCTTCAGAAAACATACGACCGAAGTTAAAGGGAAAGGAAAAGCCGAACTTTATACAAAGGATCGCGCTATAAAATTAGTCTTTCTGACACATTATATGTACCTGTTTATCGAATAATCTAATTTCTGCAAGCAAAATTACGGATCATGGCTATAAGGTTCTATTTGAAAAAGAACAAGCCAGTGTCATAAAAGGCGGGAAAACTGTATTAAAAGCTAACAGAAGAAATGGATTATACTATCTTGAATTTGATAAACCGGAAGAGACAGCAAACTTCGCACCTAGTGATGAAAGCGAAATTATGAAATGGCACAAGAAATTAGGTCACATCAATGAAAGAGACCTAAAAGAAATGGTTAAAAATAAAATGATGCGAGGACTCGACTTTAAAGAAAAAACTTTGGGTACCTGTGAGACTTGTATAAAGGAAAATTTCCACTCTACCATTCCAAAGCCATGGACAAATAATCTCTACCGAAGTGCTCCAGATAATTCACATGATGTGTGTGGCCCATTTGAGAACGAATCAATGGCCGGATCAAAGTATTTCGTAACATTTATTGACGATTATACAAGATACTGCTGTGTATATTTCTTAAAAGAAAAGAGCGAAGTAATCGATAAATTCAAGGAATATAAAAACTATGTTGAACTGTTTCATAAGAAGAAAATTCAAAATCTACAAACTGATAATGGAGGCGAATACAGGTCTAAAGCGTTTGATAAATTCCTCAAAGATAACGGTATAAGCCGAAGACTATCTGCACCTTATACCCCCCAGCAAACGGCATGAGTGAAAGAAAAAATCGGTCGCTGATGGATAAAGCTAGATGTCTGATGATAGATGCCATATTCCTGCAAAACTTTGGGCAGAAGCAGTAAACACTGCAAACTATTTAATAAATAGAAGCCCAGCAAGAGCTCTCAAAGGCAATTCCCCATATGAGAAATGGGTACAACGAACACCATCAGGAAATCACCTACACGTATTCGGAAATAGAGCGTTTGTGATGAACAAAAACCGAAGAGGAAAATTCACAGCCAAAGCGACAGAAGGAGTATTCTTGGGATATGCGGAATATACAAAAGGTTTTAGAATATATATACCCGAAAGGAATGATGTTGTTATCAGCAGAGATGTAAAAGTAGTCGAAAAGATGCATTATAGCGGTACTCCTGCTGAGAAACGCGAAGGTCTTACTCCAGAACCTGAAACAGAACAAATTGAAATTCCAGAAAAAAGAAACAAATTAATGAGAACTTACCTTTTCAGGAACCTAACCCCCTTTATTCCAGCTCTAGTCAAGATCATGTTGATGAACCATCTCTCCAAGTGAAGACCACAAAGGGACGTGAGACCACCAGCATGGACCAAAATTATGAGTTAAGTCGCTGCGTGACCATTGTTACGTCAGAAAATATGATGACGACTATGACTGCTCTTTACTAACATACAAAGAAGCTGTGACTGGCACCGACAGACGAAATTGGGAGAAGGCGATACAATCTGAAATGGAAATCATTACAGAAAAATACACCTGGGTATTAGTAGACAAGTCAGAAGCCAAAGGACACAAAATACTGTCGAACAAATGGTGTTTTCGGATTAAAGATGACGGTACGTACAAGGCTAGATTAGTCGTACGTGGATGCGAGCAGAAAGGAAACCTGGATTTCGAAGACATTTTAGCCCAGTAGTAAGTCAATCTGCATTAAAAACTTTATTAGCAATTGCCGCATCTAAATCTTACTACTTCATGACATTTGACATCAAGACAGCTTTCTTATACGGAGAGTTATCAGATGAATTTATATGAAATTGCCTGTTGGCTATGAGACTAACTGCAATACTACTGAAGTAGTTTGCCGATTAAAAAAATCTTTGTACGGATTAAAACAAGCTCCATTTACATGGAACAAAACTTTTACCCAAGCGATGTTTGATTTGGGATTCAAGACAATCAAAACAGATCGATGCGTTTTCATAAACGAAGATAAGTCAATAATAATCGGACTATTCGTTGATGATGGACTTGTCATAGGAAAAGATAAGAAAAAGATCGAAGCTATTTTGAAGAAACTTGAAACCAAATATTTCAAATGAAAAAGAATGAAAATCCAAGTACTTATCTGGGTATGGAAATAAAAAACTCAAAAGAAGGAATAGTTCTTACTCAGAGATCCTTCATAAATGACGTACTGGGAAAATACAACATGAAAAATGCCAAACCTTGTGACACCGCCCCGCAAGTAGCGATTCAAAGTCGATACAGGAAACTGCCCAGGAGAAGGAATATCCCTATAGGGAAGCAGTGGGAAGTTTACTGTACCTGTCTACCAGAACCAGACCAGATATCGCACAAGCGGTCAATCTAGTTAGCAGGAAGGTCGAAAACCCCACTAGAGAAGACGTTACAAAAGTGAAGAAAATATTCAAATATTTAGTGGGAACCAAACATAAAGGCATTTTATTCAAACGAAACAAACCGATAGAGAGCATCGATGCTTACAGCGACTCGGATTATGCTGGAGACCCATTGACGCGAAGAAGCACTTCTGGTTCCGTGCTAATGATAGCCGATGGACCAATATCATGGGCATCCAAGAGGCAGCCTATAGTAGCGCTATCGTCGACTGAAGCCGAGTACATAGCCGCAGCAGACTGTTGCAAAGAGGCATTGTATCTCAAATCTCTATTACAGGAAACAACCGGTTTGGACATAAAAATAAATCTACATGTTGATAACCAAAGTTCGATTCAACTTGTGAAGTCTGGATCCTTCAACAAAAGGTCTAAGCACATAGACGTGCGGTACCATTTTATACATGAACACTTCGTGCATGGATTAATAAATATTAGCTACTGTCCCACAGAAATTCAGTTAGCTGACGTAATGACAAAACCATTGTCAAAAGTAAAATTTGAAAGACACTGTGCAAGATTAATGCATGTATAGAAACGTGTCTCGGCAACATGAGTGAACATCAGGAGAAGGTGTTGGAAGGTCATGATGCTGTCCACGTATAATTGTCTATGATGCACTATATTTGAATTTGTATTAAGTTCCTTTTACTTTTGATGTGCGGTGTCATTCTGAATTATATTTTCTCTTATACAAGTCAACACAATGTTTTCAAGTATTTAATTTACGTTTTAATTAATTGCTATAGCCGCTAGTCCACCCTATCAAGATTATATTTCACCCCATATCATCTCATCTCATTTTATTTCATTCCATTAGGGTTTTTTTCACTTTATTTCATTACATGTCATGTTTCATATTAATCAACTTCATTTCATTTCATAATATCATTTTTCATACATAAAAAATATAAATATAAAAGATTAGGGTGCATGGTATGATACCTTTGCCTTTCCAGCTGGAAAAATAAAACTACTACTACCTATTGATATTTAAACGTTGTAGGTACTTATTAACTCCATGATTTAAACAAAGTAAGGAAAATTAATGTCAATAAAGGAAGATGGTTTAATGTTTTCATTAAATAAGTGCAGAATATGCTTAAAATCGGGAGAAATCTTTATCCCAGGGATTGAAAATCTTTTAGAACAAGTTATTGAATTCGGTGGTGTGAAAATAACGGAAGATGATTTATTTCCTAAACATATATGCGATTCTTGTTACTCGTTACTTAAAGCTGCCTTACTTTTCCGACAGAAAGCGCAGAATTCGGAGAGGATTCTCAATTCTAAGAAGATGACTCTAGATTCTGAGGTAGCCAGCAGCGATTCAAAAAGTTCAGCAGACGAGGAAGACTTACACAATTTTAATGAACATAGCCAAACATATAGAAAGATTCAGCCAAAGCTCCAGGTTTTGGAAAACGACTGTAATGACAAATTTTCTGGTGATGAATCAACATCTCGTAATGGCGATTTCCAAATCGAAGACGAATTGGAAAGCTCTGGGTCAGAAAGAGAATATTTGGAGATAAATGATGACACTGATGATTTTCTGAGTACTAATGTAATGTGTGTAATAAATCAAGATAGTGAAATTAATTTAGTTTCTAATAAGGATAACGAAAACTATCATATAGAACAATACCAATGCGGTATGTGTAGTATGATTAGTGAAACCCTAGATAAGTTGGAGATACATTGTGAATTGAATCATAACATTAAGGTAACTGATACTATGAAATGTGATGTGTGTAAGGAAGATGTTAGTGTCGCGATTCAACACATACACATGAAACAACATAAAGATGAATATAAACGAAAAAGAAGAAAAGTAGGAAAAATAGAATGTAATATTTGCAAAAAATATATTATGAAAACCTATATCAAATATCATATGAAAATGCATGGTCCGGAAACTGAAAGAGCCGAAAGAAAAAAATATTGCCGTTTGTGCCAAAAGCCAATATCGTTACACTATTTTGTCAGTCACCTGAGAAGAGTACATCAAAGAGGGCCAAATGAGGAAAAAATAGACCAAGCGAATTTAATTAACGTTAACAAAGATTCATTTGAAAACTGTCCAATATGTGAAAAATTGGTGCACAAATCAAAGTACAAAGAACATCTAGCTGATCACGGTAAGCCTCCAAAGAAATATGTATGTGAATATTGTGCAAAAGAATTTAGATATCAATCAGCCTTTAAAACACATCAGTTGACTCACACAGATGAGTTTAAATACCAGTGTCAGTTTTGCCCATACAAAGCTCAATATTTAGGACTCATTAAAGTGCATGTTAGGACTCATACTGGAGATTATAACTATAAATGTCCACATTGCCCATCAAAATTCATAACAAAGAGTAATCTCAACCAGCATATCCAAAGGCATAATGTTCGTGGGAATATTAAATGTCATACATGCAATAAATACTTCTATCGTAAAAGTAATATGGAAAAACATTACTCAACAAAACATTTGGGCATACGAGATGTAATCTGTGATATCTGCGGTACAGGCTTCAGCCACAGAGATGAAATGCTAAGTCATCAACTTAGAATGCACAACAGGGAGAGGTTACTTCGTCGGGTTCCGACCTATCTGAGAGTAGCTAGAGAAAAGGAAAAAGATGAAATTGACATTAAGCAACAGCAGTTGCAAAAATTATGATAATATTAGAAGTGATAGTAGTATGTAGTATTTTAATTGAACCGATTATCAGTTTTAATTATGCTGTAAGAAGTGGAATGGAAACATGTAATACAAGATATTTTTTATTGAATTATTATGTATCTTTATTTTACCTTATTCAATTCACCTTAAATTAAATTAAGTAGCTAACAATTATAATGTAAGCTATATCTTGTTACATTGTTACCACTACTTAAGCTTAAGCTAGGTGAGTTTGTGACCCAAATAAAAATTGTCTCAACGTTGTGGTTATGAAACCTATAAACCAGGGCTATTAAAAACATGGCCAGTCTCATATTTGAGAGGTCAGTGGCATGTTATTAAAATTGTGTTGTGGTAGATAGAAAATTGAAACTCCATGCTTGACATGGGAGTTTTAATTTATGCCAGATTTATCACTCAGACCATTTGTTCATTTGACAAAGGATTGTTATGAAACGACCCAAAACTTTTGATTATTTTAAATATAACAAGTAAAAAATCTAATGCATGTTGTTCTTTATTATATTTGTTTATTGAATATTGAACGAGAGGGCTCTGTGCTCTTATGCCTACATTGAACTCATAGACAAAGGTTTTTATTTATTGCTTAGATGGGTGGACGAGCTCACAGCCCACCTGGTGCTAAGTGGTTACTGGAGCCCACAGACATCTACAACGTAAATGCGCCACCCACCTTGAGATATAAGTTCTAAGGTCTCAAGTATAGTTACAACGGCTAATTACGCAAATTATAATTTTTCGAGTTTCATTTTTATTACACGATGTTATACCTTCACCGTGGAAATCAATCGTAAACATTTGTTGAGTACGTCTTTCAGTAGGAAAATTGGTAGCCACCTGAGATTCGAACACCGATGCATCGCTCAACACGAACGCACCGGACGTCTTATCCGTTAGACCACGACGACTTCAAAAGGTGCATTAAGCCCATCTATTGGTAAGCAGTCACTGTCCCTCTTGGACATCTGTAATGCAGGGGCAGAGCAAAGCTACTCCCTACTGCTGGGGCTTCCCTTAAACATTATTTGAAGAAAGGCATCACAGTTCTTAGGAAACACTCTGGAGGAGAGATTCCATTCATGGTATGTGGTAATAAATATCTTTGGAAACACACAGGATAAATACATTTGTTCCAAATAGTACAGATGTCATCACTAATATGGTGCGTGATGCAATCATATAAAGGAAATGAGGGGATCGTAATTACTGTACTGTTAAAAGTGAGACCTTAGAAAAGCAATAAAAAATAATTAAAAAATCGAGCACATTTTGTACTCTAATTTTAAAAATATTCATTTATTTATTTCATTAAACTTATTCACTAACTTATTTTGTATAAAAAAATTCTTTCTTCTTAATAAAGTTATTTATTAATTTTTTAATGTTCACAATTAAATCACTTTCTAATTTGTGCGGATTTTGAACAATGCGCCTAATAATATTTGGCGCTTCCTTTAAAATTTATCCTGATGCATACACAACGACGGACATTTTTCTTAAACACAGCTGATTCCTCTATTAAATATATTTTCTAAGGTTGATTCCTACCTCTACTCTCGATTTTTTGGCGGGAAAGCGAGGAGTAAAGTTGTGTGATTTGTTTTATTTTGTTTATTTAGTGTTTCTTCAGGTTTAAATGTGTAATAATGGTGTCTTATTAACTGTTTAGTAGCTGTTAAATTGCACAAATATGGGAAAATGAAACAAAGCCACTGAACGTAACTTCTCGGGATCCTCCAAAAAGTCTCCGTAAATGACCACCATTTTACTGATATTATATTTCATCTCATATCATCTCATTTTATTGTGTTTTCCTTTCATTTCATTTCATTGCATGCCTAGTTTCATATTAATCAACTTCATTTCATAATATCATTTTTCATTTAAAAAAGTTTTCATTAATATTAAAATAAGACGACTTATAGGTCTTAGTTACCAGGTCATAAAATCCCTTAAAAAACCTCTACTGTCCATAGTGTTACATACTCTTTGGTCACGATATGAGATATGTCAGTAGTATGTCAGTTGCCTTGTCAAAGCAGTTCATAGCAATTTTCTTGAAATTATGTAGGTACCATATTTATCTATTGTATTTTAATATATAGTAACTATAATAAATTATAATTTATTGTCCTGTCTTTGTCAGGATTACATATTTTCAGCGGCATAGTATTAAAGTTCAAATGTGAAGCTTAATTATGTGTATTAACCTTAAGCTAAACGTAGTCATATCTACAATCACCATAACGAATGAACACAATCCAGAAAACAACAATAATAAATCATCATTGTGAAATGGCTGAAACTAAATCCATTACTAATTTTACTAAATGCAGAATATGTCTAAAAGAAGGCGGAATACCCATTTATGGACCTGACTGTTCTACTGATCTATCGTACGATGTGAGAACATTTGGAGACATCGACATCAGCGAAGATGATGAGTTTCCTAAGTATTTGTGCAGTGCTTGTTACAAACTTTTACAATGTGCGATACTATTTCGAAAGGCAGCTAAACAATCCGAAATACTCTTGAGTGAATCAATTTTGAAAAACAGTTCTGTGTCTGTATCGGAGTTCAGTTGTAGTACGGAATCAGATGAACCTCAGAATGATTATTGTGAAAACAATGCAAATAATGATAGACCCACTCAGTGGTCATCAGTGCAACAGTATTTCTTAGATTTAAGCAACTGTGATCTTGATAACATAAAGTTACCTGTTTGTCTCAATTTAGCCAGAGGTAAAAAAGTCCAATGTCGCATATGCAAGAAAGTTGTTAGCAAAGGACATAGTAGAGATCACTATGCTATCCACGATTCTACTTTACCTAAATACATTTGTCACATTTGTGGAAAGTCATTTCGTCAACAAAGTGCACATGCTAACCACAGGTTTACCCACAGTACAGATTTCAAATTCAAATGCAAGATCTGCCCATACAGAGGACGCAGTTCAAGTCTGCTTAAAGGTCATATGAAGACGCATACTGGAGATTATCGTTATTTGTGTACAGAATGTCCTGCCAGATTCTTGACTAAAAGCAATTTGAATAGACATAGTCTTCGGCACAAAGAATTGGCGTTTAAATGTGATACTTGCAAAAAGGCTTTTCATTCAAAACTATACTTACAGAGACATTATGAAGTAGATCATTTAGGAGTGAAAAACTACAGCTGCAACTTGTGTGGTAAAGCTTTTGGCTACAGAAAACAAATGAGGAGACACCAAATAGATGTACACAAGCAAGAAAAGAAGTCCCCTGGCCGAATGCCTTCATATTTGAATAATAAATTAAATGCAGACATTTAAGAGAATATTGTGTCAATTGTAGAGTTTTGAGAGTTAAGAATCTTTAAATTATTGATACTTAATTCTCTGCATCACCAGTTGACTGATAGTGAATGCCTTAGGATTAAAGTTTACCACTCCACATTATACAATTCCCATGCCAGGTTATAGTTATCAACTGAAAGACATAAATTTCTCGATACAACCCTCCTTTATCAAGTGCATTCAAATATAGTGCTAACCTAAAAAAATAATGCATTTTCAATTTATTACATTAGTCAATTATAAACTTAAAATATTTTTACTGACTTTAAAATTACTTTAGAACTTTTGTAGCTATTGTTATTTTTAGTTGTAACCTGCATTTGTTCATTATTAAAACTGAATAATATAGGGTGTAATTAACCTGATCATGTTTGAAGTGCCATAAAAATTTATCTAGTACTTTAAGAGCCTGTTTTCTGAGAGAGAGTAACAAAACAAAAAACAAAAAAACGTAAATATTTTTTCTGTTACAGTAATAGTTCTGTAAATATGCTGCAAATACAGAAAAAGCAGGATATTCGGCTTCGCAAATGAGTAGCTTTTACTGTATTAGATTTTTTCCACATCTTATTTAATTATTTATATAGTGAATTCATCACGTTAGTATGTAATAAGGTACTTACCAAAGAAGTTACTTATTCATAGGAAAACATAATAAAATATAATTTGTATGGTCCTAGGAACAATGTTTAATTTTGATTTCCTAGAGAAAATAAAAAGGGCAATTGAAGACGACATATCAATAATTGTTTATTGTAAATTTAAACAAATTACGTGACATAACTACATTCTCAACATAATCTTATTATATGTGACAGATTCAATTATTTATAATACATTTAAAGTATGAACAACTTTTTATCCATGGAAATGTAGTAAATATATTTGCTGCTGAAGAATATGAATCTTAATTGGGTTCATTACATTACATGAAGGAAGCGTTGAGTACGGCACTAAGGTTTATATTCAAATATTTCTATCAGACTACCATAATAAATTGATTAAGCTGGGTTTATGTTGGAATATTTTTTAAAGTTTAAATAGTTTGGTTTCTAGTCCTTTTAACAAAATATTTTAGAGTAAGATTATGTAAAGAGGACCATAATAAAATGGATATTGAATATTCTTTTATCTTCTAATAATCTTTTAAAACTCAATAAAACGGAATAAAATGAGAAGACAACTAAAATAAGCGTCTCGGCAAAATGCTGTGAATTTAGTGAAATTTAAATAAACTTTTCGAGTGACCAGAAGTAGGGTGTTGTGTTAGACCTTTACCCTAAACATTGCCAATTAACACTAGAATAAATAATTGAAAGATCAAATTGACGTACCAACTTCATTATAAAGACATCTTTATAATTCAGCATATAGTGTTATGTATTTCTGTATTTATAACAAAGATATTAGGGGCCATCCATAAAGTACGTCACACGTTAATGGGGAGGGAGTGTATCACCGAAGTGTGACATCGTGTGACAAGGGGCATGGGGGGGTCAATACTTTTGTGACGTCACATGTTAAAATTTAAAATACTAAAACGCAAAGTTTGTATGTGAATTAAAAATTTTAAAAATTTACAAACTTGATCTATATTTATTAATAATTTAGCATTCTCGCTATGCGATAATCTCTCATGCAACGTCATTTAACTTCTAGAGNCGCAAAGTTTGTATGTGAATTAAAAATTTTAAAAATTTACAAACTTGATCTATATTTATTAATAATTTAGCATTCTCGCTATGCGATAATCTCTCATGCAACGTCATTTAACTTCTAGAGCGGCGTTGTAATGCAAGTGAGACACTCAAATTCACGAGAATTTTGAATGGTAAGGATTTAAATAGGTTTAAGTCGTCGGCGAGTGCTCGCTCGCTTTTCTATCGTTTCGCACGTCGGTTGTTTGCGAGACCTTCGACAAGTGCTACTTCACGCGCCGGCGCAGTGACTTCAATACATTCCTTTTGTTTATTTCACGATTGACTTTTGCCGAGTGGCAGTCATAGTCTTCTCAGTTTAATTGTTTTAACATTTTTAATTTATTAAATTATTTTAAAATGAACAAAAAGATTGATTTCGGTAGTCTTTACCGCAGATTATTCGATGCCTATAGTGCAGCCTATGCTGACAAAAAAAAACTCTGTTTAATGAATGATGACGATGCTTTATGGATGGAAGAGAATGATGTCGACACTAAGGATGTTCCTGACGTTCAAATTCAGAACGAAAATGAAGTGCCTGATTTACCAGTAATAGCTGATATAAAAGAGTGGATCCAAAGTCCATGGACACTCGATAATTAAGTTTTTTATTTTTAATTAATATAATTAATCGTTTATTATTTTCTAACTAGTCGTTTGTTTTTTCGGTTTTATGAAATGTTGGACTTTATGTTGATTTTATTAGATTATTATTTAATAAAAATAAGTAAAAAATGAAAATAGCTGTTTTCTCTCGATTATTTTTAAATACATACATAAATTTAAAAAATGTGTGACGTCACATCAGGAGGGGGGGGTTATAAAAATGTGACAACCTGTGACAAGGAGGGGGGGAGGGGTTCAAAAGTCCTAAAATTCGTGTGACGTACTTTATGGATGGCCCCTTAACACTACTTTGGCCCTAAAACGTTCTTCTCTCGGTTACAATATACCATACTACCCACAGAACACTATTACTTCTAGTGATTCTACCGTAGTTACGTACGTTTTACGTAGGTATGTAGTATCTTAGTTAACATACCGCGCGTTGAAAAAACTTTGTTTCGCGTACCTAATGACGCATTTAACATTTCCATTACACAATCCATACAGCATGAATTTAACCGATCATCGTCCTCGTCGAACCCGTCGCTTATGACAAAGGGCTCGACGAGTGAATTAACCCATAGACACAGCCCACTGAGTTTCTCAGCGGTTCTTTTCAGTGGGTCGCGTTTCCGATCCGGTGGTAATTCTGCGAAGCGCTGCTCTTGCTTAAGGTCAGTGTTAGCCGAATCCACGTCTACCAGTTAAAGGCGCTTCAGTAAATGAGTATATGTAACGCATGAAATTTCGCAGGATGTCAGGAGTACAGAGTACGTTCTAAATCAATTCAACCTGCCCCTCCTCTCGTTATTTTGTTTGCACATTGAGCCACAATATCGCATTGATAGTTCACCCGTCTTGCTTGTTTTATTCTAAAAAAAACATTCCATTATCTAATCGTTATCCAGGAATGTTAATTTTTTTTATTCACTAAAACAATAACATTCGCTTCTTTTTATTAGTTTTTATTTTTGGCAATTCTAAAACAATATATAATTATTGTACATCGCAGTTTATGAATAATTGAATACAAATGTCTATAAATTTAGCGAGAACAGTTAATTGTTTTTTTTTACGTACATATTGGAATGTCAATCTACACAACAGTTTCAATAAAGTAACTTTTAATGTAACATTGCACTAAACGCTACCGTCTCTTCAATATACCTACATCACTATCTTTTTTAATAACAAATAAATATTTGTCGTTAATACTGTTTATTACGAAACACATTGACGATTAAAAAAGCTAAAGAGAATATTTTTAAAAATAATCACAATATAATTTTTTATTGTTCGTCATAATTCATTTCTACATAAACTTATTTTAAATTAAAATTTCGTACGAATATTACCAGCGTTTGATGTATTCCACATTTTTAAGAAAGGATTTTGTTTTTTTTTTTAAAACAAAAAAATTTTAAGATCTTGAATACCATTGCCTAAATTGCAATAAATTTTATTTTTTTCAAAGCAATCAAATTGTAGTATTAAACGGATTTAATATTGATTTATTTAGATACAGAAAATATGTGTACGAACATATACTAACACTGATTAGTAAATTTTGTTCCATTATTTATTTAATAAAATTGAAGCTGAACAAAATGGCCGTTTTGACACAATCGCGATTTGTCAGTTTCCAAAAGTATTCTGCTAATATTTGACTGGTGTATCTGCGTCATATATTCGTTATACTTTTCTAAATTTACTAGCTAGCTCACAGTTTATTTGGTATTAAATAATCATTGGCCACACTTATGTGACATGTCGTGTTTAATGAGGAATTCATAAAAACTTATATCGAGGGTTGAAAGATCTATTTGGTTTAAGCAACAATTTTGCAACATTGCACGAGAGCGATTTGAAGCTAAAACTGGAAAAAAAATTAATAAAAAAAAAAAACATTTTATTAATCAGCTATTTGAATGGGTTAAACTTAAAGTTCAATTGAAAACATCGAATTGTTTATGATAATACCAAATAAAACGGACCTGTAATTACAAAGATAAATGTCGCGTGTTATGTCGCTTAAGCCAAATACCGCCGGTCACCGTTCTCGTCGAACCCGTCGGTTGCGACGAAGGGCTCGACGAGTAAACTAACCCACAGACACAGCCCACTGAGTTTTTCGTCGGATCTTCTTAGTGCATCGCGTCTCCGATCCGGTGGTAGATTCTGCGAAGCACGACTCTTGCTAGGGTTCGTGTTAGCAACTTCGTCAAGTTTGAGCCCCGTGTGCTCACCTACTCGTCCGATAACGCTGAAACAGCCTCTCAAGGCTATCAGCATAGGTAAATAAAAAAACCAAACAACCTTTTACCCCTCGATATGGTGCATAAATACTTCGCTGAATACGTAACTACGAAGGATTTACCCTCTTCATGGTAGCACAAGTCTTTGGACCTCAGACGATTTCGACCCGCTTCGAGGCTGTTTCTAATAAAAATCTTACTTCACAATCCTTCGGTGATACACAGAAAGCGTTTTAAAAAAATCAGAAATATGCATGGGCCTTGCGTATTCAAATTTATAGGCGTGTCATTAATTAGGCTCGATATATTATTATAAGGGACAACATTCACCTAATTGACTTATCATAAATATAGGTACATCTAGCGGCAGAATGTCGAGACCCTGCTAATATAATTCAATAGGACCTATTTTATATACGATTTTGCTAATGATTAATGCTCAATGATTAAAGCGATCTCTATTTTTAAGACCCGTTCTACATTTTTTTTTTCGAAAGACAATATCATTAATTGGTTCAAATCCCACACGTATTTTTTTACTTTTTTTAATTAGTAAATTTAAAATGTAACCAAATTAAAGTTAATCCACAATCACTGACCGAAAGATTTATCATAGTTGCGTGTAATACGTATGGGTCAAGAACACATTATAACCTATAAAATGTGTATTTCACAGAGATAATCGGGATGGTTTCAATCTAGGAGCCCGCGTCGCAGTTTTCAAGATACCCAATTGAACACGAACATTTATTGGACATACATTATTAAGAATTCACGTTGGCAAATATTCTTCGAAGACTATAACCGCCCATAGAGACAAGAGCATAAGAATGATCATACCGCAAGGCTGATTTTGTATTTTGTGTATATGGCCATGATTTTACTAAACACCATCAATTTCATGAATAATTTTCCCACATTTTACTATTATCAGTATTCAAACGGGTCTTTATTTGCGAATATAAACATATTATAAATACTGTCTGATTAAATACTTCGTAACACAAACTACACTATTTAACTAATTGGTTAATACAGTAACATTTATTTATTTATTAGGTGGGCAACATTTTTGTGCTCGTTTCGTCAATAAAAGGATATTATCAATAAATAATTATAAATAACACTGGAATATTAAACATTAATTACATTTGGAATTTAAAATTGTAGACTATTTAATAAACAAATAAATAATTAACACAGATAATAATAAATTCGTTTTTTTTGTCAAACAAAATAAAATACTGTACTATTTTTCTTTAACACTATAAGAATACCTAAAGATCTCAAATGAAATACGGGCATGCAAACGCATCGAGCGGAGACGTCTTAAAACGAACCCATTAAAACATAAAAATAGTATTCGACTGATACACTAAACGTGTCTGTTCATGTCATGTTCATTACACCATTCATTCCTTCATTCATCCATTCACTCATTCAATCATTCATTCACTAATGGAACTATTTATTATTTTCATTACATTAATTTTAATTTAACTTCATATTAATAGCAGACACCAAGTATTGTGGCAAAAGTAAAATTAAATAGTTCCTGAGATAGAATTAGCCTCATAAATATAAACGATCTTTAAAATGAAAATAAATATCGTTTTTCTATATACATAGTTCCAATCAATCACACATTTATTTGTCTATAATTAATACGAGATGAATTAAAATACGTTCTGGAATTATCGATTTTCACACAGAACATTTAAGATGTCGTAATACGTTCATAAATGTATATAAGAGTATTGGGAATGTAAAGTCATTATTATATAAAAAAAACACCAAATTTCAAATAAATTAGTCAAATCGATATTCACTTTCCACGCAACGTTTCCGCTCGGAGCGCGTACGTAATAAACGAAAAAAAAAAAATTATAATATGTCAAAAAAAAAGCTTAATTAATTATTATCGTTACAACGCAACGAGTCTGGTGTTACAGTCGCGCCATTTCTCCTGCAACTTCCTATGTTCGACATACTGTTGTTCCGTTACATGCTTAACTGCCGCTGAACCCTGAATCGAACAATTGTGTCATTGTTATTAATTCAGATTAGGGAGGGTAGAGGTAAGGAGCATCATCTTGTATAGGGGAACTTTTTGGCGGGAACGCGAGGAGTGAAGTTGTGTGATTTGTTTTATTTTGACAATTTAGTATTACTTCAGGTTTAAATGTGTAATAACGGTAGTATATTAATTGTTGAACATCTGTGAAAGTGCAGAAATGTGGGAAAATGAAACAAAGCCGCTGGACGTAGCTTCTCGGGATCCTTCAAAAAGCCCACTAAGTAAATAACCACCATTCTACTGAGACTATCTTTCATCCCATATCATCTCATTTCATTTAATTTCATCTCGGTTGATTAATGTCTCAAATTAATCATCTTCATTCTCTTCATTTCATTTCACTTCATATTATAATTTTTCAAAAAAATAAGAAAGTAAATTAAAATAAGACATGACTTAATAAGACATGATCAACTAAGCCGGCCCTGTAGGTAGCCGCTTGGCTGGGCCCCTGACGTTACTGATGTCCGTCAATGACGGTAACCATTCATTATCATGTGCTTAGTGCGAGTTTCTTAACGTTCTCGATAGCGTAAAAGTTAACCCAATTTTGTATGCAGTTGGAACAGCGCCCCCAGCGGCAAACGTAGGCAAACGATCCCATTCCATACTAGCGGTGGGCTGTAGCCTTCGATCAACAATAGTAACTATTGATGATCGAAGGCTGTAGCAGCATTTTCGGTTAGCGAAACAAAACTAGCTATCAAATGTCAATAGCGGCTTTTGAAACGCGCTATTTCGGTAGCGAGCAATAGCGGGTTTTTAAACTAATGTGCACACGAACGAGCTAGCGTCGCGATTAATATTTCAGTAATTACGACTTTATTTGTAATTTATCTTTAAGGATAGGATATGTTAGCTTTACTTCTTTAAAGAGTTCGTATCGTACTTTTTAATAGATTTTTACAAGGTCTATAAACTTAATCAATATTAAACAACTATACACTTTATATTTTTAACTATTCAATTGGTAATTAAACTTAAAACTTAGCGCCTCGTTTTTACTAGACTTTGTCGCTAAACACGCGACTCGTGAATAGCTGGTTCAAGGCCACAAAATTCGACACCAACTTGCACTCATAATTTAATTTTTTAAATCTTATTTTAAGAGCTTTAAGGGTTAAAGTCAAAGGTCAAATGCATCTCAGTCGTGTGCGTGAAAGAGACAAAATGACGATTGTCTATTTCGATCGAACCGATGTTTCCGCTGCGTGTCGCGATAGCTGCCGACGGAGCGGTACGAAGTTAAACGAATATTGTGTGATTTGTGTTCGTGATCGGTGATTGAGGTAGTAGATGTTAGCATGTTATTGCAGTATGGCGAAACTAGCTAACCGCTATTTTGTCTATAGATAGTTTCAATAACCATTTACGTTGCGCAACGACCATGCCTATTCCATACAGATATGAGCTAACTTTTACGCTATCGAGAACGTTAAAAAACTCGCACTATGCACACATATTGTCCGTACGACGATGTTTACAGGGACAATAAAAAAAAAACACCTAAATGATTAATTCCACCTACCTTTATCTTCCTCGGATCTAAATTAGCACCAAGATTTTGTACTCCTTTAGCCAGCTTCGTTAAGGGCGAAAGCACCAGGTCTTTGGTCGTGCTGGTGCTGGAAACTGGACTGGAGATATAGTTGAGGTGCCTCAAAGCGGACTCGCTGTGGGATGATGCGATGTTCAGCACGATCTCGTGCTGGGAGTTCGACCTCACGTGGTAATTGACCCCATCGCTCTCCCCATAATTGACATCGTTCGAGCTGTGGGACAGCTTCTGCGAGAGCATCAGAGAGTTCGGTGGTGCCGGTTTTCCGGAACCTTCCGTCTCGATTTGTATTTCGGGCGCCCTCTCCGAATTGAACGGGTTTACTTTGCCGATATTAGTCGGCGTTTTCGGCAAGTTGACGGCGGGCGGTGTTTCATTCGCGACGAAGACTTCTTGGTTGTCGTTCGGTTCGATTTTCGACGAATACAGTGGATTCTCGATGAGTTCGCAGTCGTTTTCGTTTCCCGAACTGTTCGGTTTCCCGATGTAGTGCTGCGTGTTCTCGAAATTGTCGAGGGTCGGCTCGAATATGTTGGTCCGGTTTTCATCGTCCGACGAGTAATCGGAGCTCATGCCGTCCGATAGGCTGCCCTTCTTCTTGTTGTCGCTTTTGTTTTGACCTAACGTGAATAATTTTTTCGTTTTCGTCGTGTTCTGGTCGAACTTTAGCTGGAGGCTCGGTCTAGCTCTGGCGTTCAGAGAGTGACTGAGCTTGTTTAGTTTGCTGAATTGCTCTGTCATGTTGTTGAACGCCTTCGATCCTGCGACGACGAATAACGTTTTTAGACATGCTTAAGTACAATAGCTGGTGATATTTTTTTGTTTTTTTTATTGCTTAGATGGGTGGACGAACTCACAACCCACCTGGTGTTAAGTGGTTACTGGAGTCCATAGACATCTACGACGTAAATGCGCCACCCACCTAGAGATATCAGTTCTAAGGTCTCAGTATAGTTACAACAACTGCTCCGCCCTCCAAACCGAAAACTGCTTCACGGCAGAAATAGGCAGGGTGGTGGTACCTACCATCAGTAAATAATGCACACCGAATAAATACGGCTTCTTGGAAGGTCGGGGCAGCCGTTATACTATAGAACCGATACTTGGAACTGATATTACAAGGTGGTTGGCGACAGTAACGCTTTTGCTATCTAAGACCCCTGTAAGATTGCAGTTTGGCCAGGAGCTCTTTCGTCGGTCTATGCCAGTGGTCGGCAAAGAGCGGCTTTGCATTTAATGCACTACATATTTAGTGTAATAAAAGTTTACTAAACAAGCAGATTTGCCTCCGATTTTATTATTATTATTATTGTAATGTTCATATTTGGCTCTTTGGCTAATAAGTTTGCCGTCCACTTGTCTAAGCAATAAAAAATAAGTTCTACTTATTGTATGTACGCATATTAAAATGTCTTGACGTGTATATCACGACGGTTACACGTGTTTTGTTATATCGATTTCCGCTGTCGCAGGCAAAAGCCACGACATTACCAAGCTTTTTATTTTTTATTACTTCGATGGGTGGACGAGCTCACAGCCCACCTAGTGTTAAGTGGTTACTGGAGTCCATGGACATCTGCTACGTAAATGCGCCACCCATCTTGAGATATAAGTTTTAAGATCTCAGTATAGTTACAACGGCGACATAGTTACAACAAGCTTTACTAGAATTCGACAAAAGTTCTCCCGAAGCTTATGGTCACACTAGTCGAATATCAATAATCGTGATGTACTTTCTTGAACTACGGATCCGAAATACGAATTATTAAGTTAAATTTAAAAATCAAAATACATAAAGAAATTATATTCAAACTAACGAGATTTGAGGGAGAAACATGAAGGATTCTGTACTGTGTCGTTTGCGTTGACAAGAGTACAAGTTGTTTTAACACCGAACTTGTCGAACCACGGGGCGGTTCTGAAGACGAAACGTCGTAACATGAAACGTGAATTCAATTAAAAATAGCCATTAAAATTATATGCATAAAGGTCGGACTAGATTTTCATTCCTAGATCAAGTTGGACATTCTATTCGAGTTCTGTTTGTTAAATACCTGTCCATGCGACAATTTTTAACGTGTTTGCGTTGATTCGTTCTTTATCTATATTTCGTGGGTAACTGCAACTGTTTCAAAGTCATTTTCATATGACTTCAGAAGGTGGGTATAAGTTGAAGGACAATATAATAATTATCTCAGCAAATGACCACCATTTTACTGAGATTATATTTCATTCCATATCATCTCATTTCATTTAATTTCATCCCATTTGATTAATGTCTCAAATTAATCATCTTCATTTCATTTTATTTCACTCCATATTATCATTTTTCATAAAAATATGAATATAAATTAAAATAAGACATGACTTAAAGGTCTTAGTTACCAGGTCATAGAATCCCTTAATAAAATATAATAATTTTACTATGTACTTACTATGACCTAATATTATTTTTGTTGCAATGAGTGTTTTCAATTTTTTTTCCGTATTAAGTACTTATTTTTAAACCTTGTAACATTCATGAATGATAAGAAATAAATTATGAAAAATAATGTCTTTCCTGTTTTTTTTTTTCTTATTAAAACATTTTTATATACATACTCCCAAAATCGTTATGCAGTTATGTAAAGGGTTCAGACCCTCAAAGAAAAGTCCACACGGGAATCGATATACAAGCATTTTTCCAAGCAGTAGTCAGTGATCATGATTCAAAAACTGACAATAGTTTATTACAAAGTATGACGGTCAAGATGTTATGATTTATCATCTATTAAAAGATTTTTTTGCATATACAGGACTTATTAATAATACGGACGCCCTACTAATTTACCACTAAGCATTAAAGAGTTATGTAATAAAAAATTCAGTGAACAAATAAATTCACGACTAAATCTTGCGTTAAACATATCTATACTAATATTATAAAGAGGAAAGATTTGTTTGTTTGTTTGTATTGAATAGGCTCCGAAACTACTGAACCGATTTGAAAAATTCCTTCACTGTTTGAAAGCTACACTATTCCCGAGTGACATAGGCTATAATCTTTTTTGAAAAAAATTTGGGATCCTTACTAAAACTCCAATAATGTAACCCAAGGTGTAAAAAAATTTCCTAAAATATACTTTAAATCGCTTGCCCTGCGAAAACTATTGATGATAGAATAAAATAATGTACTACAACTTTGTAGAACACATTATTATTTACAAAAATGGTCGAGACCGCATATATCTAACTACTATAGTTATGCCGCTATAAGTGTTCTTTTATTTAAAAAAATAAAACAACGTTGAATATCGTTGAAATTTTTGTTAAAGACCCGAGCGAAGCCGGAGCGGGCCGCTTATCTAGTCATGTATATTATTTTATCTTCATTGAAATTTGTCATTGTAAAATGAACCTTATTTACTTTAAAATACGGTCAACTTGATTCGTGACACACTACCCCCTATCTAGACGTGGGTAAAGTTGCAGACTCACCGACGCTCCGAATGTCGGCCACCAGTTGCGTCTCGCTGACGTTCCTGGTGAGGGTCGGCAGACGAGAGAGGTCCAGGTAATGAGACGCCCGGGCTCCCCCGGCTTGAGTGTGATTCGGATGTACCTGTATGTACAGTATTCTCCTGAATATAATTTCCAGAACTTGAGGGTAGTTTGTTTATCACGTACATTCAGGATACGTATTTGTAATAACTTAATTAAATAAAATAAGAGTTAAATACATAATTACTGTTTATACGGGTGAACGAGCTCACAGCCCACCTGGTGTTAAGCGGTTACAACGGCTGCCCCGCCCTTCAAACCGAAACGCATTACTGCTTCACAGCAGAAATAGACCACCAATAATTACGCAAATTATAATTTTGCGGGTTAGATTTTTATTTCATGATGTTTTTCCTTCGCCGTGGAAGTCAATGGTGAACGTTTAATTTGTACGTATTTACTAGCAAATTTGGTACCCGCCTGCGGGATTCGAACACCGGTGCATCGCTAGATACGAATGCACCGGACGTCTTATCCTTTAGGCCACGACGCAATTAAATATTTAAACACGTATGTCCTAGTGGCATGAATGTTTAATTATATTGTAAGGCGCTCTCGATGAGGTAACTAATAGCGCATGAGAATAATTAAGCGCATACCTTCGATTTCCTCTTTTCCAATTTGATGCCATCGTGGAAGGGTATCGGCGGCAGCTTGGCGACCTCACGGGCCACCACCATGGATTCGCATATGGAGTGCAGCGATTCTGAGAAAAACATAATTAGCATACTGTTACGCCGCTAAGAGTAACGCCATCTATCGCCGAATAGTCGAACGAATATCGAAGGATTTAGTAGCACCTAGAACGCTCAAGAAGTACAACGCCATCTATTGTCGGATAGCGGAAGCACAATACTAGAAATGTGTGGAATGTTCTCGAGAATTCTAGGGATGTGGTATCGGCTATAAAAGCGTTGTAGAGATGGCACGTAGTCAGTCAGTAATCGGAACGACTCGAAGCGAAACAGCGAACAGATCACCTGAAGCGAGGCGGAAGAAGCGAAATGAGAATTTTAAAGTGTTTGTGAAGTGTTTTAAGTGTTCTAAGTGTTGAATACAGTTTTTTGTTGTACTTTGGTGGAACTTTTTATTTATCCCGAACCCCAGCGCGTAACAGCATTAAACGGTAGGCAGCGGCTTGGCTCTGCCTCTGGCATTGCTAACGTCCATGAGCGACAGTAACCACTTACCATCAGGTGGACCGTATGCTCATCGGCCTGAAAGGGCAATAAAAAAATTAATTTTCTTTACAAAGATGGTGATGACACTTATGTTATTCATTACTATGGCATCTGGTAACCACTGAACATGACATAGGGCACTGAGAAGGGTTTTAATTACATTATAAATTTACTCACCTATCATCTCGTCTCTGGTGTTGATTGCGACCGCCATGTTGTTGAAGAATCGAAGCGAGGTCGACCTGAACATGTGGAAGTATCCAGTTTCGCCGTTGTAACTGTAATTGATGCGCATGCAGTATACCGTCTCCGAATTCGACTTGCGACCGACGCCGAAAATCTGAAAGAATTACATCTTTGGTAGGTTTAACGACGAAAGGGAAGATCTTCCATCGAGCGAGTGATATTGCTCGGTAGACCGACGGTCCGAATGTTGTTGTTCGGAACTTGTATATATGCGCTTTATCTTGAAAATGTCGTAAGCGAGATTCAGGCATCTGTCAAATATCTTGCGTTGTATGATGGCTACCCGCCACACATCCACCCGATACATTTGAACATTCCGTTGCTTGTTTTCATTACGTATCTATCGTCTTGCGCAGTGTATAATAAATACAGCGGTCCGTGGACACAAGGCTGAGCGACGCACTTCACTCTGCCACTGACCGATATAAGAGGCTACAAATGACGAGAAAAGTGTGCTTAGTGCGAGTTTTTTTTTTTTTTTTTTAACGTACTCGATCGCGTAAAAGTTAACTCAAATTTGTATGGAGTTAGGCAGTCTCCTCCCGGTGATGGTCACGGGGCGACCTAAGGGGGTTGAGGCTGCGCCGCACGCTACCGTTACTCTAGCGCGCTGGCACCAGGAGAACGGGACGGCGCGTCGGCGGCTGAGGACTGCGATGCGGTCCGCATTTTCGTCGTCGCTGTCGTCGCCGAACATACTGTTGAAGAGCAACCCGGTCGGCGGTGTATCGCGTTCCGACCCAGCAGGCTGGTTCTGGCCCAGCGGGGTATCCCGGAACACCAGCGGCACCGCCCGGGCGGCCTGGTAGGGCCGCCGTACCGCGGAGACCGACGTCGTTGGTCGTCGACTATCGCCTCGACGACCCGTCGGTCGGGCGTCCTCGGGGTGGCGCCGCGTGTCTGGTTGTAGTGTTGACCGCGGGAACCCCCCTACTCTGAACGGGTTCTGACCCCGGACGGAGATCGGACGTCGGGTGTAAGAGTGCAGGGGAGTCGTTTAGTGGGTGGGCCCTAAAATCCTTGGGCCCGCGATCTGCTCTCAACACCTGCAGATCGTTGAGTCTCACATACCCCGCGCGCCCCCTAGGCGCGGGGACCTCGTAGGAGGTTCGGCCCCCGGCCCGAAAAAAAAAAAAAAAAAATTTGTATGGAGTTGGAACAGCGCCCCTAGCGGCAAACGAGGGAAAGCTGTTCTACCTCCATACAAAATTTTTGTTTTTAATTAGTTAGTTTATAATTATAAAAAATAAACAAAATGAAACCGAATCAAAATTATTAAAATTAAAATCAACTCAAGGATCTAATACAATAAATAATGAAATAATGTTAACTGAGTAACCGCCACTTACCAGTCACTGTGTTAGATTAATGAGAGATAGATGCTTATTACAACAGTGTCTTATATAGAAGCAGTCCAGTCTGTCGGCAATCATTACTGGTGGTAAGAGCTCTTGTGAGTCCGCACGGGTAGGTACCACCGCCCTGCTTATTTCTGCGGTAAATCAGTAATGCGTTTCGGTTTGAAGGGTGGGGCAGCCGTTGTAACTGTACTTGAGACCTTAGAACTTATAGAGCTGTAAGCTCGTCCACCCATCTAAGCAATAAAAAAGAAATCATAGCCAGGGCCGTGTTGGAGCTGGCCCGTACTCTGCGTACTGAGAATGCGCATTACCGAGTGACGCTTGCCTTACAAAACTCGCACTAAGCACACCGGTCTTATGGCGGCCACACACGCTGGGTTTTGCGTGATGGTTTTGGCCGAGCATGCATAACCGACAGGTATAATGGCCTCCATTAGGCGGGCGTTTCACGAGACTCAGCAATGAGCGATCGATTGGAGGAGGTGGAGGACTGTAAGGGTGTAACTCACAGTAGAACTGGCGTCGAACGTTCCTAGTTCTATGGAGATGACGTCACGCAGCGGCACCCTCTGCACGGACAGCAGCCTGTCCGACGTCTCGTCGTAGTCCGCCACGTAGTAGGCTTCACTAGTCAGAAGTAATACGCTGTCCATTTCCGTTTCGTGGGGATCGCCCGTGCTACGCAATGTAAATACATATATAAATGTTTGTCGTCGTCGTGGCCTAGAGGATAAGACGTCCGGTGCATTCGTGTGTAGCGATGCACCGGTGTTCGAATCCCGCAGCCGAGTACCAATTTTTCTAATGAAATACGTACTTAACAAATGTTCACGATTGATTTCCACGGTGAAGGAATAACATCTATAAATCGACGCTTGAAAGGCAAACGTGCTAAGCGACAATAACTGCTTTGTACATAAATGATAGGCAATAACCATATTCGATGCGCAAAAAAAAAAAAAACATTTCAATCCTACAGCTAGATTCGTTAAAATTGAATTTTTTCAGGTATTTCAACTTTAAATTAGTCTACTGTAAAGTTCACGCATTGTCGCTTAGTCACGTTTGCCTTTCAAGCGTCGATATATAAAAATGAATTGCTATTCGTTAGTTTCGCTAAAACTCCAGAACGGCTGAACAGATTTGGCTAATTATGGTCTTGAATTATTTGTGGAGGTCCAGAGAAGGTTTAAAAGGTAGATAAATATGAAAATGCTCGTAATTAAATAAAAATAACAATTTTGTTTTTCCTTTGATGCGTCCCCCGTCGGACGGATTCCTTTTGTTTGTTTTAAGTTTATTTTATACAAAAGTTTAGGTCTCTTATTTATCGATTGAGGCACTACGAAGTCTGCCGGGTCAGCAAGTGTAAACATATAAAGCTACAGTGGTTTTTACGGATGTTCCGTTATAACTACTGAACCATGCATCCGATTGACTTGAAACTTATCCATGTAGACAATACATGCACTTAATGGATAGGCTAATATTTATATGAGTGTTGGACTCCTTAATAATAATGACAATAAATAATAATGTTAATTTTTAACGCCGTTTTTAACGTTAAATATGCTATATACGTAGTATACGCGTCGAGCCCGTATTTCTTTGCTAACAATTTCTATTTGTCTGCGATATTTGAACATTTCATTTGATGTCCTCATATCAAGTACAACGATGTTTCCTTACTGTGGATCCGCGTCGATCAGACCCCACGATCCAAGTATCGGTTCTGTATCGACCAACATCTTCTTGCAGTCGTCGATTAGGGACTTGACGTGTTGCGCCATCGCAGCGGTGTCCGGGGCAGCTTGATCCTTTTTTTGGAAAGAACAAAACTTTGAGAATCATCGATCGAATTCTATTAAATGTCAAAGTTTCGATATTAACAGCCTAATGCTATTACGATATTTAAGAGTTTAAAATCGCTCAGCTTTTGCTGGTGGTAGGACCACTTGTGAGTCCGCACGGGTAGGTACCACCGCCCTGCCTGTTTCTGCCGTGAAGCAGTAATGCGTTTCGGTTTGAAGGGTGGGGCAGCCGTTGTAACTATACTTGAAACCTTAGAACTTATATCTCAAGGTGGACGGCGGCATTTACGTTGTAGATGTCTATGTGCTTCGGTAACCACCACCGTCATATGCAGTTTAAAAAAAGTGCGCTATGAAATGGGCTAAGTTCGGTGTCTCATTGAGGGGTCGTATCCGGAACGAGGTCATTCGCCAGAGAACCAAAGCTACCCACATAGTTCATGGCATAAGCAAGTTGAATTGTCAATGAACCCGGTCATATCTGCCAACAGCCAATAATCGATGAGCGGGATGAGTTCTGGAGACCGCTGACCGGTAAAGGTAGTGTGGGATGATATATGCAGAATATCGGGCAGCCGATGGAGACGAATGGCTGTGGCGAGTGGAGGATCGGGTCGCATGGTGAACCTTGGACGAGGCCTATGTCCAACATTGGACTAAAATAGGCTGTTAATGATTCTTATGATATTGGTTGAAGCTGGATGGGATTGCGGTCGTTGGTCGCTTCGTTTTGCAAACATTAGCGAGGCAGACGTATGTTTTTGTTTGAAGGCTATGATGAACGCGGTATGATTGCAATGATTTATGAATGCTTTTGATATTTTGATTCAATAACATTAAGGTCTTGGACAGTAGACTGTCTAAAGCGTTACCGAGCGACGTTAACCTCACACCTGTGGATTCGATGTACGCTTGTCTACCTTCAATTGTCCACTTACATTCACGGCCGGTCATTAAGTTACTTAAAATTTCTAGACCCAATTTAAGTGCGACATTTTTGTCCCTGAGACAATGAACTTAAAAAGAGACAATTTAAATTTGTTCAACATACATTGCGTCTTTAAGTAATAGGTTGGGGAAAAATCTTTTCGCATTATAGTATGTCTGAAATTGTAATAAAATCTCTTTGGCTATACTATTGGTATCTGGCTGGTTTTGGTATCATTAAAAGTTTAAATTTTAAGGAAGATAATTAACCAAATTCAAATTAGGAAAATGTGTGATTTTTATTTATTTTTCGTAATGTCAAGATGTGTGAATCTAATGAAGAAACTCGATACATTTTAAAATTTTACTACAAAAAAGGTAAAAATGCAACGCAAGCCGCGGAAAAAATTGCGAAGTTTATGGATCTAGTGCAGCGTCTGTGAGAGTAGCACAAATTTGGTTTAAGCGTTTTCAATCCGGAAATTTTGATGTATTACATTGCGTCTTCAAGTATTTTTTTTATTTTTTATTGCCTAGATGTGTGGATGAGTTCACAGCCCACCTGGTGTTAAGTGGTTACTGGAGCCCATAGACATCTACAACGTAAAATGCGCCACCCACCTCGAGATATAAGTTCTAAGATCTCAGTATAGTTACAACGGCTACCCCACCCTTCAATCGAAACGCATTACTGCTTCACGGCGGAAATAGGCGGGGTGGTGGTACCTACCCGTGCGGACTCCCAAGAGGTCCTATCACCAGTGAAAAAGTTACTGGAACAGTTACTGGAACCCATAGACATCTACAACGTAAATGCGTTACACACTTTGAGAAATCGAGTTTGAATTCGCTAAAACGACAAGCTTTGCTTAGCTAATGTTTTTTTTGTTTGTTAGAGCAGCAATGTATTCCGCTTTCAACTTCGGAAACGTCTCATTAACGTCGTATTTCAGAAATTAGTTTAGGCGTATATCGAAAGCTGATTCATGCACGCACGTCAAACGTGAGCACCTTAACGGAAGTGCATCGGCTGCAGTCCGGCACGATCAGTTGTTCCGGTATCGTTTTCGATTCGCCCGTCATTACGTCTATGGCCACTTGACGCAGCGCATCCTTGAACGTTGACAAATAATATCTGGAATATTAATAAATTTAATAATACATAATAATTAAGTACATATCGAGGGGTGAAATGCTATTTGGTTTAACTGTATTGCAACTTTTCATGAAAGCCATTTAAAGTTTTAAATAATAATAATAATAATATAACTCTTTATTTAACACCACATGTACAGAGTAAGCATATAAAACAAATAATAGACGGTGACATAAATTGGCGGCCTTATCGCTGAAAGCGATCTCTTCCAGGCAACCTTGCAGGGAGAGGAATAAGCAAACTAGCATGGACGGTGCTATATCTTAATAAACTTACATAAAAATATATTCTTATTATATACACATGTGGAAAATAAATACAATATAAGATAGACTTACATACGATTAAATACAAATAAATACTAAAAACATGCAAGTAAATACAAAATAAGTAGCAACTTGTACAGTTATATCGTAGGAACCATGAAACTTTAAAATGCCAACTTGAAAATTTCCGGCGAGAACGGTTTTTCATAAATTTAATCATTAAAAAAATCTTCTTTAGCTTCTTTAGCACAGAGAGAGTTCATACACAATAATCATGTTTTAATGGTTTACGATTATTTAATAATTGCGATTATAAAATTGTAGATATTCTACGTACTTTGTAAACATTGAATATTAAATACATGAAAATCAACACACTTACCGATTTGCTGATGCAACGCCGTCCTTCATCATTCCCGTGATCTTTCGTTCGCCTGTACGTGTGTAGTCCCCCTTAAAATCATACGACGCTATGAATATTTAAAACAACAGAGTAAGGCGCGCAATAGAACAAAAATAGGGATGTACGTATAATAAATGTGGAATTCGACTGTGTTGCCAGTACAATTAAATGTGTAATTAAATTACTTATGTTGCCATAATTTTTTTTGTACGCATCGGTGTCCGCGCGTGCAATTTTTTTTTATTTCTGTCGTACACGGCTCTTCGCAAAACCTTTTGAAAATTTAAACAGTTCAACCGTTTTGTCTTAATCTCATCCTGTCACGAGTCGAGAGTTCAGAACTATTCCCTGTACGCTGTATAAATAAAAGTCAATGCATGTATATATATATATATATATATTTTTTTATTGCCTTTGTAGGCAGACGGGCATACGGCCCACCTGATGGTGAGTGGTTACCGTCGCCCATGGACTTCAGCAATGCCAGGGTATATGGTGGTGATGGCGCAGCAATTAGTGACTCGGACTGCTAGGTTGGTCATGGCTTCGAATTCTACATTGGACATAAAATACGTGTGTCGAACAGCTTTGCTATCTTCGAGTCTTGTTTTCTTTATTTTTATTTTTTTATTGCTTGATGGGTGGACGAGATCACAGTCCACCTGGTGTTAAATGGTTACTGGAGCCCATAGACATCTACAACGTAAATGCGCCACCCACCTTAAGATATAAGTTCTAAGGTCTCAGTATAGTTACAACGGCTGCCCCACCCTTCAAACCGAAACGCATTACTGCTTCACGACAGAAATAGGCAGGGTGGTGGTACCTACCCGTGCGGACTCACAAGAGGTCCTACCACCAGTAAAAAATACCGGGGAACCACTAGTTATTATTAATTTATTGTAGTGACAAACCTTGAGGGCCTTCGTTCCGGCGTATTGCCTCGACACGACATCGCCGTTGTCCGCCCACATGGTGAGGAACGCCCTCTGAAGCGGCGGCGGCAGACCACAGCCAGGCGTGCCCAACCCCAGCCGGCACAGTTGCAACTCCAACACGTATTTAGCGATAGCAGTCTATACGAGCGATATATCTATGCTTAATATCATAAATGTGAAGAGTTTGTTTGTTTGAACGCGCTAATCTCAGGAACTACTGGTCCGATTTGAAAAATTCTTTCAATGTTAGATAGTCCATTGATCGAGCAAGGCGATATGCTATATAACATCACGCAATAATATTTCAAATTAATCAACTTCCCATCATTTCGCTCCATATCATTTTTCATAAAAAAGAATATACAAAAGATTAGGCTGTATAGTATGATACCTTTGCCTTTCTAATTGGAAAAATAGAACTACTACTACTGACAGTTTACAATCACAGATAAATGTTTATAAGCCGCGCCAATAAAGAAACGAAGGTCAGCAAATAGGGTCAACAAAAAAAAAGAAAAATAGAAAGAAAAAGTAGTTTATTGTAAAAAAATATAAAAAAATAAATGAGAATGTACTTTAGTTTACTTTATGCCCTGGCAGAGGGGGGGGGGGGGTCGCACCTGGAATGCAACTTCCATAGACACTTTTGCTGCCAGTCATCTAAGTCGCACAACTCGAAAGTGAAAAAACTCGAACTCAGTAACAAATTCAGAATTGATATTTTTTTGCATGCAGTACGCGCCGTGTGCGACTAAAGACAGCAATAGTTTAGAGTGAGAGCGCATGATCGCAGCCGCGATTTTAGATTCGTTTCTTTATTTGCGCGGCTTATAGATACTTTTAAGGTACCGTACAGATAATCTAATATGATGATTGACAATATCACTTTTTTTTTTTCGATATACCCACTTGTACGACGTTCGTTCTATCCAGACAGTCGATGCAGTTGACTCTGAAGACGCCGTTCTGCGTGCATATAACGCCGCGGTCGTCACGCCAACAGAAACGCATGTCGGTTATTATGTCCGCTATTGCGTTGATGAGGATGCTCACGTTTTCGTAGTGCATACCGCGGCTGGAATTTAAATGGACAGTCATCAAATCCTCCGCGCGACTGCTACCACAAGACCCTACAAGATCCACTACTGTTAGGCAATGTGGTTTAGAATAGCATCATCATCTGTTCCCGTGGATGGCTTAAGGAGGCTAAGGAATGTACCGGAAATTAGATAGCAGCGTTCCTTTTTTTTTCCTACCTATGTTGATAGCCTTGAGAGGCTATTTCAGCTTCGCCCTAACATGTAGGTGAGCTCACGGGGCTCAAACCGGAGTGTTGCTAACACTGGCCCTAGCAAGGGCAGTGTTTCGCAGAATCTACCACCGGATCGGAAACGCGACCCACTGAGAAGATCCGGCGAGAAACTCAGTGGGCTGCGTCTGTGGGTTAATTCGTTCGTTGAGCCCTTCGTCGCAAGCGACGGGTTCGACGAAGACGGTGACCAGTGCTTTTGGTACCGTTAATGGATCGGGAGGATCCGTAATGACGTGTTTTGGGCGACGTCAACTATTTATCATTCGGTCTACAGAATCGGGTATATAATTTCCAGCGGCTACGACAAGATGGTTCTCATGTCGCGCCGCCTTCTCAAAGTGCCAGCCTTCTATGATTACACCAACGAATTGCGATTGTCAATTGGCATTTATCGATGATACAACATATTAGAAGCTCGGGACGGTTATCGTAATTCCACCTTTATGTGCCGCGAAGCAATAATGCATTTCAGTTCGAAGGATGTGACAGCCTTTACAAAATGCAATTGGCACTTCCAGCTTATGTCCAAAGATGGATGGGGACATTCAGCCCATATCTATGGGCTCCGTTAACCACCTAACACCAGATAACTAACTCATTTACGAAATAAATAAAAACAGCCTACACTTTGTTTATTTTACAGTTAATTGTTTTTGTTGCTATAGCTTCGGAGCACTAGACCCAAATGCGTAATTTATCTAAAGTCAATATTTTTATATAAAAACGCACGAGATGTCGATAGATCGACTCTCTATTAATGCGTACAAAATACGGACCGTCGGAAAACCGACTGTTTGCCCAGTTTGATTATAGGCCTTAAGTATCGACCTGTACGGACGTGTGTGAACGCGCGTATGTATAACGTTTCTAATAACTTAATAAGATTAATAATTAACCATTAAAGTTATTTTGCTGTGAATTTAGCATTGTTTTTTTGGGGTTAATGTTTTTAAAGGAACTCTTTTTCAAAAATCCTTTAGCAATTCCTGCAAAATATTTGTAAAAGTTAGCTCAACCCAAAAAGGGTAACAAAAAATTGTTGGTACACTTACCAGTACTCGTGGAAGTCAAAAGTCGCATATATGAGATTAGGGTTGTCGTATTTGAGGACGTGGTTGCCGTACGCCTCCCATATCACGCGTTCTCTGCCCTGCTGCTCGACTAAGTTCACTATGCACACTTGCTTGTAAGTGTTCAGTTGTTCTTCGAAATGCTTCTTGAAGGCGGCATGGGACTCCTCTTCGGCTGTTCGAATTTTGTACCAATCCATATAAAAAATTCAAGGGAAGCGTGTTCGTTTGTCATTCTATCAAATCGAAACGAAGCCTCGAATTGACTTTTTTTTAAAGTGTCAGTTTTAGGTCCGGAATGCGACATAGGCTACCTTTTATTCCGAAAAAGGCACTTCATTCCCAAGGGAAACTGTTTTATTATCTTTAGAAAATTTAAGTGGCGCTTCAGAAAATTTCAATTGCCACTTTACCTTGCCCACGCCGGCGAAGCCGGGCCTAACGGCTAGGGCAACGAAACAAAAATTTTTTTTTTAAGGTATACTTCTTTAGGCGCTTTATGAAAAATTTATGAGAGTGAAATTTTACGATGCGCGCGCACCGTGACACAAAATTAACAGAAATGAAGTTGCCCACTAAATCGCTCATTACAATACGACCGACGTAGCTTGGCGAGTCTGAATATAGCCGCAGGTGAACTTTCCGAACCGTACCGAGAATTACCGAATTTATACGATGTCAAGAAAAGGGATGTCCAATATGGGTGTTTGAGGATGTTGTTTAATCGATTTTTTTTCAAATTGATTAAAATTTAAATAAAATAAAAAGGAAATAAATTTAATAAAAATAAAGTATAACTTCTTACGCGCGTACATAAATACACGCACCCTTTTTTTTGCTATTTAAATGAGGACGGTAACCACTTAGCATCAGGCGAGCTGTGAGTCCATCCACCTGCCTAAATGAACAAAGAATGTAGCGGTAGACAGCGGTTTGAATGTGCTTTTGGCATCTCTATTTCCGAGTAAAAGTTAGTTAAAGCGCAAATTCGTACATACTTTTATCAAGTCGTGGTGGCGGACGAAACTTGTATTCAGGCTGGCTCCAGAAGATAGGAACCGAACCTCGTACCTGTGCGCAAGGAACAAAATTAATATTCTACATTCAATACAAATTTAAGTACATGTGGAAGATCTTCCACACGTGCGGGCTTTTTAAATTTCATGCCTTTTAATTTAATTTTCGTGTTGAAGCGATGCACCGGTGTTCGAATCCCGCAGGCAGGTTACAATTTTTCTAATGAAATACGTACTGAATGTTCACGATTGACTTTTTACTGGTGGTAGGACCTCTTGTGAGTCCACCTATTTCTGCCGTGAAGCATTAATGCGTTTCGGTTTGAAGGGCGGGCCAGCCTTTGTAACTATACTGAGACCTTAGAACTGATATCTCAAGGTGGGTGGCGCATTTACGTCGTAGATGTCTATGGGCTCCAGTAACTACTTAACACCAGGTGGGTTGTGAGCTAAGCAATAAAAAAATAAAATAAAAACATGTGGAAGATCTTCCACCCGTGCAGGCTTTTTAAGTGTCCATTGAGTTTCGCGAGAATTGCAAATCTTCTCAATGGGTCACCATTGCGATCCGGTGTTAGACGCGGCGAAACATTGCTCTTTGCTAGAGCAGATGTTAGCAATTCTCTCAGGTAGAACGCTATGAGCTCGCCCATCAACCAAGAAAAAGCCCGAATAGCCATTCCCTCAGAATACACTTTCTGTATTCTGATGCATACCGTGGCTACCGGCAAAAAAAAAAAGATACGTAGACAAAATAAAAAGATCACAAACATTGTTCAGTCATTTACAGTTACTACAAAGTTAACAGTGCATGACCGTTGTCAGTTTACTGCCCAAAAATAACAGTTAACTAAATTGACGTTATGTGGATTTAAAAACTTGATACTTTATAGTCTTGTGTTGTGACGGATTCAATTGACGATTCAGAAATTTATTCATTTCCCGATATTATGTACTGCGATCCTAGTAATTTGCGTGGATTATGATCACGTAAATTGAGGAGGTCGGACGTTAGGGGCAGATGAAATATCGGGAGATCATTGGATTTCAAAATAAAAGGTGTAACTTTGAATCGATACTAAGTTAGATCGAACTTTTAAAAAAGGAAGTTGCTCTTAATTAACTCTATTTTGTGTTTTGTACTGTTAATTTACTACTTATTTCTAGGTATAGCTGATTTTGATGAATCTTTTTATTTATTTGAAAGCTGGTGCTTTTTTTTTAATGCTTATCATGTGGTCCCATTTAAATTTTATCAGGTTGTTTTCGGTCGGTCGGTCGAGCCGTTCTCGAGTTTTAGCGAGACTAACGCACAGCAATTCATTTTTATATATATTGGGTATTGGGTATGGGTATTTGGGCTAGTGTTTACTGAGTAGTTCCTATTGTAACAAATAGATGATGCTAACATTCAAGCTGAAAGTGATAAAAGCATGACTATAATAGTGAATTTACCTGTACAAATGAAGCCCTGTGGATGCTATCCGAACAAATTATCGACACAATTTGCTCTGTTTCAACATAATTAGCCACTTTTCCGCTTTGTTCGATACCACGTCGATTGTAACTGCAATTATAAATAAACTCGATAGGTGAAAATGACTAAGCTTAATTCTACTTTTATTTTGTACAAAAAAAAAGCCTTAAATACATTTTAAGCTTACTATTTAAATCACTGGTGTGGTGTTATTTAGAAACATCTGATTTTATCAAACTTTTTATGAAGTCAAATACGTATTTTCTACTTGATACTCATTGGCAGGGACGGGGATAGTGTGGGCATTTTTTTATATTTTTTTTATTGTCCTATAGGCAGACGAGCATACGGCCAATCTGATGGTGAGTGGTTAGTGTGGTTACCGTCGCTTATGGACGTCAGCAATGACAGGAGCAAAGCCAAACCGCTGCCTATCAAATGGTTTGCCTATGCATTAAATATTTTTACATTTGGGTGTGAAAACCCTATGGTTATCTTTCCTATAAAACTTAATCACTGTGGGAGGTCTAAAGGCGTACACACACATACACCCTCATTTGCACTACTACTGTCACGGTCGTTCACAGATCAATCATTCATATTCCGGCTCTAAGCTCGTGTGTGACATCACGCCGTGAATAAACCGCCGTGATCCGCGCGAGAACTGTGTCCCTCCACACTCGCAAAGCTTCACGGTCTTCTTCTTCTCAAATCAAGTTCGCGTGCCGCAAACCCTTTGCCGCGGGCCAAAAAACCGACATTGATCGGGGAAAGCGCGAACGAAAAGGCGTGAACAACACCTACTTTATCTACATTTATTTGCGTAATTATTGGTAGTAGGACCTCTAATGAGTCCGCTAATGAGCAGTGGTGCGTTTCGGTTTGAAGTGTGGGGCAGCCATTGTAACTATACTTGAGGCCTTAGAACTTATATCTCAAGGTGGGTGGCGCATTTACGTTGTAATGGGCTCCAGTAACCACTTAACACCAGGTGGGCTGTGAGCTCGTCCACACATCTAAGCAATTAAAAAAAAAACAGTCGTGATTCGAAGTTCTCGCGGGCTTTCACGGCCCTTCGCACCGCGAGTGTAGAGCCGGCAATACACTAGTGTTACCTGATGTTAGTATTAACAGATAACAATAATGTTGAAGTTATAACAATAATGTTGAAGTTATGTGCATTGTTTCAAGATAAATAACCTACTTTAATATTTTGCTTCAATAAGCTCAGTGTCTACATTGTATAAAAATCAAGATTGGTCTCCTTTTTGAACAATAAACTCTTACCGAGTCCCAGCTTGATATCTTGACCGTCTGGATATTAAACCAAGAGTAAATGTTTCATCGCATGTGCTCGTGTTTGTGAGAGATTCCGTGTTCAATGGGTTAGAATCAGCTGGATCCACGGCTATTTGAGACAGATGTACGAATCCTTGAATTATTGGCAATATCCACTGATCACAATCTGGACTCTGAAAAACGCAATAGAGTTCATTCTACTGTGCGGAGAAGTGTGAAAAATTACAAATTTAATATTTTCGAAACTCTTAAATATATTATGTTTCAAAGAATATCTTAAATATGAACAGTTCAATGCATTTATTTATGACAATAATAGTGGTCACCGAGCATTATTATTTGATTTTTTTTTTTAATAATGAAATAAAGTTCCAGAATATGAAAATAAAATATAATAAACACACCCCAAGTGCAATAATATCTTTCAACATATGTTTATTCCAGAAGAATCTATCATCAACATGTTTCCACCATCTCGTTATGTCTGTGACCGGTCGTCCGGTACCTTCTTCAGTTTCCAACATCTTTTCTATTTCATATTGTCTTTGGAGGCTGTTTGTCAAGTCCAATGTTCTCGAATAATAAAAGTTGTGCGAATCATCAAAGATTTTATGCAATTCATCCGTGAGCCGCTTCTCAAAACGTTCTGCCACTTTAGGATCTCTTTGCTTTTTTACTGTTTGTTTCACCTATTTAAGAATTAACAACAGTTCAATTAATTTACTTACATTACATTTACATTATTGAAATCATACCTTATTATAGATCATTTATAATTTAAGCTAGTTTTAGAATTCAATCTTGCTTATATTGTTCGAGCTATTCTTGACCACAAAAACCATAGAAAAACAGCAGAAAGAATAATATTAAAATTATCAAAGCATCACTGAACTATAATAGCAGTTTTAATCATGTTTATGACTTGTGAAACAAAGAAAACACTATTTTTTTTTTTTAAAGTAACTTAATATTAAATTAAATTAAATTTAAAAGATTTTATTTTTGTAAATGTCATAGTATATAATGAAGCATGGTACATATTAACATTTATCAAAAATCATAGCGTAGTACACTTAATACAAAGGAAAATTACATTGTTATTAATAAGGCTACAAATTTCCATTAAATAATTCTAATGTACTTTATAATGTGGTGTACTTTCAATTAGCAGGATAATATAAAAATGGTCTTGCCTGTGTAGCTGCTTGCTGTGTAGTTGTTTTAATAGTGTTGCTTACATTCTTCACAGCTCCAACAGTTTTATTCAAAAATGCAGAATTTTCAAACAGACGACTGCCTATTTTTTTATTAGAACTCAGCACAGATGTGGAAGAGCCATGTTTAGTGCAAGGACACAGTTCAAGTTCTTGGTTTGCTATGCCCATATTTAAAAAGCATATTGATTTTACTTTATGAATGGTGTGATGAAAGTATATGTTGCCGACGGGAGCACTTTCTTTGATTATCATTAAACGGGGTTCGAATATATTGGAATGCTCGACCTTTCCAATAATACCTTCAGTTATACCGAGGCATTCTATATCTTCTATGTCAGACATGTCCCAGGCTAGATTAATAGAAACTTATATTAAATATTACCTATATAATAAATACTAGGACTATATTAAAGTACAAATTTTAAATCAATATTTTATGACAGTGGCTAGGCAATGAGAGCAAATTATTTTATAACAAAACAAAGAATCAAAAGGAAATTAATTCATACCTGATCGCACAGAAAAAGCCCCCGATAATCTGTTCCACCACAAACTTGACTCATTTCTAACGAAAATGTAATAGAGTTCCGAACGAAATAATTCCATTTTTGTTATTTTATTTCAATTTTTATATTTTTAACATTAATTTCATTCTGTTTACTGTTTTTTTTAATTTGGGTCAGATTGACGTCTAAAAGAGGAGGGGGCCGTGTGTTAGTGACAATAGTGACATTGAAAATCAGGGCACAGTGACGGTTAGGTTCTTGTTGTTGGTAGCTTGGAATGGATCCGAGCAAAAGTTCAATTATAAATGTTTAAATTTAATACAGCGTAATATTGTTGATATTTTTGTATTTATTAACTCAAAACAATGTAAAATGTCAATACTGGTGGGAAATACAATTAAAAAGCGAAACGTTAAAAGCTTCCCTGTGCCTGTAAATTCTATGGTACTCTGTGGTCAGTCGCTGCAATCCTCAATTTCTGTAATGTTGGTAGAGAAAAAAAAATCGTTTCCGCTGAGATCAGAAAAGGAAACGCTACCAATGAAATAATATTGGAATTGAGATTTTTGAGTGAATACAATAAAATTTATGTACTTTTCAGTAAAATGGATTGGCAATTAACTTGTCGAGTTTGTTTAGAAACCGGTGATATGGTTTCTATTTTTGATTGGGACGAAAACAATGAACAACTAAGCGATAAATACACGTTTTGTTGTGGCGTAGAGGTATGTTAAAATTACCACACCAAAATGGTTGCTATGGCCACCCTATTCAATTTTGTTGAGATAATGTTGCTGTGGTGTCTTTCGTGCTAGTGAATATTTGTGCATTTGTGATTTTTTTATTGACATCCCAGAACTGTGTATTGCAAAAAATTAATCTTCCTACTAATTCTGAGGTTATATTTTAGGTTTCTAAAAACGACACTTTGCCAACACTTATCTGTTTGAATTGTGTGGATCGACTTACATTTGCATATCAATTTAAGCAACAATGTTTATCTTCTAATGATACCCTGAAAGAATGTTTGGAAGAATTCAAACAGAGCTCTGCGGCCGCTTCTGCTACAAAAGCCTCGAAAGGTCAGTGATAATTACGTGTACTTTAATAATTACACTCAAAACTTTTTTTTGCACATTATCAGCTTATACAAATAAAGAAACATCCTTATATCCATAAAAGAAAAATGTAATTTTAAAGAATTTGTTTATTTGCGTTGTTAAAAAAAAAAAATATAACACATCCATTTTCCAATTTCAGTTGTCGATGTTGAAACGATTACAATAAAGCAAGAAAATGGCTTGCTTCTTCAATATGAGCTGCCTGTCGAACACGATCCTCAAGTACAATGGTCTCGCGCTTCATCCACCAGGCACTCGAGTAAATCTAAAAAGAGAGGACGTCCTAGGAAGTATGTCGATGAACAAGGTGAATTGGGGAAATTATCATAAAAACTTAGGGGTCTTGGGTAACAACTAAATAAAAACTTGGGTCTCATAGAAACTTGCTGATAAATATGTTGTAAAGCTTTTTAATTGTTCAAGGCTATTCTTGAAGAATTTTAACTTTGGGTCCAAAAAAAATTCTGAGGACCTATTCAGCAGTTTTATATTTTGTAATATGCTCAACAAATTCATGTATCTCCAATTTAATTTTGTAATTCTTTCCTTTTCCATACTTCCAAAATCATGGCACGAAAGGGATCATTGAAGTTTGATCTGAGAACAATTCTTTAAAAAAGTTAACACTCAAAATATTGCAAACTGATGTAAAAATCAAATCAACTTTTAATAGGTAGTGGAATGTGAGCTTGCACAGGCACTGCTACCTTGCTTATTTGGAAGGGATAGTCATTTTGATGCAATAAAATTAAGATTTCCCTTAATGTTTGTGGTGTTGTGCTACCTAGGTACAATAAACAAAAATAAACATTTAAGAAAAAATATTTGTATCTAAATAAATAAATAAAAATAACAGGGTTGTCATTGTACCGACGAAAGAAGGCAAAACAGTCGAAAGAAAAAGATCCTGAAGAGTTGACCACTATGATAACCAATGCTACCATTGATATGAAAGAAGAGCCTGTTGATGAAGAAGAGCCTTTTGGAGGTGGTGAGTATTTGAATGCAGTTTTAAATCATTATTTCAAAATTAATAGACTGGAGACAAAAAACGTGTAAAAAGACTTTGTGGTCATTATAATGTATTTTTAAGGCCTGACAGCATCTCCCATTTCCTTATGAATTTATCCTACTGTTGATAGTTCTTGGGTGTACCATTCAGTACAAGATATATTTCAATTTTATATATTACTTTGAAAAAAAAAAATGTTTCTGATGAAATTGGAATCCAGGTTTTTTTTTCTTTTTCTTATTGCTTAGATGGATAAACGTGCTCTCAGCCCACATGATATTAAGTGGTTACTGGAGCCCATAGACATCTATGGCGTAAATGCGCCACCCACCTTGAGACAAGTTCTAAAGGGTCTCAAGTATAGTTACAACGGCTGCCACACCCTTCAAACCGAAACGCATTACTGCTTCACAGCAGAAATAGGCAGGGTAGTGGTACCTACCCGTGCAGACTCACAAGATGTTCTACCACCAGTAAAAACATCAAAACAGCCATTTTTACTAGTAAACAAGGTATGTTGTTGTTTTAATATCGGTCTTATCAAATTATTTTAGATTTTGCTGATAATGACCCTGATTATGCACCAGATGATGTTGATGAAAAAATTGAAACTGAAGCTGAAGTAGAACCAGAAAAATCAGTAAGTGATTGTTCTCTTTAACATTACAAACATTGGAAATCCAAACTTTTATCTAAAAGATAAAATTAATTATCCAGTAAAAAATCAATAACATCTTAACCACTAAATCAATAACAACTTTACTGGTGGTAGGACTTCTTGTAAGTTCGCGCGGGTAGGTACCACCGCCCTGCCTATTTCTGCTGTGAAGCTGTAATGCGTTTCGGTTTGAAGGTTAGGGCAGCTGTTGTAACTATACTGAGATCTTAGAACTTATATCTCAAGGTGGGTGGCGCATTTACGTTGTAGATGTCTATGGGCTCCAGTAACCACTTAACACCAGGTGGGCTGTGAGCTGGTCCACCCATCTAAGCCATAAGAAAACAAGTCCACAAATTTTGATTGTAGGCTGTGACCCAGTTTTTTTTCTTTTTTCTACCTATGCTGATAGCCTTGAGAGCCTATATTAGTGTTACCCTAGCGTGTAGGTGACCTCTCAGGGCTCAAACCGGAGGTGTATAGGGATATTGATCACCGTTAGATACAGAGCATTTATGAAAAGCGATAAAAAAAAGTATCTACGAGATACTACCTATATAAATATGATAAATATTTGATAGAAAAAAAACTTTATTTTAATCAGTGAATTTAATGAAATGAGTGAAATGAAATGAATTTTTTAATGAAAAGTCGACTGACTTTTCATTTGAAATGACTGCAATATTTATAGTTGTTAAATATATTCATAAATTGTTGCTTTTACTGCACTAGATAAAAAGTAAAAAGTATAGTATAGTAAAGAAATATAATAAAGTAATAAGCTATAATTATGAAAATAATACATGTGCCTCATTCATTTTGGCACTTGTCTTATTTCTTAAAAAAATAGCATATCTTTCTATTGCGGAAACACATTTTATATTAATATAATATTTTAGCAGTCTCCACCCAAGAAACGTGGCCGCAGACGTAAGTCAGAGTCTAAATCAAAGCCCAAAGAGACTGTAAAGGAAGATGATGGAGAAGATGTATTACTCAAGGAAACGATCTTGGCATTCTCAGAGCCCATACCGGAGCACATCCTTAATCCAAAACCGAAGAAGAGATATACTAGCTCTAAGAAGAAATATGTTTATGAGAAGACGTGAGTATTTTGTAGTTAATGGCTATCTTGATGGTTAAAATGCTCTAAGTGGTCTTCTGCATACTCTTGAAACTGTAGTTATGTCGGGAAATTTCTGATTCCCGCTCTAATGTTCTATTGCGCCAAATGCAGATGTATACGTTTTCCAATGTTTTTTATAATCAATAAATATCGTCGCAACCCTGTTATTTAGTTAACTGAGATGGTTAGAGGTAACTGTTTCCTGAATGCTGAAATTGTTGGGATAACTGTTGTAAGTCTCACGCAAGTCAACAGTTGTTTGAAGACGGTATTTAGGAAAATTAATGAACAAACAATCCCACTGTTCTACTATAAATATGAGTTATTTTTGTCGCACTACAGATTCTGGCTCGAATAGTCGAAAGGAGTTGAGCTCTCTGTTGTTTTACACTTAAAATGTAATAAATGGAGTTCATTGGAAAAGTGAGTCTTAATTAATGTCACTATGGAAGGCAATGATAAGGATGTAAAAAGAGTGCCAGCAATGCTGACGTCATCCTTTTAAAAATGCTATTGAACCAGCTAATCCTTCATATATAATTATATAATTACCAGTTACTCTAATTCACCCTGTTAATACAAAACATACTCTCAGAATGGATAGATAGTTTTTAAATTTGAAGTCAGTTTTGTTGTTAATAATGTTTTATTTCAGACATACCTGTGAGACATGCGGAACATCGTTCACTTCAAACTCAGCACTGCAGACGCACATACGAAGACATTTAGGCATCAAGCCATTTGTATGTAGGTTAGTATACATCTAAGTATGATAAAATATACACTTTTTTCATATGATCTTTTTTTTTTTATTGCTTAGATGGATGGACGAGCTCACAGCCCACCTGGTGTTAAGTGGTTACTGGAGCCACCCATCTTGAGATATCAGTTCTAAGATCTGAAGTATAGTTACAACGGCTACCCCACCCTTCGAACCGAAACGCATTACTGCTTCACGGCGGAAATAGGCGGGGTGGTGGTACCTACCCGTGCGGACTCCCAAAAGGTCCTACCACCAGTGATTACGCAAATTATAATTTTGCGGGTTTGATTTTTATTACACGATGTTATTCCTTCACCGTGGAAGTCAATCGTGAACATTTGTTGAGTACGTATTTCATTAGAAAAATTGGTACACGCCTGCGGGATTCGAACACCGGTGCATCGCTACATACGAATGCACCGGGCGTCTTATCCTTTAGGCCACAACGACTTGCAAACTCCTGTTACAAAATTGGTACATGATGTAATATTAAATTTAATGCTTTTGTTTCAGTGTTTGTGGTTTCGCGTGTGTTATGAAAGAACCGCTGAAACGTCATATGTTACGTCATACTGGAGAGCGCCCGTACAAATGCCGAATATGTGAACGTCGATTCGGAGATTATGGTACTAGACAAAAACATGAACGGTGTGTATGTTTAAAAACACTAACAGATGACATGTACTTTGCTTAAAATTGTTAAAAAATATATTTTCAAAGTTGCTCACAAAGCCACATAAAAATATATTTTACAAAAGATTATCAGTATTAAATTATGGAATTTAAAAAAATATATTGACTCTGAATGAGGGTCAGACCGTCTGTTTTACAGTACATTAAACAAGTTCACTAACAATAAAACCGATGAGGCTTTTAAGATGATAATATTCAAACAATATGTTATTTTACAGATTACACATGGGAATCCGACCATACCAATGCACATTATGTGGTAAATCATTCACATACTCTTATGTTCTGGCTAACCATATGCTAACACATACTGGAGAGAAAAAATATTCGTGAGTATGAAATTAACCGAAATATACTTAAGAATTAAATTTACACAAAAAGCACAAAATAGATAATATTCAAAACTCAATCTCAAACTTGAGATCAAAGCACAAGGGAGTGTTGTTGGCCTTTGATACATAAATATTTTGTGATTTTGGTTTATAGTTGTGGTCCATGCAATAAGAAGTTCACCAAAGCTCACCACCTGAAGTACCATAACAAAGTCCACCACAAGGAGCTATATATGCAGCAACAGATGGAGCTTGAGGCCAAGAGAATGAGACAACAGATGAACATAACTAGCCTAGGCGGTGTTGCTGGACAGGTCATTGATGGGTCCTTGCAGCTCATACAAACTACTGATGGTAAACTACATTATGATCTATTAACTATAACATAACTGGAAACATAACTTGTTTAGTAACCCTATCTCGTAAGACTTTGAAATATCAATATGCTAACATGTAAGAGAAATACAGTAACAAAAATATTTCCATCAAATAGCATTTTTATCTTTCACCTAAGCAATAAAAAACCCAGAGAGCTGTTTCGGGATACAAAATTAAACACAATTTAATCACAAGAATTCTTCCTTCATAGATATTAAGATAAGAATTGTTGTGTTTTGGTTGTCAAAGTTTTCACAAATTATCTACATCGATTTTTAGATGCTGAGGAAACCCAGATGCAAATTGTGCAAGATGATGATAAAGAAACGAATCGTGCTGTAGCAGGCATGCAAGGGGTGAGTTTTAATTAACAATATTGTTTAAGTCCAACTTCATTGATTTACTTTAAATGTGTACTGACGAACTTACACTCTACCTGATAGAAATTGTTGTATCGGTACTATAGAAAAATGTGATTCTCATTTGCATGCATGGTCATCCAGCCCCAATTTAGGATTCCCTGTGTTATAGATTCCAAAGGCTGACATACATAGATACTTATATGATTTTTTTTCAAATCAATACATATATAAATAATGAGCTCCCAGACAAAGCAAATAAACACGTTCATCACATGTATGTTTTCCTGATATAGGAATCAAACCCACGACCCTCGATAGTCAGGGGCGTTAAATAATTAACTACCGACTCGTTCCTAAATATTTGAAATGTCTAATTTTGTATTTAATATCATGTGTACAACTCATGAAAAGTGAAAAAAGCAATTTATTTAAAAGACAAATTATTATCTTCTCTAAATATGATTTTTTTTAAGAGATTTTATGACTTGGTAACTAAGACCTTTAAGTCATGTCTTATTTTAATTTATGTTCTTATTTTTATGAAAAATGATAATATGGAGTGAAATGAAATGAAACGAAGGCAATTAATTATTATTTGTGACATTAATCAACTGGGATGAAATTAAATGAAATGAAATGGAATGAAATATAACCTCAGTAAAATGGTGGTCATTTACTGTAATTTTTTCAGTGGACTTTTTGGAGGATCCCGAGAAGTTACGTCCAGCAGCTTTGTTTCATTTTCCCACATTTGTGCACTTTCACAGATATTAAACAGTTAATAAACCACCATTATTACACATTTAAACCCGAAGAAACACAAAATAGACAAAATAAAACAAATCACACAACTTCACTCCTTGCGTTCCCGCCAAAAAGTCCTCTCTAAATATGATCTGTGGAAAGACCATAGATAATACACATAAGTTTTAGGCAACGCAGCGCTCAAAGAAATTCTTACGGACCTCTGCCACTAGATGGCTTCGCTTCGATTAGTTTCTCGTTGCTCTTGTAGAGTAACATTACTTATCCTATATTTTATTTTTAATGAAGAATTCTGTAAACAGAAATCACAAATTGATAAAATTTAATTAGTTTGTCAATAGGAAATAAAGACTTGTAAGATTTATAATATTTTTTTATATTTTGTGTTTAGTTATACCTTAATTAAATGCCTTAAATTTAACGACATATAAGTTTAAGGGCATCCGCTACTAGATGTGGCCAGTTTTCATACAGAAAAAAATATTTGTCTTAAAGTATTGTAGTTTCAGGGCCCTGGAAAGACTATGAATATATTGGTTTACAGAATTTAGTGCTTTGCTGCAATAACCACAAATTTGATTGTTACAGGTGGTCCTGGATAATGATTTTTGTATTCAAGATGAATAATTAAAGACCTAAGATTCAACTTTGGCATTCCCAAAGATTATATGAATATGAACATTTAACGCATTATGACTTAATTTTCCTAATAGTGTGATGTTTTCAATCAAACTGTTCTAGTAAGTGCAAAAGAAATATTTTAATCAATAATTCGAAGTGCTAAAATTCTGACCTGTTATCCTTTGCCAATACTTATCAAGTAATCTCATGAAATACATCTAAAAACTAAGTTATTATAGTTACTATGTTAAATCTAATAAATTATGTACATACTTATCTATTGATGGCGAAATGAATAAGGGTACCTAATAAAGTGTTGAAAAATAATATTGTTTTCTTTCTCGGTAATGAGATAAAAAAAACCTATGACTGAAGATGCGTATACGTTTTATCGTATTTATTTGCTTCTTGTACTACGTATACCGAAAAAAAGCTGACGCACCTACAGTCCGCGCGCGAGCTCCGACGAATTTTAGTAATGTTGACGTAATGAGTGTTGTAATTAGTCGATATTGCGTTATCGATTCTAACACATCTTAAGCCTCCGTGCGAGTGTAAATTGTAAAATAGTTTTATGAGGATATTATGTACTTCAAATAAAAAAATTACAATTGATCACGTATGAATTAAATTTAATGAACTGATACTTATTGAACAAAATGAACGTGAAATCTTATTAATTACTCTCGCAATCAGATTAATCAGTAGTTGAAGAATTAGATGTACTATTGTCACTCTCCTCGCGTACTTCATTAATAAATGATTCGACAACATCCTCCATTAAGCCATCCTTTTGCCAGTAATGTTCCTCTAATGCTAAGATATGTTTATTAAGCTAGTGCTCGCCATTCCTTTTTATCAAATTATATAGCTATTTGTGCAAACAAAAAGTCCTATAAGTGTAAGGCTATTTATATTAGAAATCACACGTACTTAACATTGCTATCGCAAAATTAAAAACAGAGAGTCTGTAAGCGTACTCTCACGTTAAGGTCGACACTATTACTGGAAGAGTGCGGGGTATGAAGCGACGGTCGGGCGCGGTGCACGCCCGCTCGCTTCCTCAGCCTCCGAATCCTCGGAGCTCGCGCGCGGACTGTATTTTACGGGTTCAAACCATAGTTTCCTTTTGTAGTAGTTGCAAAGCTTAGATGATAAGAAAAAAATGTCATAATAATATAATGTATACCTTTTCATCGGTGGAGGAAGCGGCAATAGATTTTCAAATTTGTAAAAAAAACTTGCAAGGACATTCTCGAGCGCGTCAAATATTGATAGCTTGAATGTCCTACGTATTTTTAATAGTGTATGTGTGTTAATCTGATCGTTTGCATGATGGGTGTGGTCGTAGGTTTTTTTTATTTTTTTTATTGCTTAGATGGGTGGACGAGCTCACAGCCCACCTGGTGTTAAGTGGTTACTGGAGCCCATAGACATCCACAACGTAAATGCGCCACCCACCTTGAGATACAAGTTCTAAGGTTTCAAGTATAGTTACAACGGCTGCCCCACCCTTCAAACCGAAACGCATTACTGCTTCACGGCAGAAATAGGCAGGGTGGTGGTACCCACTCGCGCGGACTCACAAGAGGTCCTACCACCAGTAATTACGCAAATTATAATTTTGCGGGTTTCATTTTTATTACACGATGTTATTCCTTCACCGTGGAAGTCAATCGTGAACATTTTGTTGAGTACGTATTTCATTAGAAAAATTGGTACCCGCCTGCGGGATTCGAACACCGGTGCATCGCTTCAACACGAATGCACCGGACGTCTTATCCGTTAGGCCACGACGACTACAGAAGGGGGTTAGGGGTGAAAATGAAAAAAAAAAATATCAAGTGCGTCAGATTTTCTTAGGGGGTCTTAGGTGATTAAATAATAATCTGACGATTTCGGTATGACGCAAACTCGCGGCCATTATAATATAAAAAAAATCACCATTTTGAAATACTCAAGCGCGTCAGATTAAGATATACCTATCTAAGGCTCATCTTTATATCATAGCCACTGAGCAAGTAATCACTACGTTATATCCTAGCTGACGATTATTTACAGAGATTCGTATAATGCCGGCCACTCACATACGCGCGAACATTTGTACATTGTACAAATGTTCGCGCGTATGTGAGTGGCCGTCAGACATTCATTCGCAAACTTAGCGGCTACGGCTGTGCAAATAGGTTCGGTATTCAATTTGCGAACCCATTTGCACTTCCTCCTACACTTGTTTACGAATGTCTCACGAATTTCTCTTCTTTTTTAATTCGTCAATAGAACATTGAAGAGAAAAAGAGTTTTTAACTCTTTCCCAGGCGTCATTAACGGCCATTCTGTTTTTATGGGATTTCTTTTGAGGGTTCCATATGGTCGGTTCATTTTGCAGGAGTTCAATGAACTCCATCACCTTGGTTTGTTCCAATCCATGATGAAGGTACGCTATACAGTAGATGTCACGAACTATGAAAATGGCGAAATGTCCGTTACCTTCGCAATCGTGGGCACAACTGGTCACACGAATGTGTGGGAGACTACGCGAAGGATCGCGGTTCGCGCGCTTTGATGTCCGTTAAAATACCGACACAGCTTGGAAAACACAAATACAGCGAAAACTTGCATAATCATTTGCTAACGTCGTCCTACAGTTGTGGGTTTGCGTATTCGTGCGAATGTGAGTGACCGGTATAACAGTAGTAGTTTTATTTTTTCAAATGGGAAGACAAAGGTATCATACCATAATCTTTTATATATATATTTTATGAAATATGATATTATGAAATGAAATGAAGTTGATTAATATGAAACATAGTATGAAATGAAATGAAATAAAATGATATGATATGGGATATTTTTATGAAAAATGATAATATGGAGTGAAATGAAATGAAGATGATTAATTTGGGACATTAATCAACTGGGATGAAATAAATGAAATGAGTTGAGATGATATGGGATGAAATATAATCTCAGTAAAATGGTGGTAATGTACTGAGATTTTTTCAGTGGACTTTTTGGAGGATCCCGAGAAATTACGTCCAGCCTCTTTGTTTCATTTTTCCACACTTGTGCACTTAATAGGTATTAAACATTTAATAAACCACCGTTATTACACATTAAAAACTGAAGAAACCCTAAATAGACAAAATAAAACAAATCACACAACTTCACTCCTCGCGTTCCCGCCAAAAGGTCCCGGATTCGTATTATATAACTACTTTTTTTTTCATATCACTTCGTTAAATGGAAAAGCTCAGGCAATAGCATGCAAATAAAGAAGTTTATATTTTTAAGTAAAATCCTTATATTTGCAAGAAACTAATTTAAAAAAAAACATGGTCTAAAAAATGCGGAGAAGGCTATATATAATAGACATATCTATATTCCCCTCTCCTGCGTCATGACGCAGCTGCACACTTCGATCAATAATACTACTAGATTCGCGATTAGCGCTTCAAAAACGGCCCGAAAAATAAGACCACAAATAAAATTTGTGGTCTTATTTCAAATTAGTATGGTCCAATCTCAAATATATTAAGTGTATAATCTATGGGTCCAATCATAGCCAACACTAAGACGTCAAAACGCTGCAATGCGCGTTCAAAAACTGAGTAAAAAACCACCGTAACACCAAGGTTTTGGAAGGAATATCTTTTTTTGGTAAATTTATATTATTAAGTGTTTTTCATAAAATAATAAACACAATTATATTGTAAATAAAACACAATTTACGAATATTGTAATTGTTTGGCCAATGTTTGCAACAAGGCACCAACTATTGTAACAAACATCACCTATTCTTGGACAGGGAATGCATAGAGTAGTTTTGTTATTTTATAATGTTATTTTTGTTTGTAGATTTCCTAGTAGCCCCTTGTCGCTGTGCACAATGGATATATATTGTCGCGAAAGAAAGAGGAGAAGAAATATAGAACTCTTATAAAAATTCTAGAATTGTTCAATGGTGGTGGCAAATCAATGCAAAAAAGTATTAAAAAAACTTTATATGTATGTGTAAATATTTTAAGCGTATATGCTGAAAAGGATTTGTTTTCTGGGGGAAACGAACACAGCCATAAAATAAGCCTAAATTAAACTGATTATAGAAAAATTCATTGATATAAGATTACATTATATTTGTAAAAAAGAAACCGCTCATATAAAAATGACTTCTAAAAGACAGCTTTATAACAAACTGAATCTGTTTAAAGGTAATTAAACCTACATTATTGTTTTAATTACTTCTGTATAAAGAATACGTGGAAAACATGTTTCGTGTTTCCTTTCATATTTTTTTTACTTTATTCAATTTTATTTTTTATCACCTATTTGTTGTAATAGCGGCAATGTAAAATATTATCTACTACTTTTTTGAATCGGTCAAAAATAGTTGCGACCATACAAAACAAACCTAAAACAAATATGTATATTCTGCAACTCTATGTCTTTCAATACTTACTGTGTTCTGAGCATTGAAATGTAATACCAAGAACTACATCTAGTTCCACAATACAATAAGCACGAAATTTTAAACAAATATTTTTAACCTTATAAATTAGGCTTTAAGTATCATTTTAGAATAAATATTTTTGTACTGATGACTTTTTATGTTCAAGTGACATTTTAAATTTATTCCATAATATTCTTTTTCTGACGAAAGGACCTAAATACATATATTTTGCAATGGTAATTAAACTTTATGTTTAAGTATTAAGGTTTATAATAAACTGAAGTCGTTAACATTATTAAACTTTTTTCTAAGAAATGAAGATGTTTTCGTGTCTGCAAACGTGGCCACTGGAGGGTCTTATTTTTGTTCCTGATCTTTAATCTAGTACTATTATTGATCGAAGACTAGAAAAGTAGTACTTTTAGTAGAAAAGTAGTAATAATATGTTTCCGCATAGTAGGAAATGAAAAAATGCAAATAAATCCGTATACATAACGATGTTAGAAAGTTAATTGACTAAGGATGACAGCGCAGCACTACTGAACTCTTTGTATAGACTCTATAACGTATGCTTTTTTTGGCGGGAACGCAGGAATTGAAGTTGTGTGATTTGTCTATTTAGTTTCTTCAGGTTTAAATGCGTAATAGCGGTGGTTTATCGACTGTTTAATATTTATGAAAGTGCAAAAATGTGGGAAAATGAAACAAAGCAGCTGGACGTAGCTTCTCGGAATCCTCAAAAAATCCCGCTGAAAAAGTCTCAGTAAATAACCACCATTTTACTGAGATTATATTTCAACCCTTAACATATTATCTTATTTCATCTCAGATGATTGATGTTTCAAATTAATCGTCTTCATTTCATTTCACTTTACTCTATAATATCATATTTCATAAAAATAAGACTTGACCTAAAGGTCTTAGTTACCAGGTCATCAAATTCTATAAAAAAAATAAACAACAGTATTATTTTTATTGTATGTATTGAAGTTTTCGTTACATATTTTGTAAGCTTCAATAAATAAAAATGGATTGGCAATCAACGTGTCGTGTATGTCTAGAAAGTGGAGAAGCCGTGTCTCTATTTGATTTAGATGAAAACGACCAACAGTTCAGTGAAAAATACAAATTTTGCTGCAGCATAGAGGTTTGTAAGTCATGAAAGATTATTACTGCTAATGGCCACACTGTATTTTGTATTAAAAATGTTGCTACTTTACTTAATTTTATTTGTTTTGAAAATCTCGACGTTTGTAACAAACATTCTAGATTAACGAAGACGATCTATTACCTACGTTAATATGCTTAAATTGTGTGGACAAGTTAATAAATGCATATGAATTCAAGCAACAATGTCTTACATCGAACCAAATGCTTCAAGAGTGCGTAGAGGAGTACAAAAAGTCTGTAGATTCTGCAGAAGAGAACATGAAAGGTAAGATAATTGCGATCCTAAATAAAATTTGATGATGCCATTTTTTAAGACAGCATGTAGGTAAGTTAAGCCTATCAACCTTATTTAATGAACAAAGCAACCCATCTCTATAAAGGTTTAACAAAAACATGCAATTCTTGCCACGCTGTCACCTCTTAGGCCGATACTTAAACTTCAGCTTAAAGTGCAATATTATTATGTTACAGATGAGTTAGATGATCTAAGCACAAAACAAGAGAATGGTATCCTGTATCAATATGAACTACCGATAGAACAGGACAGTGATGGCCAGTGGACTCGGACACTAGTGAAGACTCCCAGTAGTTCAGTTGTGACCAAAGCCTTGGGTCCAAGAAAGAGAGGGCGACCAAGGAAATATCCTAATGAACAAGGACAAATTGGTAAGTAAATGTAATTTAGACACAAGTAAGGAATATTTAGATAAAAATATCTATGTTAACAATACCCAACTCTGTAAATGAACTGAAGTTAATAAACTTAAATAAAAATATTTCCATCACTAAATTAACCACTTGATTGCTGAATATATTTTTAATAATGTGCCTTAAGTGCTGAGGCTAAAATTAAGAACTAATTTTTTTTTATGTATAAAGTACAATTTTAGTTATAATAATACGAACTAGTCAAAATATGTACATGTACTGAAAACTCTCAATTTAATCAGTGCTGCATTGCAATTTTCAATTATTCATTGAATCCTTATTGCGCTCCATAGCACCATATTTATGCAACACGGATAGCTTATTAATTAGTGTGAAAACATATCTGTAATGAAAAAGAAGGTAAATGTATTATATGAGTCGTCTATTATCAAAGGTGGCAATCTGTACATTTGGACAAAAATTTTTTATTGATATGTCAATACAGATTTATTTGAATATAATCGTCTCCTTCAAAGAATACGGTTCAAAACCTGCATTAAATAAAGGTTAATAGTTAACCTGTTATTTATCTAAGATGTCGTTCCGAAGAGTTTTGTGACTGCCAATGGAATANCTGCATTAAATAAAGGTTAATAGTTAACCTGTTATTTATCTAAGATGTCGTTCCGAAGAGTTTTGTGACTGCCAATGGAATACAAAGTCAATAATTCGTTTTTCTGATTTACCAATCATTGTCCAAAAGTCAGATTGCCGCCTTTGATAATAGTCGACTCATATCAGTATTTTTTATTTCTACTAAAATTGTTTGCTCTGCCGCGGGCCACAGAAATATCGTCCACTGGCTGCAGTTTGATGACCATGGGATTAGGGTGTATACTTATGGCTTAGTAGTTAATATAAGAACAAAAAAATATAAATACTCTATACGAGCAAGTTACAGTTTCGTTATTACTGTTCCGGTCTTGTTATTTATGTCTACTATAATAATAATTACTGTACACAGTGTCTCACTTTAATATCTTATCTAGTTTCCTTCATTCTGCCCCTCTATTTTGAGGAGTAAGAGGTATGTAAGCCCAGGCAGGTTAGTGTCAAAAATATGGCACACTCGTTAATCGAATAAAACAGAAATATGTTTCAATGTTGGAGGTAAACCTCGCATTCAGGTGTTTTTGATAATCACAGACTGAAGAATGCCATAAACTTATTTATGTCTTCACCTGTTAGGAATCTTTATATTAAAGGTTGCAATGAGACCTTTACAATATTTTCAGCGAATACAAAACAATTATTTTATAGATGTTTCACCATATCAGCGGAAGAAACCCAAACCACATAATCCTGAACCTGAGGCAATAACAACTATGATAGCAAAAGGCTCTTTGAACATAAAAGAAGAACCTTTCGAAGAGGAAGAAGACCTGTTCACTGAAAATTGTATGTACATGAATGAATGATAACTTGATCTAAATGGCTTTGAATAGCTCTTCAGACCTGTACACACAGTTGTGTAAACATTCTCCAAGGCTTGAAGGTTTGAAATAAAATTAAAATATATTCTTGAAAGCTATTTTTAAATGACATCTGTTGATTGATGATAGCTTGCACTGATTGCAGTTCCCATTTCAAATAATCTTTTTAAAAGTAAATGATTATACTAAAATGCAGTTGATCTCAATGATACTGATGCATACGGAATAATTTTTTTCAAAAATAATTACATTTACTAGTATGGATGATATGGGTCTTACTTATCGACATACATACTTACTAATGTATACCTAAAAGAAGATGAGATAAAATAAAAGGCTGGACATGAGTAGTGTATAGAACACTAATAGCAATTACATTTTCGGGTATGATATTTTGTCATGCAGTGTAATAAATTATAGTATAGAGGTCAGGACCACAGGGAATAGACAAAAAAATTATAACTACAGTAATAAAACTCTGAACAATATAATAGATAAGCATTAAAATTAATTGAATATTTTTCTGCAGCAAACGATTGTGATGATCCAGATTTTGACCCAAATACAGCACCTGAGTCTCTCCTTGAAAAGGTAAGCTTATAATAATCATTTATATTTTATATAATATGGAACGCACATTACTTAGATAAAGCGAGGTAGAAAACAAATTGATTTGCGGAATTGTATAATAATATTATAAAAATAATCTTTACATTAAAGCTAGTAAATCTCAGAATACATACAGATAATTTCATCACAGTGATTGTAAGGCCCTGTGGCGCAACGGATAACGCGTCTGACTACGGATCAGAAGATTCCAGGTTCGAATCCTGGCAGGGTCGCGACTTTTTTCCTTTTTTTAATTTTACTCTGATCGCACAACGTCTCTGTTTTTACAATTAAAAAAAATAAATTAAGTCACTATATCTTTATTCGTATAAATGTTAAGATTTTAAACTACATTTTGTTTAGGTTATGTAGGCAAAAATTGTCATCTTTGTTTTTATTGATTTTTCGAGTTGCAAGTAAAACTTGAATTATTCAGATTAGTTGTAGTTCATCGTTTAACAATTTTTCAGTAAAATCGACGATTATTTTACTCTGTATTGATCTAAGCTTCTTACAAAACCCATCTCAAAAAAAGAAGTTTTTTTCAATGGAAATAATCACGATTTTGTAACTTCCAATTATTCTAACCGATGCGTTCATTCATGTAGACCGTAGATTTTAATTATTGTTTTAATTAAGAAGAAATAAATTTCAGGCAATTCTCTCGGTTTTTAGTTCAGATGAAGGTAGATTATTTTCTCTTTCGACTCTTAGGGCGCTCGACTTAAACTTGTTTGCAAGTTTTATTTATTCATTTTACATTGCATAATCGGGTGATCCAGTTCCCGGTTCCTATGGTGTTAAGTGGCTATCTGTGTGATATGAGGTATAAATCTCAATTGGATATTACAGAGATTGTACCACCCTTCAAACCGTATGATTGCTTCGTGGCAAAAATAGGTAGCGCAGTCGTACCTAGCCGGGTGGGCTTACAATACGTCCCGCCACTAGTAATGTCATTGGGTGAATGCTGTTTTTTTTTTTTAAATTATATAATGTAGGGTCCCGATATAAAAAGACCTTCACCGAGATGTTTATTTGACGAAACGTATTTTACATTCAATTTAATATGTCAATAAATGTATTGCATATGGATCCTCGACTGGTAACGACTTCCTGGACGATATCCTGAACTGAAATTTATTAGGCAACCCGTATGCAATATATTTATTGACATGTTAAATCACTACATAGTATAAAACAAAGTCGCTTTCTCTGTCCCTATATCTGTCTGTCCCTATGTATGCTTAAATCTTAAATCTTAAAAACTACGCAACGGATTTTGATGCGGTTTTTTTTAATAGATAGAGTGATTGAAGAGGAAGATTTATATGTATAATAACATCCATTAAATAGTGGAGAAATCAATAGTAAATTACAGTTTCCGAAGCGAAGCGAAGCGAGGGCGGGTCGCTAGTCTATACTAATATTATAAAGAGGAAAGATTTGTTTGTTTGTTTGTTTCGAATAGGCTCCGAAACTACTGGACCGATTTGAAAAAATCTTTTTCCATTAGAAGCCGACATTGTCCCTGATGAACATAGGCAACTTTTTTTTTTTATTTTTTTTTTTGTAATGTTTCATGTGTCTTTTAATGTTTCCGAAGCGAAGCGAGGGCGGGTCGCTAGTTGAATATAAAATACGTTTCATCAAATAAACATCTCGATGAAGGTCGTTTTATATCCGGGATCTTAGACTAAAATGTTGTTACATTTAATTCAGCCACCCGCACACAAAAAATACGGCCGAGCACGCAGAACGCAAGGCTCTCCGAACGAGGATCTGTTGTTGAGCGAGACCATATCGGCGAATACGCAGCCTCTGTCTGAAGACGTCACGGAGCCCCGGAAGAAACCGGCTCCGAGAAAAAAATACGTTTACGGAAAGACGTAAGTAGTTTCTTTTTTTTATTGCCTTGATCAACGTCAACACGACGAGCTCACTGCCCACCTGGTGTTAAGTGGTTACTGGAACCCATAGACATCTATAACGTAAATGCGCAACACACCTTGAGATATAAGTTCTAAGGTCTCAGTATAGTTACAACGGCTGCCCCACCCTTCAAACCGAAACGCATTACTGCTTCACGGCAGAAATAGGCAGGGCGGTGGTACCTACCCGCGCGGACTCACAAGAGGTCCTACCACCAGTAAGTCCTAGTACCAGTTGTTTTATTTTGTCTATTTAGTGTTTCTTTGGGTTTAAATATGTTATAATGATGGTTTATTAATCGTTTAATATCTGTGAAAGTGCACAAATGTGGGAAAATGAAACAAAGCCGCTGGACGTAACTTCTCGGGATCCTCCAAAAAGTCCACTGAAAAAATCTTAGTAAATGACCACCATTTTACTGAGATTATATTTCATCCCATATCATCTCATTTCATTTAATTTCATCTCAGTTGATTAATGTCTCAAATTAATCATCTTCATTTCATTTCACTCCATAATATCATTTTTCAAAAAAATATGAATATAAATTAAAATAAGACATGACTTAAAGGTCTTAGTTACCAGGTTATAAAATCCCTTAAAAAAAAATCGACTAAATTAGAACTGTGTTGTTTTTGTTGACGTTACAGACATAAGTGCGAGACGTGCGGCAGCTCGTTCACATCCAACGCGTCGCTGCAAGCGCACGTGCGGAGACACCTCGGGATCAAACCCTTCGTCTGCAGGTTTATGTTCTTTATGGAGGGGAAAAACTTTTTTTTTTCTACCTAAGCTGATGGTTTTAAGAGACCATGTCAGCGTCGCCGGGCTGAGAAGTAAGGAGCACCGTCAGGCTGCATTGAAAAGTGTCCGCTGAATGGGAGTCAATTGAGGTGGCGCTATTGTAGCAAGTGGAAAGATTTTAAAAACATCGCCATGAACTATATTCGAGTAGGATATTAAATACTAAAATTCACTACAAGAGGTTCCATGCACACGTTAGTATTAAAAAAATCTCATAGATGGCACAGGATTAAAAAAAACTACACTTAGAACGTCTAATGTGTTCTATCTCATTCTCTCGCCGGCTGAATCCTTTTATTTATGTGTTTGTGTCTCTATGGACTTATTTTTTCGATTCATCGAGTTTGGTATCACAACGTTATTACTGGTGGTAGGACCTCTTGTGAGTCCGCACAGGTAGGTACCACCGCCCCGCCTTTTTCTGCCGTGAAGCAGTAATGCGTTTCGGTTTGAAGAGTGGGGCTACCGTTGTGACTATCTGAGACCTTAGAACTTATATCTCAAGGTGTGTGGTTCCATGTAAGCAATAAAAAAAAAAGATTCTAAAGAAGTTTCACTTTAAAAAGTCTCAAAACGCGCTAATATAGTGTTGTTTACATAACGTTTATGCGTCGCAGCGTGTGCGGGTACGCGTGCGTGCTGCGCATGGAGTTGCGGCGCCACATGATGCGGCACACGGGCGTGCGCCCCTACAAGTGCCGCGTGTGCGACCGCAGGTTCGGCGACTTCGGCAGCAGGCAGAAGCACGAGAGGTAAACCTACCCATCAGCCTGGATACACCCATGACCTTCCCTCCCCTTATATATATATATATAATATTACAAAACAACAGGTATTTCAATGTAGTAAACTTAATTATTGAAGTTCAATAAAAAACTCAAACTGTTGATGCTAATACCAAATAAAACGCACCGCTAAAGATGTGACATATATATATTTTCTTATTGCATATATGGGTGGACGAGCTCACAGTCGACCTGGTGTTAGTTAAGTGGTTACTGGAACCCATAGACATCTACACTGCGGCTTCTACTGCTTCATGGCAGAAATAGGCAGGGCGGTGGTACCTACTCGCTGGTAGTAGAACCTCTGCTCAGTCCGCACTGAGCAGAGGTCCTACTACCAGTAATGTTATACGGCACTAGCCGTACTCGCCCGCTTCGCTGGACATTTAAAATTAACATTATTATTAAGGAGTCCATCACTCATATAAATATTAGTCTATCCATCAAGTACATGTATTTTCTACATGGATACCAAGTTTCAAGTCAATCGGATGCACGATTCAGTAGTTATAACGGAACATCCGTAAAAACCACTGTAGATTTATATATTAGTATAGATAATGGTATACGATTAGGATTTTACAATAATGATTTTTTTCCGTTCCATCATCAAAAGTGTAATTAGTGCTATCGTCTGTCTTCGTTTTCGGAAGCAGTCTCCCAACACCCAGTATAATATATACATTCGTCATCAAATCAATTTTTTTTTATTCAACATAAATGAAAGTACACACTTGTTGAACGTCAAAAAGAACTACCGCCACTTCACAAAAACTAGCCTCCGCCCTGAGAAGAACTAGCAAGAAACTCAGCGGGCATGTTTTTTATTTTAAATATTAAAATTTTTTAAATATTCATCGATATGTGTTTTTTTCGTATAAAGTTAATTCGTTGTTTTGTTCGCAGGTTGCACTTGGGCATCAGACCGTACGAGTGTCCGCAGTGCGGCAAGTCGTTCACGTACTCATACGTGCTCACGAACCACCTGCTCACCCACACCGGCGAGAAGAATTTTGCGTAAGTAATATTCTTTTTTTTTTGCCGCATAAGCCGACCTGCATACGGCCCACCTGATGGTGAGTGATTACCGTCGCTCATGGACTTCAACAATGCCAGGGGCAGAGCCAAGTCGCCGCCTACCGCTTAATACTCTCCATAAGCCTCACTTAGAAAAGGAATGCAAGGAAGCATGGGCGACGGTAACTACTCACCACCAGGTGGGCCGTATACTCGGTTGCCTACACGAGCAATAAAAAAATAATAGTTGTAAAATAATTTTTAAGCTCATTGTATAATTTGGTTTTTTTATTTATTCGTCTCATTTTTGCTTAAGTTGGCTCATAAGTTTCTATGCTACTAGCCATACTCGCCCGCTCCGTTAGGCATTTAAAATTAACATTGTTATTTATTGTTATTATTATTAGGAGTCCAACACTCATATAAATATTAGCTTATCCATTAAGTATATGTATTTTCTACATGGATACCAAGTTTCAAGTCAATCGGATGCATGGTTCAGTAGTTATAACGGAACATCTGTAAAAACCACTGTAGATTTATATATTAGTATAGATACCTAAACAGTTCACTAGCAAGGAGTATGAGTTCAATAATTGTCTAATTCGTGCAGATGTGAACCATGCAACAAGAAGTTCACGAAGGCTCACCACCTGAAGTACCACAACAAGGTCCACCACAAGGAGCTGTACTTGCAGCAACAGATGGAGCTCGAGGCCAAGAGGACGAGACAGCAGATGAACATCAGTGGCCTCTCGGAGGTGCTGTCAGGGAAGATTGTCGATGGGAAACTGCTCATCTCTGGGAACTGTAAGTGTTTCTCTTCTTTCTTTTTTTTAAATAGTAGTACAGATGGAAAGACGTTTCGGACAAACGGTCTTAGTTGATGGGTAATTTCATGAAATGAAATGTCCTCTCTCGAGATTTCTCCGTTAATTCGTTAGCTCGGCGCGGTCTGGCAACACCGACTTGTCTATGTCTGCCGCGGACCAATAACGCATTCCGGTTAGACAGTTCGAGTCGAGGTGTGCAAGGTGTTACCGAGACTTCCATTACGTGTAACTTCGCTACGCCCTCCCAACAATATACTGGGATTTAGACTTTTTGGCGGGAACGCGAGAAGTGATGTTGTGTGATTTATTTTATTTTGTCTATTTAGTGTTTCTTCAGGTTTAAATGTGTAATAACGATGGTTTATTAACTATTTAATATCTGTGAAAGTGCACAAATGTGGGAAAATGAAACAAAGTCGCTGGACGTAACTTCGAGAGATCCTCCAAAAAGTCCACTATAAAAATTCCAGTAAATGACCACCATTTTACTGAGATTATATTTCATCCCATATAATCTCATCTCATTTCGTTTCATTTCATCCCAGTTGATTAATGTCTCAAATTAATCATCTTCATTTCATTTCACTCCATACTATCATTTTTCATAAAAATAAGAATATAAATTAAAATAAGACATGACTTAATGTCTTAGTTACCAGGTCATAAAATCCCTTAAAAAAAAATACTGGGACTTATGTGTGGCTAATTGAAGATTGTCGAAATGCTTGAACTATATAGGTATATATTGACAATTACAATCGAAAATTTCATCTCATGTCTGTATATAGGCATAGGAACGTTGTGATTTTCCCCTTTTATTAAGGAATGGTCATGTTTCGCAGCGCTGAATGAAGGTCAAGAGACGCTGATTATTGAGGAGGAGAACGTCGACGGAGACATCAAGGAGACCGGACGAGCGGTCGCCGACATGCAGGTCACTGTACGCGCCACTCGGTTACAACTAACAAGACTCGTGTCGCGTAGTGATTGCTTAGAGGCTTTTAAGATTGGTTTTGAAGCCGTCGTGGCCTAAAGGATAAGACGTCCGGTGCATTCGTATCGAGCGACGCGCCGGTGTTCGATAAGCCTTTGAGCTGTTGTATTTTAATTGTACTCTGTAAACCAGGCAAGAAAAAAAAAGAACACTTTTAGTTCCAGTGGCTTCCGTCTGAGTCGCCACTGTCGATTTTCTCTCTTCACATAAATTTTTTTTTTATTACTTTGGTACGTGGACGAGCTCACAGCCCACCTGGTTTTTGAGTGGTTACTAGAGCCCATAGACATCTACAACGTAAATGCGCCACCCACATTGAGATATGAGTTCTAAGGTCTCAGTATAGTTACAAGGACTACCCCACCCTTCAAACCGAAACGTATTACTGCTTCACGGCAGAAATAGGCTGGGTGCGGACTCATAAGAGGTCCTACCACCAGGTTTTAAGTCGTCGTGGCCTAAAGGATAAGACGTCCGGTGCATTCGTATCTAGCGTTGCACCGGTGTTCTATAAGTCTTCGAGTTGTTGTATTGTACTCTATAAGCAGGCTCGCCACCAGCGACACCGGTCAAATCTAGTTTCAGTGTTGCTAAGAAAAAAAAAATAACGCGTTTAGTTCCAGTGGCTTCCGTCTGAGTCGCCACTGTCGATTTTCTCGCTTCACATTCAAGTTGAAAACATTAATGGCGTGACAAATTCATTGATCTATGTGTTGTTAGTCTTTCGTTATCAGTTCTATTGCCTTGGTACAGATATTAACGCGTTTAAGGTTTAGGTACAGTAATTGGGGGGGAATCGGGACGGTTGCCAATAAAATTGAGATTAAAATTGTTCCGGAGGTTTAAATTTTCATATACAATTCATTATTATACAATATAGTTCATTGAAAAATATACACAAAAACTTAAAAAACTAGCTTAACCTGATCCACCTTGGCCTTTAGGGTGAATCGGGTCACGTATGGGGACAATAGAGTTTTTCAATAGGGTTGGCACTGTTTAGTTGTTAGGTAGGTACCTTTAGGTAATTAACTTTTCAATATCTTTAATCATAATCATATGGTACATAGTTATGTAGTTCGCATTCTCTGCTTATAAAATATTCAAGCTTGTTAATAAATTTGTATTTCTTCAACAGGTCGTGTTGGACGAAGACTTTTATTTAGAACAAACAAATTAGAAGGAAAGAAATATTTGTATACTATTAAATTATATTTAAGTAAAGATTCGAAGATAAAAATAATCCTATTTTTACTATTTAATTATCTATGTCTAAATATTGTCTGTAATACAATCTTGAATAGTCTTTGACTTTATGAAATAAAAAATTAAAGGCTCTTTACACTGAATTCCTTTAAATCGAATATCTTTAAATTACTTATTGTATGTTAGTCGAGGGATGAAAGGCTATTTGGTTTAATGGACATTTATCTTTGTAATTTAATGTGCTGTTTATTTGGTATAGCTGTACTCGTTCGCTTCGCTGGGCATTTAAAATTAACATTATTATTTATTGTCGTTATTATTAGGGAGTCCAACACTCATATAAATATTAGCCTATTATTACATGTATTTTCTATATGGATAGCAAGTTTCAAGTCAATCGGATGCATGGTTTAGTAGTTATAACGGAACATCCGTAAAAATCACTGTACATTTATATATTAGTATAGATTAGTATCAACAATCGATGTTTTTAGTGAACTTCAATTAAGTTTACTCCATTGAAATACCCGAAAAAAAAAATTTATTACGTTATTTTTTTCAAATTTTATACTTGAAATGGTTTGCCTGTAAACTTGCAAAAATGTCGCCTAAACCAAAAAGCCTTTCATCCTCGCCCTTGATATGTACTAGTAAAATATTGTGATATATATTTTCAGTAGTCACTTGAAACGTTTCATTGAGAGGCAACATCGATTACCATTTTAGGCGAAAATATTGTTGGTTAGGCGATACACATACTTGGTGAAGCGATACACCGGTGTTCGAATCCCGCAGGCGGGTACCAATTTTTCTAATGAAATATGTACTCAACAAATGTTCACGATTGACTTCCACGGTGAAGGAATAACATCGTGTAATAAACATCAAACCCGCAAAATTATAATTTGCGTAATTACTGGTGGTAGGACCTCTTGTGAGTCCGCGCGGATAGGTACCACCGCCCTGCTTATTTCTGCCGTGAAGCNGCGCGGATAGGTACCCCCGCCCTGCTTATTTCTGCCGTGAAGCAGTAATGCGTTTCGGTTTGAAGGGTGGGGTAGCCGTTGTAACTATACTGAGACTTTAGAACTTGTATCTCAAGGTGGGTGGCGCGTCTACGTTGTAGATGTCTATGGGCTCCAGTAACCACTTAACATCAGGTGGGCTGTGAGCTCGTCCACCCATGTAATCAATAAAAAAAAAAAAACAACCATATTTTAACATTATACAATAGTATTGTGACTAACAACCTCATGTCCCGGTGATGGGTGCCCGATGCATTGCGGTATCAACTAACATCAAGTGGACCGTAAGCTCGGTCATCTATCTAGTGCTATAAAAAAAAACATAAAAAGTTGCTAGCCTAAAAATCTATGTTTCGTTTTTTTGTTTGTTATTAAGTTCGTTACGTAGTTGAGTAATTATTGTAATTGGTAGGGAAAAAAAGCAGAGGTGATTCGTCAGAAATAAACAATGTACATATTAATTACATTAATGTGTTTTATTTGAAATATCTTAAATTTTATCCCCATAGTCACAGCCCACGATTCCGATCCGGTGGAAAATTCTACGAAACGCTGTTCTTGCTAGGACAGCTGTTAGCAAATCCTCTCAGGTTGAGCCCGTGACCTCACCTACCCGTCCGGACGTAGCTGCAATAACCCCTTAGGTTACCAGCAAATCATCATAATCGGTTGCTCTTGGCAGAGCAGTAGTGGTCATGTGGAATTCTTGCTCATTAAAGCCTTGACAGATGTTTTCCACAGTTTGCGAACCGATGCCCGGCGCACACACTCGTTAAGTGGGGTTTCAGTAAGGTCTTCCACCTGATCAGTCCAACGCATGGGGATTCGTCCATGAGATCTCTTACCATTGACCCTACCCTGAACAACAAGTTTCTCGATAGACTCTGCTGGCCGTCGCGATACGGCCATCCACAGTGCGTTTCAGAGATCTTTTCTGCCACGTACCATCCGGCTATGGATTGAGCTCCCCTCCACGGTGTTTCCCGAGCGCTATGACATGTCCTTCTTCAAACGAGGCTTGTGGAGAGTTTTAAGCGGTAGGCAGCGGCTTGGCTCTGCCCCTGGCATTGCTGAAGTCCATGGGCGACGGTAACCACTCACCATCAGGTGGGCCGTATGCTCGTCTGCCTACAAAGGCAATAAAAAAAAACCTTTCCAAAATATCGAAGAATCCTGGATTGCACTGTTGACGATAACCTGTGAGAGATATTTAGTTCTTTTAGGATCGAGGTGCGATGCTCAGTCCAAGATATACGGAGCATCCTTCTCCAGCACCACATTTCTAATGCATCGATCCTTCATTTTTACCAGCAAATAGTTAGAGAAAAAAGGGAAATTTTGTTTTTAATAAATACTAAACTGGGTCGTTTTGAAGTTGATCTATATTAAACTTTTTTTGAATTTTAAGTTTTTTTTTTGTAATGTGATTTTAAAACTTTACGTTTAAATACTTCATTGAATTTGGTAATTGAAGTGTAGCATTAACATTTTTAGGTTTTCCCGAGTATGAGACGTAATTAATACTACTTTAAGGTTTAAATTCGCATTTATTATTGTAATTTTGTATTATTTCCAACGGTTCAAAAACAGACTAGTGATCGGCAACTTTGTCAACCCAAAGAGCCAAAATATAGATAGCAATTGAAATATAATAAATGAGCTATTTTTTTAACATATATTTTTATAGCCTTGTCCTACAAAACTGTCTACTCGTCTTACGAGGCACGATAATAAGTAAATGCTGCGTCTGAACAACATATTTCGCGGAAGAGCCGTAGCCGAGGAGTCAAGGAACTCATCCGTGACCATGAAAATTTTTAAGTATTCGAAACTTCAAATGTCCACCCCTTTACCCACTTACAATTTACGTTTATGGCAATAAATTTCTAAATTAAACTGAATTCCAAAGTCGGTCATTCGTAATTGATTAGTGTATTGTTTTTACTACATTGAATGCTGTGCTTTTTTTCCCTACCTAATCTGTTAGGCTTTAGAGGCTATGCCAGCAGAACCGGTCGAGTAGGTGAGCTCATGGGGCCCTAGCAAGAGCAATGCTTCGCAGAATCTACCACCGGATCGGAAACGCGACCCACTGAGCAGATCGGCGAGAAACTCATTGGGCTGTGTCTGTGGGTTAGTTTACTCGCTGAGCCCTTCGTCACAAGCGACGGGTTCGGCGAGGACGGTAACCCGTGCCTGAGGTCCCTTAAAGCACCGTTAATGGATCGGGACGATCCGTAATGACGTGTTTAGGGCGACGTCGACTGTTTATCATTCGGTCCACAGTATCGCACGGCTCGCAACATTAGCGATATGTACGGAGTGAGTTAGTAGAGCTAACAAATGCACGACTCGTTATCGACTAGAACTCATTGGTCCAAAAAAAAAAAAGATAATAAATGAATCCCGAACAACAACGAATTAAAGGTGATAGTGGAAGATGGCGATACTCGATCTATCACTGAGTTAACAGTAACTTTCAACGACAGCATCAAAACCAACATTGGTCTATTTTCGTCAAATTAACAAGATAAAAAACTTGATAAATGGGTCTTACACGAATTGAACGATCGCCGATAATTCAGTGTCGGTATAATTCATGATAGCTTCTTACCAAATGACACTATTATTACTGCGGATGTGTATTATAAGGCACTGGACACAACGATGGAAAAGCTCGCGAATCTTTTTTAAATATTTTACAGCTTAGTTGGTTGGACGAGCTCACGGCCTACCTGTTGTTGAGTGGTTACTGGAGCCCATAGACATTTACAACGTAAATGCCGCCCCACCCACCTTGAGACATGACTTTTAAGGTCTCACTTGTAACAGTACAACGGCTGCCCCGCCCTTCAAACCGAAACGCATTACTGCTTTACGGCAAAAATAGGCAGGGCGGTGGTACGAGGGCGGGATGATAAGTAACTAGCCTCTACTATTTAAAAAGTTAAACTTTTAAAAATATATATGTCATTTTTTAATTCGTATCTCTGGCTACCTGTGTTCTAAATTTGAATTTGATGGCGTGAAAATTTTATTGATTTTTTGTCATTTGAAAATATATTTCGTCAAGTGTTTTCAAAATGGATAAAATTGAATAAAGAGCGGTAATAAAGTTTCTTCATATGAAGGGCATGAAGGGGAAAGGTATCTATGACGAGTTAAATAATGCTTAGGGTGAATGTACTCCTTCTTATGCCATAGTAAAAAACTGGGTGGTTGAGTTTAAATGCGGTCGTACATGTGTCCAAGATGAAGCCCGCCCCGGACGTCCAAAAAGCGTCACGACTCCGGAAATGGTCGTGAAAATACATGATATGGTTTTAACAGATCGACGATTGAAGTTATCTGACACAGCTGATACTACAGGTATCTCAAAAGACCGGGTACGTCATATCCTAAGTGACGAATTAAATATGAAAAAGTCATCGGCCCGTTGGATGCCGCGATTGCTTACGCACGATCAAAAGGAGATTCGGGTGCAAAAGTCAAAAGAATATCTGGACCGTTTCAGAGTAATAATGCCGATTTTTTACGTCGATTTGTAACAACAGATAAAACATGAGTTCGTTATTAAATGCCAGAATCAAAAATTCAATCAAAACAGTGGACGCAATCGCGATGCCCGGCTCCAAAAAAGCCATAGCTGTAAAGTCGGCTGGAAAAGTGATGGCTTCCGTCTTTTGGGATGCAGATGGGATCTTGATGATAGATTACCTTCCTAAAGGTCAAACGATTAATGGAGAATACTACGCTAATCTTCTAGATAAATTTCATCAGTGTATTCAGCAAAAACGACCAGATTTGGCGAAACAAAAATCATCTTCCGCCAAGACAACGCTAGGGTTCACACATGTGTTAAAGCTATGGCAAAAATCAACGAATTGAAGTATGATTTGCTGTCCCACCCACCTTATTCGCCTGATATAGCGCCATCAGACTTTCACTTATTCCCTAAGCCCAAAACTTTTTTGGGCGGACAGAAATTTACCACAAATGATGAAGTCATAGCCGTTGTAGAGGAGTATTTTGCAGGCTTCGAAAGAAATCATTTCATGGAAGGCATTACTGCTTTAGAACGAAGATGGAATAATGCGAATAATTTTATCACGAAAAGTTAAGTGTTTTATTGTTAGGCTAGTTACTTATCATCCCGCCCTTGTACCTACCCGTGCAGACTCACAAGATGTCCTACCACCAGTAAAATTTAATTTTCTAAGAGAATTTTTATTTTAAATTCTAATTTCATTTAGAAATTTTAATTTATTATGTATTTCATTAGAAAAATTGGTACCCGTCTGCGGGATTCGAACACCGTTGCATCGCTACATACGAATGCACCGGACGTCTTATTCCTTAGGCCACGACGACTTCAATGTTTTTTGTTTGTTTGCAGAAACCCTTTAGAATTCCTTATTTCATTTCGCCGTGTCATACAAATAATATGAGAATGGCCTTAGTGCCGGAATGCCTTTTGGTTTAAAGATTACACATTGCTCGTGAAGTTACAATATGTCGTAACAGCGAAATTATTAACAGACCTGCTCTTTTCATAGAAACTCGCTTCGTTCGTATTAATCAACATTAAAAGCGGAGGAGGAGACAATGAAAAAACAAAACTTATTTTACGAAGTTCCAACACCGCACTGTTCCGTCCCAGCTCCCTCGTAATAAGCGCATTAAAGAGGGAAAAAAATTGAGCTCCCGCCCTGAAACTTGGCGTTTTTCTTTTTACATTAACGAAAAAAAAAAAACTCGACAAGGTTTCCGTTACTTTAATGTCCACCGTTTATTTCGTGTTAATGCTTACGACAAGCGGATAAAGCCTAAATTTGCTTGATCAAATGTAATTTCAGTGGAAACGTACGTTTGTGAATAAGTAATGTAAGTATTATGTGTGCGTCTCGAATTTGTAAAGTTTTGAGAGGGTTTAACTTGCAGACGAAATTCGTGCGCGGTTCTCGCACCTGACGCGATCTTCGTTCTTGAAATAATAATTATTGACTAAAGAGTCATAAAGAGATTATAAAAATGTCTAGGTAGGTACTCTCACGAATGAAATCAAGGCGTATTACTTTACCATTTTGTTACAAAAGCGAACAAGACGATGTTCTAATATCCGCCGAAAATAAGTAAGCATCCCAATTATTGATTTATATGAAAACAACTTTAGAAAATAAGACTATAGTTGAAATACCTAATTATAGTCGAAATTCGACTATAATTAATTGGAATTGTAAGTTTGTACACTATTATGATTGTATTTTATACTTCTATAATCACAAATGTCGTCAAGGCTACACTTTAAAAAAATATTAATAAAGACAAACAATATTTAATCTATTCTCAATTTGACAACAGACGTCAAGAACAAGTTTGACAATAAATAATATGCATTCGTGTGTGCGTCAAATACATGGTATGTAGTGTGTGTAATGTTTTCTTTATTGATTTAATGTATCTTTAAGGCATTATTTAAAAAAAATATTAGCATTGTGCACTTCTTCTCGATATTCTCTATAAGTGTGGAAAATTTCATACTCCTCCGTCCGCGCAATTTTTGTAAAAAGAGATACAAAGTTTTTGCTTCACGTATTAATATATAGATATTCTATGATTACCTAAATTACATAGCCACTATATCTTTGAGAATCGGATATTTAAATGTAACCTTAGAAGACTATAAACATTCCGCTTTAGACTGCGGTATGGCCAGGCGAAGCCTATGGCTAATAAAAATAATTGACAGACATCGAGATGTATGTACATTGATCCACTCACACGGCCCCGGGACAAATGTCGACAATACAAAACTAGCGACAGATGTGACGCTCCCTCTAATTAAACTATTTTATTACGCAAACACTTCATTAAACAGGATTGCATTAGATTTATTTATTTGTTTGTATTAAGTACGTCGTTATGTTCAATTGTGGGTTGTACGAATTGCGTTTATTGTTATTTTACTTTGATTTGATGATACTAGGGTTTATTGTAATACGGACCTGTAGGATCTTTTAAGAAAATTTTTTTGTTGGTTAAATTGGTTGACGTTCTCATCTTATATATATATCAACAACGTAGATGCCGCCACCCACCTGGAAACATGAGTTCTAAGGCTTTGTTGCCATAAATAAATGACGACATCCTCAACATTTAAACCGAAACGCATTACTGCTTCATAGTAGAAATAGACAGGCTACGTAGCCTTGCGTTCTCACAAGACGTCCTACTACCAGCAATTTTATGATATTAGCATTGACTAGCTTTCGTTTTCCAGTATTTCGCTTTAATACTATTCCTAAACATATGTAAGAAACCATTGGCTGAAAACTCCCGTTCACCTTTTTTTTATAATTGAAGGATTACTGGTGGCCCGGAGAACTTTCCAGTTTCACCAGGACAGGTGGGCGAGCAAAGGCTCAGCCAGGGGGGTGGGATTTGCTAACAGCTGCCCGAGCGCCTCCGAAGGAGACCTAACAACTCAAGAGTAACTGCTTCGCGAATGAATCTACTACCGGATCGGAATCGCGACCCGCTGAGAAGATCCGGCGAGAAACTCAGCGGGCTGATGCATGGGTTAGGTTGCACGTCGACCTCTTTGTGGAGTTCGACGAGTACGGTTACCGGGGTCCCTAAGCCTGCTCCTAGTATTAGAGCTGAAGGCGTCTAATGCAAAGGATCTGATGGATCCGTAAGGACGTGTCTAGGGCAGCGTTCACCTACCTGACGTTGACAGCATTATGACAGAAACCTTCAAACCAGATAATTCAGTTCAAAGCACCCATCGAACACGAACAAACAAGCGATTTAGTTATAAAAGGAAACAATTTATTTCCTGACACTTAACTTACCAAGACATAAGATGCCTTTTTTCCTTACCTGGTAATACTAATTCGTTATTAATGTTATTATTGATTTTAGACGAGGATTCCATTAGGGGGAGTCTCATGTAAGGTAGCAGTCACTATGCTCAGATATATGGAATAGGACTTTGACAAGAAGGATTAATATTATCTTTCCTTAAAGCAATATAATATTAGCTTGCCTTTAACAGCTACATAATGTTTCGGTAAAATTTGATAGCTAATATGTACCTAATTAATAATTAATAAAGTTTCAATTATGCACGGGATTTATGTATTATTCTACTCTACCATTGCTACTTCATATGGAACTCGAGGGCAAGAGTGAGCCAAGTAGTGGTCGATACACTTCTGCATACACTTATCTGGAACAACAGATTCAAATTGTCTTAATCTAATATCGTTTACAGGCGTCCTGGATTGATTGATCCGTCAAACTAAAGCAGCAATCATAATGAAATTATAAGAATACAAATCCGATACAAACGGGAGCAGATTGCCGAGAAATTATTCACAAAGCACCCCGGGCGCGGACTTGATGATATTGTATTAGGTGATCACATACGAATGCGAATTTAATGGATTCATGGAATACACCCCAAGCGAAAACGAAGTGCCTTAACGCGACGCGACTAATGCTAATTCAGCATGTACTTTCTGTCGGTTAAGCTTCTTCGTGAGCGAACGAAACCCAACCCCAATCTAAATTAAAATCTAAAACCTTGTAAACAAGGCAAGTGCTCACTTTTTCGGGGATTTTAACCCTCGGAATTAACGAGAGATGTAAAGGGGCCGGACCGATGGCGGACAATTCATTGTTTTGCTCTAAAGCATTTTTTTTGTTGCTTTCCTGAGTTTCACGTATATTGGGGCCACTGAACCCTAACTGGTAGACTAAATTGCAGTAAATTCAAAAACTAGTAAAAGGAATTCATTCCAAATTTCAAGGAATTTCAGTGTTTATTAGTGATATGAATTTATTGAAAACAAAAAAAAATCAACATTGACGTATTCTAGTTTTCTTATAAATAATATTCGTAATTACCTCAGCCTACCCTATAAAGTCTGAAGCTTACAGACAGTTGATAAGTTTATCGATAACTTGATAGCAGTAGAAGAATGTGGGTAAGAATTGTGCTTATTAGAATTGGGCGTACTGGTGGTAGAACGTCTTGTGAGTCAGCACGGTGTGAGTACAACCGCCCCGCCTATTTCTGCCATGGTTTGAAAGACGGGGCAGCCGTTGTAACTATGGTGCGACTCACAAGAGGTCCTACCACCAGTAAAACTCCTCCGGTATGGACTCCGGTAATCATTAAACAACAGATGGGCCGCGATCTCGTCCAGCCATCAAAGCAATAAAAAAAAACGTGACTTTCATGATGATACAGACCCTGAAGCAGAAATTACGATTGTGAGGGCTTGAAAATATATATTTGTTATTTATAATAGATATTAAATGGCCATTTGACTACTACCGCCATTTTGGATAAAAAAAGCTATTTACACGTGATTTATATTTGAATACTTGTTTAATAAATGAAGCTAGTGAAATATGACAAGGTCGCAAATAAATTTAATAAATACATTGTAAAAATAAAAATAAAAATTTGTCACATTTTTTTGTTACGAGTCGAAATGCGTGACGATCGCTTCAGACGTCTGCGGTGGTGACGTTTTTATCACCAACGACGCAGCCGGGTTCGGTCGCGGTAGATGCGGCTCCTTTCTGTGACGCAGCTCGGTGACTGAGCGCTGGACGTGTGGCTTCTCTGTTATCTTGTAATCTTGGCCGCGACCTCGCTGCAGTTCAGATAAATTACTGGCCAGTTCCGCGGCCGCTTCCCCGTACAGTCTCTGACCGAGTCGCACCTGCATCCCCAAACAGAACTAAATATTTGGTACAACAAAAACAACGAAACCGCGTTGCGTTTTATCGGGATAAAGAGTTGCTTCTGTCACTGCCTGCTCTTGAATATCCTCCCGATCCACAAACAATGCTTTTAGGTACCTCAAGCACCGGTCATCGTTCTTGTCTAACCCGTCGCTTGCGACGAAGGGCTCTACGAGTAAATTAACCCACAGACATAGCCCACTGAGTTTCTCGCCGAATCTTCTCAGTGGGTCGCGTTTCCGATCCGGTGGTAGATTCAGCGAAGCACAGCTCTTGCTAGGGTTCGTGTTAGCAACGTTATCAGGTTTGAGTTACTGTAAAAAGTGAGATCTTACAACTCATGTCTCAAAGCGGATGGCGGCATTTACATTGTAGATATCTATGGGCTCCGGTAACCACCCACTTAGGTAGGCCGTGAGCTCGTCCCCCCATTCAAGCAATAAAAAAAAGTTGGAAAATGCCAACAGCAAAAAGATCAAGCAGTAGCGTAATAGGAATTACGAAACAGTAGCTACCTCATCTTTCAACTCGGCCCGCCTCCGGGACACCCATTCGATTTGCTCCTGCAGCCTCTTGCACTCCTTCTCGTTATACATCAAGTCCTTCTTCAGCGACTCCATGATCTCGCGGTACTTCAGGCGCACGTCGTAGTCGATGGCGTGGAGATTGTCGATCTCATTTTGCGTCTCACGGATCTTGGACTTGGAAAGGCGGAGGCGACCTTCCTAGAGATCAAATAGTAAAATTAGTGTGTATAATATAACGAGGGTTAGATTTTTTTCTTCTACCTATGCTGATAGCCTTGAAAGACTATTTCAGCTTGACGTGTAGGTGAGCTCACTGGACTCCAACCGGGAATGTTGCTAACACTGGCCCTAGCAAGAGCAGTGCTTCGCAGAATCTACCACCCGATCCGAAGCACACTGAGAAGATCCGGCGAGAAACTCAGTGTGCTGTCTATGGGTTAAACGCTTTTGATGTGTTCTATCCTATGCATTTGGGCTCCAGAACACACTGTAATAATCAAGTATTTCCTCGTAAGGTGGTGTTTAAATAAGATATTTGCAGTGAAACTACCCTGATCAGAAATAATAGAACAACTAGAATTGTGTCAGGTAAAAAAATATAAATGATTATTCTATTATTTTTAGTAAGTTCTTATTTTGTGAAGCCGTAATCTATAGTGAAGTCGTATGTCACGAGGACGTTGACCCCGAGCGCCAGCTGATTCCTAATTGTCTTCTTCATGATTATTTAAACTAAGTATACTTTGTCAGAACAAAGTAGTCCAGTATTCTTCTTCTTTTTCTTCACCTTATCCCAGTAGGTGGGTTCGGCACAGCTAATTTTTCTCTTCCATCAGCCGTAATCTCAACACTCACTCCTTTCTCTCTCACATCGTCATTCACACACTCCATCCATGTCTTCTTCGGTTGACCTCTTCCCCCTCTGCCATTTTCATACATGGCCACGCTAACCGTATTAATTAATAATATTCTTCGTATATACCTTGTCAGCAAGTTTTCTGGTGAGTACATCCAGGTGCTCATCGAGGCTGTCCTTCTGCTCCAGCCGGAACCCCTGCACGACGTTGTGATGAGGGCAGAGCCGGTGCACCACTTGAGCTTGGCACGATTGACATTCTGGTTCGACCTAGTTACAATGCACAGTAGTTACAGTACATAATTATCATAATGTTTTCAAAGCAAAAATGTAATTCAAAAGCATTTTTCTAGACAACCCTCATTTATAGTAAAATTCTCCTTCGGAGGCGCTCAGGCAGTTGTTAGCAAATCCCACCCCTCCTGGCTGAGCCTTTGCTCGCCCACCTGTCCTGGTGAAGCTGGAAAGGCCTCCGGGCCACCAGTACTCTTTCAATCATAAAAAAAAAAAAAAAAATATAGTGAAACACGCCATAGTGGTGTGAAATACCGAAAAGGGGAAATTCATCATAGAACATGATGGTATGTGGCAAAACTCGAGTTAGCTGTAAACCATGTTATTTTTTTCAAACACAAACGTTTTTATAAAATTTACATTAACATCAAATTTTTACCTACCATTTCAATATTTTATTTTACGATTTTGATATATGTAAATCTAACGATATCTTGTAACATTATCATGGTGAACTGACAAGACATTATATTTTACTATCTACTATTTATTTATGCAGCCTACTCTCTTCCACCATATTTTGTCTCTGAGTTCAACAAAGTAAATATTTTATATTCTTTTCTACCTTTCATCTATAATAAACTTTTCTTAGAAACGATCTTTTTTTTTTATTGCCTAGATGAGTGGACGAGCTCACAGCCCACATGGTGTTAAGTGGTTACTGGAGCCCATAGACATCTACGACGTAAATGCGCCACCCACCTTGAGCTATAAGTTCTAAGATCTCAAGTATAGTTACAACGGCTGCCCCACCCTTCAAACCGAAACGCATTACTGCTTCACGGCGGAAATAGGCGGAGTGGTGGTACCTACCCGCGCGGACTCACTAGAGGTCCTACCACCATTCAAATCTCAAAGGAACGTGATTAAAATAACTCATATTAATTAACCGCCATACCTTATAGGACCGCCACTGCCATCTCACAGCCAGCAGTAGCAGAACAAACGCCACGCCGAGGGCAACGGCAATCAATGGGTACATCGTACCAGCGACCTACCATCCTACCACCTACCACTACACTCCGAGGAACATCGCTGCAACAAACTTCGTCCTTATTACGTCAAAATGACGTAACGTTGATATTTTAGATTTAGAATGACACTTCGATGAAGATAAATGAGTTGTTACTACTTTTTTATTCACCTCTGTTGTGAATCAGTGTGCTTAGTGTGAGTTTTTTAACGTTGTCGATAGCGTAAAAGTAACTCTTTGTATGCAGTTGAAACAGCGCCCCTAGCGGTAAACGTAGGCGAACGTTCAAACTCCATACAAATTTGATTTAACTCTTACGCTATCGAGAACGTTAAAAAACTCACACTAAGCACACAGTTCTATTCGCGTTCTTTATGTTATCGCGACTAAGGTTGCTTAGAAAAAATGTTATCTATACTATAATATTATAACGAGGAAAGATTTGTTTGTTTGTTTGTATTGAATAGGCTTCGAAACTAACGAAACGATTTGAAAAATTCTTTCACTGTTTGGAAGCTACACTATTCCTGAGTGACATAGGCTATAATCTTTTTTGAAAAAATTAGGGAACCTTACTAATAAGGTTCAAATAGATCTCCAATAGATCTCCGATGAACTCCAATAATGTAACAAAAGGTGTAAAAAAATTACCTAACATATTCTTTACATCGCTTGCCCTGCGAAAATTATTCATGATAGAATAAAATAATGTAGTTACTACAACTTTGTAGAACACATTATTATTTACAAAAAGTGTCGCGACAGCATATGTCTAACTATTATAGTTACGCCGCGCCGCTTGTGTACAATAAAATGATTTTGCAATAGAATTTAATTTGTGTCTGTCTGTCTTAACGCGGAGAAGGTGAGATCCGCATTGAGTTGTACTTTTTAAAAATACTTGTTGATTTCTATAGGTCCTAGTGAGTATTTAACATCAGTTGGGCCGTCAGCTCGTCAAGCTATCTAAGCAATAAAAAAAGCATTTAAATAAAGTTTAAATGTTCTATTGCACAAAGTTTGTAAAGCGCATACATTTATAAACTCTTTTGTCTGGTAACTTTTTAGTTGTCAGTGACAGTTTTCCCCTGGCCAAATCCCCGCATTCGTGACATTAAAAAGTTTTCGTATCATCTTTATGGTTTTATTTAATAGGATACATTATTATTTTCATTACATTATTCGGAATCTCTTTATTTAACAGTCGTCGTGGCCTAAAGGATAAGACGTCCGGTGCATTCATATCGAGCGATGCAACGGTGCTCGAATCCCGCAGGCGGCTAACAATTTTTCTAATGAAATACGTACTAAACAAATGTTCACGATTGGCTATACTGAGACCTTAGTACTCATATCTAAAGGTGGGTGGCGGCATTTACGTTGTCTATGGGCTCCAGTAACCATTTAATACCAGGTGGACTGTGAGATCGTCAACCCATCTAAGCAATAAAAAAAAAATTAGTATATTTTTTAATTCATTATTTATATGTAATTGGCAGTTGCGTCCTGAATGCGTTAAAGGAAATAATACGCTATACGATCCCACGTGATGATAAACGTGCATCTGCGAGAACAATGACGTCCATTACTCTACCAACGGCAGAATTAATGGCATTCTCGATCGATATTGCAACGATGAATTTGATGTAACTCGAACCTTACGTTACTGAACTATACATACAGTCGACTCTCGTTAATTCACACTGCGATAATTAGAACCTCTCTATAATTCAAAGTTATCACGAGTTCCCTACAAAATCTCTTTATATTTCGAACTAAATCAATACATTTTTATGCACTTGGTAATTCGAACGAAAAAATCATTGCTAAATGCTGCATAAAAAATCATTGCAATCATAAAACGACGCGTTAATTCGAACTCATCGGCGTCCAACACTCGACAATTCAAAGTTGCAGAGAGAAAGAGGTCGAATGATTGTAACGAAAGTGATGAAAAAGCATTTCAGGCACTTTTTCTCTTAAAAAGTTATTGAGCAGTCTGAGCAGCAGCAATGTGTTTTGAAGCAAACCAGTATAACAGAGTTCTTTCAAAACATTAATTAATTTACATTATGAATAGGTATATGTATGTATACGAATGTAGGTACATGTATGTATGTACACTCTAAACTTTTTTCATTGTTACAGAATAGCAGTTAATAAATAATTATTTATCAATACTTAGTAATTCGAAGTTTTATTTATTTTCTCTCAAAAATTTCGAACCATTTGATATTTCAAACATTCGATAATTCGTAATATTTTAAGAGTCCCTCAAGTTTGGAATTAACGAGAGTCGACTGTATATACCTACATTTTCGTATGTCGTATCACTCTTGTCAGAGCGGTCGTGGTCGTCATCCAGCATCATTGCTGCGGGCAGATGTTATGCGCCTCACGAGCAATCGCCACGCTTCCCGGTTTGTGTTGAGCCTGGTACACTCACCTACCTACATTTAGTTGTTACGTATCAATTCCAGTCTGGCTCCTCTGAAACTGTAACTAATTGTGTGAAAGAGATCGATTTCTTGGAACTACTATGCCCCCTATCGGACTATGTTGAGACCATGACAAAAACCACTACCAACAAAAAAAATCGGATAGCTAATCTTTTGATGTCTGTCGCACTATCAGTCGTTTTAATAATGGCCGTTATTAACATATCTGACCAATTCATTTTTTTCCTACCCATGCTACATAGCCTTGAAAGGCTATTTTAGCTTCTCCTTGACGTGTAGGTGAGCTCACGGGGTTCTAACCGGACGTGTTGCTAACACTGGCCCTAGCAAGAGAATCTTCGCAGAATCTACCACCGGATCGGAACGCGACCCACTGAGAAGATCCGGTGAGGAAATCAGTGGGCTGATAGCCTTGAGAGGCTATTTCAGCTTCACCCTAACATGTAGGTGAGCTCACGGGGCTCAAGCCGGAGTGATGCTAACACTAGCCCTAGCAAGAGCCGTGCTTCGCAGAATCTACCACCGGATCGGAAACGCAACCTACTGAGAAAATCCGGCGAGAAACTCAGTGGGTCGTGTCTATGGGTTAATTCACTCGTCGAGTCCTTCGTCGCAAGCGACGGGTTCGACGAGGACGGTGACCGGACAATTCCTGTTGAACTTTGTTGCCAATGTTAAATAGTGTCAGCCTAGTTTCCCGTGGAAATACGAGGTTTTTTTTCAGGATAGAATGTAGACTATGTCAACCTTATGAGCGAAAAATTATGTCAATCTGTTGCTTAATTTCGACGTGAATGAAAGACGAACAAAAATGCTTTCACTTTTAAATATTAGTACTGATAGAAGTTTGACCTTTCCTATAAGGTATCTAATACCATTCTCATTTCTATGTTTTTTTTTCTTTTTTTCCTACCTATTCGTTGGTAGCCTAAGGGGCTATTCCAGCTACGTCGGGACGGGTAGGTGAACTCACAGGCTCAACCTGAGAGAATTTGCTAACACTAGCTCTAGCAAGAGCAGTGCTTCGGAGAATCTATCGTAATCTAACCTAAACACCACCGAAAGCTTTTTTCTTTAATTATCTTTATTTCAATAAAAACAATACATTTTGTTAGTATTACTTATAATCTATGTAAGTAATTTAAAAACATTATATACGAGTCGTCTATTATCAAAGGTGGCAATCTGTGCATTTGGACAAAATTTTTTTATTGATATGTCAATTCAGATTGATTTGAATATAATCGTCTCCTTCAAAGAATACGGTTCAAAACTTGCATTAAATAAAGGTTAATAGTTAACCTGTTATTTATCTAAGATGTCGTTCCGAAGAGTTTTGTGACTGCCAATGGAATACAAAGTCAATAATTCGTTTTTCTGATTTACCAATCATTGTCCAAAAGTCAGATTGCCGGCTTTGATAATAGTCNTTTGAATATAATCGTCTCCTTCAAAGAATACGGTTCAAAACTTGCATTAAATAAAGGTTAATAGTTAACCTGTTATTTATCTAAGATGTCGTTCCGAAGAGTTTTGTGACTGCCAATGGAATACAAAGTCAATAATTCGTTTTTCTGATTTACCAATCATTGTCCAAAAGTCAGATTGCCGGCTTTGATAATAGTCGACTCATACCTCGGAAACTACGTATAAGTGTAACAAGAAATTCGGATACAAAACCGATCGTATATCCATTACTGCGGGAGTATAGACGGGCCGGGCGTGGCGCGAAGGCAATTACAGCGCTCGCTTCGTAATTGAAAGGGGATCGTCCTCTAATTGATTGTTTCTGGACGACTGATTGATATGATACGGTTATTATCGGATATTATCGGATATGTTGACGGTGATTTGAGCGCCCAATACATTTCAATACCTATGTATATAAAAATGAATTGCTGTTCGTTAGTGTCGCTAAAACTCGAGAACGGCTGGACCGATTTGGCTGATTTTGGTCTTGAATTATTTGTGGAAGACTAGAGAAGGTTTAAAAGGTATAAAAATACGAAAATGCTGGGAATTAAATAAAAATAACAATTTTGTTTTCCCTTTCATGTGTCCCCCGTCGGACGGATTCCTTTTGTTTGTTTTAAGTTTATTTTATACAAAAGTTTAGGTATTTTATTTATCGATTGAGGCACTACGAAGTCTGCCGGGTCAGCTAGTTTAGAATAAGTATTATTATTGTGCGTTCGGTATCGAAGCGATAACATCTCTTCATGTAAGTGTCGTAAGGCGAGAGATTCACGGGAGAATATCATTCCCGATCCTGCGGATCGAATGGTAAACAGTCCACGTCGCCTTAAACACGTCATTTCGAATCCTCTCGATCCACTAACGGTGCTTATAGGTACCTCAAGCACCGGTCGTCGTTCTCGTCGAACCTACAGACACAGCCCACTGAGTTTCTCGTCGGATTTTCTCAGTGGGTCGTGTTTCCGATCCGGTGGTAGATTCTGCGAAGCACTGCTCTTTCGTAGGGTTAGTGTTAGCAACGTCGCCAGGTTGGAGCCGCGTGAGCTTCACCTACTTGTTAGGTTACGCTGACAT